TGTACATGGTCTGTAATATCACATTTGACCAGAACGTTACGTTCTAACTCAATCTATGTGTATGAAAGTGCACTATTTAATTTTTATAACTGTCTTTGAGAAACGTGAAAGTACGTATTTCTCATATATTTCAATACGCATAGTTAATCTGATAATATATATTCTTTACAAGTATGTATTAATCTTAAACTTCTTTGCAGTAGTCTGGTATCATATTAAATCCTGCATTTATCAATCAAATTATAAAATAGTAAGTAGTAAAAAATACTATTACTAATTACATTAGTAAATACATTCAACTTCCATTCATTTTCTTATTTGTCTACAAGTGACAGTACAACTGTTAAAAATAATAATTAACACACTAATGAGTAAAATCAAATTTTCTTAATATGCAACAAGTAACTATCATATAAATATAATTTATAACACAGGTGTCCAAATGTCGCTCACAAGCCACAAGCTGTTCGAGCCTCCCCTCGTGGGTTTCCCCCACTACCGACCTCAGATTGACTCGAACGAGTCAAACTAAGACCCATAATGAGGGTACCTCCGGAGGGAAAGAATGCTACTCATAAGCAATAGATGTACACCTCTGCTCTGCCCTTTATAAAAGACAGAATACTCATTCCTTCTGAGTATATACGTCTACCATACAAATATGTTTGTGGGACACAATACATGCTGGTGAAACACAGTAGTACCTTCCCTGCATTTAACGCTCACACTCCATGAAAGTGGTCGTGAGTACACGCCAGTACGTCTCGGTAGTCTACCCGTGTACGTAACCGTATGCGTTCTTTGCCAGTGGCAACGAAAACACCGGCCACGATAACTGGAAATCGCAATGCACTTTTCAATGGTCATACATGCACAACGTGTTAAATTGTTCCATAACACGCGGTTTTTCACTAGGGCGTGCATATCGATGCACAGGTGACATAACTTAATACGTCTTCTTTTTATGCACCGATACTTTATTGCGATTCCCGGTACACGTGTTCCACTATTCATGGAACTTGCAAGTACGAATGATACCTTTGTGTCTTGCGACACTGGTTCCGATTTTTGAAACGTGCTGTTGCGTCTCGTGGTATTGCATTAACTGCTACAACATGCTCATCTAAGAAGGCACCACTATGTTTTCCCCTTTATTTTAAACATACCGGTATGGTTCCGTTCTTTCTACTCTATATTCAAATCTATTATCTAAATTTCTTTTACACATTAATGAATTCACTACTATTTTTGTACCAGCTGACTGTAGTTGTACACTATTGTGTATTTATTGTATTTTCTATATTCTGTAAATTTCCTTATGTAAATCGTATTTCATTCTACATTCATAAATGATACCAGACGACGACATTAAAATTATAAGTAAGCAATGTGACTTCGTTCGCATCACATTCACCTCTATATCAAACTTTTAAAGTTGAACTCATAAATATACTTTTAATATAAAATATTTATGAATTGCATTACTAATTGTAAACATGACATACAAGAAGACCCTAGCCTAGCTAAGAAACACAACAGATCAATGTTACTACTCGCGGATATGATTGCATATCCGCGTTCAGTGTACTCGCCAAATTTAGCACGTATACAACCAGTCGCCCGTGCCGCTTCGGACCTATCATCCTACGGCATGATTGGGGACCAGAGGAATAAAAAAGCATGCGACTCACCCGATGATAGAAGGGCTCCGTATAAGACAAGAATGTTGAATGAAGCGGAGCTTTGCCCGAGGATATCTTATTGAGTACTCAGTGATGAATGTGAGCTTTGCTGGACGACATTATCCTGAAAATCCAACGAAAAAAATTATTAGTTGCTACTCTTTTAACAGGTGAATATTCTTTGATTCTTTCTCATTTAATTTGTAATTAAAATGATTCAAATTTGTATTAATAACAATTGAAAAGCAAAGATTGGATACTTATTAATTTAATAGAATTCAGTCATTAAAAAAAAGACCCTAACGAAAATTCATTTTTAAAGACAAAAAGACTAATCATGATTCTTTAATAAGATATTTGACTCTACATATTGAACAACTCATGGGTGATCCCATTGTCAAAGCCATTGCAAGACACATAACATAAGTGTAGCAAACATGTTACTTTGACTCAGAAACCTACCCATCGCAAAATGACTTCTTATACATGATCTGTAATATAATGTTTGTATGGAACACTATATTTTCATGCAAAGTATCAAATTTGTCAATCATGCAAAATATGAAATTAGATCAAGCTATTCAATGATATTCTCATTGGATACCATTTTGTATTATCACTGTGTGATTATTTGGTTTATGCAAGGAAGAAGTCTGAGGTCACATTCCTCCACTAATGTTTCATTCATCATATATGTATTCAATATATTCTAGCCTACAGAGATTCATATATACAATGCACTCAAGAATACGCATTGAATATTAAGAGTATTAATACTGCTTTGTCCAATTATAAAATGTTTATTAATTGTATCAGTAGTAGAAAATACTATGTATAAGAAGACCCTACCCTAGCTAAGAAATACAATTGATCAATGTTACTACTCAAAGGTATGATAGCATACCCATGTTCACTGTACTCAACAAATTTAGCATATATACAACCAATTGCCTGTGCCACATTGGACTAATCGTCCTATAGCATAATTGGGTACTGGAGTAATAAAAAAGGCATGCAAGGACTCACCCGATGATAGAAGGGTTTACAGTCTTTGCTGGTGGAACTTCACATCAGGACATCTGATTTAGTGTTCAGTGATGCAACATTTAAAGAAACTGAGAACAAAACAAGACAAATTTATTACACTCAATATTATTATTACTGATAAATATAACACGACAATTATTCAGTTTATAATATTTATGAATTACATTGTAGCATAATACATAACTATCCTGCAATCATGTTTGTTTTTTTATTTAATTAATGTCCCACTTTTCTAAATATTCATAAAATCAGTACAAGTACCAAAGTTGCATTATTTATGCATGCTTTGATAAAAAGCATGATAAATTATGCAGATTGTATTAATCAAATTTATGCCAAAAACTGTATATAAATGCAAATACAATAATCTCATATGGAAAGACACGAGAAATTATCAATAATGTATTTTAATACAATTTCATGACCGAGATACTTAAGTCACAAACATTTCCAATTTGAATGTGTCAAAGTATTGCAGTAATAACTTACCAGAATTCACTAATTTCCCGCCGAATTCCGTTTGAAGGCAGTCAGCGATGCTCAGGACGGTAGTGCGTACTTTCAAACCGAAACTCTGAAACATAAAATAAACACAAACATTAAGTAATTACACTACGTTAAGAATAGTAATGTTACAAATTAACAATTAGTGAACTCGTGGTGTGTCGCAAAGATTACAAATTAGATGAGAAATACGTAAATATTACATTAATTGGTACACAGTGAAACCGAAGGGTAAACCGAAACCTACGGTATCGAATCAATTTGGGATTATTTAGTCTAAATTGGATAAATATTAGAGGACAGTAACGATAGAGAGCTAATGAAGGTCTAGGAATTAATATACATATGAATAAAGATGAAAAGTAAATGTCAAACACTCACTTTGGCACGAGCAACCGGCATCTGCACCTTATCGCGCCAACTTCTCCGAAAGGAATAACACTTCGGTTACATTCGGCCGGTCCCGAGCGGTTCATTCGGCTATCTTCGGGAGATCCCGAGTAGCTGATCGGTCAGAGCGGTATATCCTCGTGTAATACGACTTGGCGGGAACAAACATGTGCACCACTCTAGTTGAAACGACGAATGTAACACTTAAAAAACGTAACGCCAAAAATATATATGTATTTCGTCACTTATCCAAAAGATAACTTATTAAATGTCCGTTAACGTGTTTATAGGCGAGTGCCCGGCCGGAGCGGCAAAGATCGGTGAGATAAACCGATCGCGCTCCGGCTTGGACACGATTTGGGCCCGGTGTCCGGTGACGGCAGCGAAGTCGACTGGACCTCCAACAGGGTCGAGCTGCTGGCGGTCCGCCCCCTTCGCTGCTACCAATGGTAAGCAATAAGCGAGGCTAGACGCGGTTATGCTAAGCGATCCCGTTGCCAGCCCTACGCCCGCGGGTCACCGGGGGGTTTTTAGTGGGTGAAACCCCACATTGGCAGTCTCTGCCCCAGCGGAGACGGTGCACCTTTCCAAGGTTTTGTCCCCGTAAAAAAAATGGGGTAACAGACTTCTTTTTCTAATGGGGCTGTTGGTGGGGGATTCTTTTACGACTGGGTGGAGGCATTACACATGCATACAGCATTCCTTCTCATCGCCCACCAATCGCTATCGCCCCTCTCACTGCGATGTGCGAGCGACAGAGGAATGACACCATAGCTACTTCTGTCTTTCAATCTCGCTTCATCCCTACCATAAGACTGCGCAGTCTATTATATATGTCTATGAGGGTAGTAAAATGGCAATGAGTTTAGAGCCCCCTCCATGCTAAGTTCTGTCGTCACGGTTTCGGCTTCAGCGACTGCCCAAACGCTGGATCGTGTTGGTGCGCCGGGGTACGTAACATGGCGAGAGAGCGAATTTGTGTTTGCGTGAAAGTACGTGTTCCGGAATGAGGCTCTTACCGAATTCGGCAGCCTTCAACACGCGCGATATAATCAATTGAACGCCTCAACGATATTGGCGTAATAATCGCGATTACTGCGTGCGCGTGCCCCGCAATTCCCCTTCCCGAGCAACTCAGATCGTCACCGAGTTTTCCGGTGACCTCTGGCTTCTTTATAATCGTTTTATGATCGTACATCCACCACCACGTATTTACCGTTCCTTTTCCAACCAATTGTTACCACACACGTGGACCATAGGATTCAAGCTATAACCGTTACATTATAACACCGTAATACGTCAACTGTGTTTTATTATATTTATTATTGTGAGATCAGTGCATACAGTTTTTTCACATTAAAAGGGAAGTGCCTCATGTGGCAATGTGTTTAGTGGCAATATAGTTAGAGTCATGTACGAAATTTAAGTATACCGGGGACAATAAAATATTTAAAAAGGAAACTCAGGATGACGTCGAATCCCTTTCACGAAACTAAAATCACAAACCCTTGCCGATTCTCCTTTATCGAGTTTTTTCAATGTCTCTACATCTTCTGGTTTAAGATTCCAATCGAACAATTGTATATTTTCTTTAATTCTCTGGGTGTTGGTGCTTTTTGGTATAACTGCAATTCCATTTTGCAAAATGTATCGGAGCAAAACTTGCGCAGCCGATTTCTTATATTTTTTTGCTATTTCCAATACTACATTATTCTGTAGCATATCCGGTACCTCTTCGGTTTTCTTCAACATTCTCACAAGTCCACGTGAACCAAGTGGCGAATAAGCCGTTATAGGAATATCTCGTTCCTTGCAATACTGTACCTGCAAAATATCGATTAGTAAGTAAAAACAAATCGGTTACAATTAATTTTCTCTAATTTTGTTTAAAAATTGATTCTTAGATCCTTCTGCAGTTTAGTTCGTGAGAGACTGGGACAAAATATTTGGTACGAACTGTTAAAAGACACGCAAACGACAACGTATACAAATTTTATTGAATCTATTCAATCTATCCTAAATCATATGATAGACCATCACTATACACCTCTAGTTGTCTTCATTTCTACCTCTATTATCATTCTTTTTAAATCCCAAATAAAAATCGTATTTACGCCTATAATTAGGAAGACTTTTAAAACCAACTATACGAAATCTGAAATACAAGCATTAGTAATTTGGAACATTAAAAAATAACCCATATTTTGACCGTATTTTATCATTTGTTCTTATTGCGGAAGGATTGTGGCCGTGTAAACTCGCTAAATGAACAAGTAAGAACGGGCACGAGCGAGGAGGCATTCTCACAATCAGTGGAAGACCAGTTTGGCGTAGAGGAACAAACATTCATTAAGCGAACGACACTACAGAACTGTTCTAATTCTATATTCAAATCGCGCATATCCTTCTTATTGAATTCAATTATTTTATTCACGATCCGATAAATGGTTACATATGTACCTACACGCAACCGAGTACATATATTGAAGCAGAAAGATATACTTACTAATTCCTTTTGTTGAAAGTAGACATGTAACTCAATTTGTAACATGGAAACTTTATTCTTGGCATTGTCTAAAATTCGCTGAATTTGGCGTGAATTAAAATTCGATAAACCAATTGCTCTAGCTCGGCCACATTCCACTTGTTTCTCCATCTCAACCCAAACTTTTACGTGATCAGTACTCTTATCCAGTTTGATATTTCCATTTTCATCTTGCGGATGCAAGTCTTCTCCGGCGTCCTCAAAGCCGAATGGAGTGTGAATTAAATAAAGATCTAAATACTCTAACTCAAGGTCTTCCAAAGACTTCTGTATCCATTTCTCAACGTGTTCAGGCCTGTTCCCGCTAGGAGGAAGCTGTGTAGATTGTTTTTAAAAATATATGAATCCATAAATGTTTTAGCGTTTTCAGGAAGACACATAACATTCAATTTTAATTATTGCAATATTTCGAAAGATTATTTTACGATTTGATCCCACAACGTTAATAATTCCAAGCTTTAACGAATCATTATTTTTAGAATAGTCATTTAAAATATAGTTATACATAAATAGTATAAATCATACATATAAGATTTCTTGTTTATACAATGTATAATAATTTACGTATAATTAAACAACATGCATGACAACAAACTTCACTAGAAGATATATTTGACAATTAAGTTATTGAATTACATTTCTCAATAATACCTTAGTGACGATAAAAAGTTCGGATCGTTTAATCTTCCCAGAATCAATCCATTTCTTAAGAACTCTGCCAATTATTTTTTCATTGTCATATACAGGTGCTGCGTCTATGTGTCTATATCCTGCTTCTAGAGCAGTATTCAAAGCGTTCTCCAACTCGCCTTCGTCAGTTGCCTTAAACAATACAATTTACATAATATTCTCTACTTGTTTACGACACAAAATATTAAAAAAGATGTTATTTGTACTTTAAAACCATTCATAATTAACGGTAAGAATGAAAAGAAGTAAAATCAAATTTATAAAAGAGAGGAACCAATAAAAAGAAGAGAATTACGATAAAAATATATAAATATCCGTTATTATGTATCTAATTCTCTGTAATCTAATAGCCTGTGGTATTGCTACGATTACGACTGTGTCGGTAACATAGGGAGTGACACTCATATGACAAAAAGAAATTTTCGAGTTGCGAAAAATCCTTCTCGCAATCATCATTTTTGTCAAAAAACAACCTAGTTCGAAAATTTCATCCAATTCGGAGCATGGGGGGTTTCGGAAGTACAGCCCGGAAACATTCAAGATACCATCTGTACCTACCTACAGAACTTTAACCGAAAGATGATACCGAGGGTGACCGAGGGTACCACGTGTATGTATGTGTAAATATACAAAGTGACTGCATATTTAAGTGATTCTTAAGTGATGATTTCGGATAAAATTATGATATTATATTTCATTTGAAGTATAATACACACACGAGAAAAGAAGTAAGTTGAAATTTTGTTTCATGATTATTGATAAGTTCAATCTACAGGAAATCACGATACTAACCTTACTTTCACTACTATTTTTCCTTAATGTACTTCTACTTAAAGCATTGCCAATATGTTATTATGATGTCTTTATACGTTATTATAAAGTGTAAAAACTGTGACTAATTCAAAGAAGAAAAAGTTTTTAAAAGTTCATCATATGATGCATGTGAAGCAGTTTATTCGAGAATGTAAGGTTAGGAATCGAATGTTTATAAATGCATTTAGGAATGTTTACCAACTAAAAGTTTTACTGCACTAAGATGCAGATATGTAGTTAACAATAAATGACTCTAGAATTATTTTAGAACTTTGATTTCCTTGTCGTTTATCGAATTATCAATAAAATTTTTAATTTTACGAACGTATCTCAAATAATGAAAAGGAAGCTTTGGTTCATGATGGAACTATGAAATATGAGATATAATAATGGAAACCACATTTTGATGTACTTTCTCCAATATAATTGTTGTACTTAATATAGTTGTGAAATACTATTAATGTAAATGATTTTCTGATTACAATAAATCTAAGGTAGTTTTGCTATGCCACAAAAGAAAAGGATTCTAAAAATTAAGTTTCCACTGTTTTATTGTAATTCAACGAAAATGACTAATTTTTCTGTTTTTACATTTGAAGTTGATACAAATTGAAATTAATAAATCCAACACAAATTTGTCTACAATTACAATAATTGATAAATACAACAATTTTAATTAAAAACAAGAGATTAACCCAGGTATACAATTACAAATATCTATGGTTAAAATACGAGAAGATTAAATTTCTGTAACATGGTATTCTATAGTAATTATCTACCTAGAATTATTTGTAAAACTGTAAAAATTTAGAATATACAAATATATTGTATAATATTTTCTAAGATATTCATATTCTTCAATATTGTCGCCGATGACAATCGAATCTAAAATCGTAATTATAATATACCCATTGTAAACAATAAAAGGAATTGTTTGATAAAAGCAGAAAATTGACGGTCTATTTCGTTAATACATTTGAAATAATTTGAATATACGTAGCAGTATAAACATATTATGCACTTACTAAAGATTAATACAATTGTCATTCGATTTTTAATATAATCAAATTTCGTATAGAGGAAATAAATTTCTATACACTTCTATTCTTATACAATAACTAGACTGCAGATATTTGTATATTTACTATTCTTAGAATACAATGAAATATACACGTTAATAAAACAGGATTAATTTTTTTTTATTTTTAGCGTACTAAACCCATTACTAGAGGAAATAAATTTCTATTTAATTTCAATTTGTCTGCATTTGTTTATAAAAATGTGATTCTGTATAAACATCCGCAGTTTAGCAATAACTTAGTCTTTAAAATGGTGAATTTTTAATTATGCCTATAATAAATTATAACTAGCAAATTAACGAGATCCTCGATAATCAAAACATGTAATTTTACCTGCCACGTTCCAAAGCCTACCGCGGGCATGCACCGTCCGTTCGAGAGCAAAATAGAATACTTCTCCATGATGATTACCGTTGAGTAGCTTTACCGTAAGTCGACTGAAACGAGTTGTTCATTCTCAATCTTAGTCGTTATCCTTCGAAGCGCATGCACTTTCACTCTGAGCATTTAAGTATGTACCTTCAACCTTGAAAAATTCAGTAAGTGGGACATTGTGGGACATTTCCTGATTTTTTCGACTTATGCAGTGTTCCATGACTTTCCAGGTTTATTATTATCTATGTAAAAAAAAGGCAACAAATGTACTCGTAAACTAAACGCAAAGTGTGCAATTTTTTACAAAACTAATCGTACATTAGTACAGAATACTTATTTTCCAAGAAAAGAGAGGGGATATTGAATTAATCGACAGAAATGAATGACCTAATTCGGTGTCCGGGTCCATTTGAACCCAGAATTTTAGAAACTTCACTCACCATTCTAGTTTACAGAAAATAACTGAAGCGTACAGTTGTTTATGTTGCCATTTTATAAAAAAGACCGCCTTTTTTTGAAGATATTCGTTCCAAACACATCTAAAGATAAATGAATAAGATTTTATTATGAGAAACGTGCACCTTCTAAGGGTTAATTGCATCGTCCTATAAATACACTTATAATAATATTCAGAATAAATGTATTTATTTGTGAACACGCAAAATAAGAATTCTGTACGATTGATGTATTTGTAACCCTTTTCGAGGTGTCAGAATTTGTTGTGCTCAGTCTTTCTTCTAATTATTAGAATTTTATATAAATTTTCGAAATGATTTTGAAGAGGACAGTGTATACATATAATCATACTCGAGAATTAGATATAAAATTATATTATGGAAAAGTGTATTTACGAGAAATTATCGTAGAAATGCAATCTATGTAAATATATTTACGTAAATTTCATAATGTGGCATGTATTATACATTTTTTCTGCACAATCAAAATTTTTTATTAGCTAAACTCAGACAAATTTTCACATACCTAGGTCATTGTTAAAATTTTCAAATTATTAAACTAAGGATGAAAAAAAACTACTATTGATAACTGTATGTGTTGAAAAATTATTAACTTAGTTATTAAAAAATATTTATTCCGTTTTATTATTCGAAACCGACAGTATTATCATTGGTTACACACGTACTGTAGATAGATATTTTTCAAACCATGAAAGTGGCAAGGTTAAAGCTTACAACGCTATACATACAGGATGTCTCGCGCATATTGAACTTCTAAATTATTTCCACTGGTATTAAAAATAAGAAAAAATGATCAAGAGGAGTTGATGGTAATAAAAATTGTCCGCCTAAGGTCATTTCGAGGTCACACATTTTTTTGCACGTTATATTCTGTTTTTTATAATGCAAAATTGTAGTCGACATCAAGACGAGTAGAACAACCTAAGACATCATGACGTTAAAATGACTTTGAATAGACAGAAGTGTGTTTAAATCAGGGCAACATCGTTCAATTGGAGCCAACTAATTAATTAATTGCATCAGTTTCGAAAACAGTCACTCCTGCTCCTTTACCAGTAATAGTGTTACAGCTTCCCTTTTGACAGGGCTGAACACTGCCCGTTTCGCAAAATAAATTAATAAGTATATTTTATTTTATACCTCTGTATCAAAATACATCCCGAAAATTTTATATTTATTGTTCAATATTTTGTCTATTATTTGTGCTTTTATCACCTATGAACTTATTAAACTTAATTAACAATATTTGAACACGTAACGTTGTTGAAAAAATAAACTATGAAACAAAATTATATTTTATAAATGTCAAGATAGTTTCACTCGACAAAACGTTTTTGAGGATATTTAGCTTGCATTAAATTTTATTTTCTTTTTTATATAAAGTAATTTGTTATTTTATATCAAATATATTTCGTTTCAGGTAATCCTTGAATATTCAAAATAAGAAATGCATATGATTGCCAAAAGGTATAAATAATTCGGTAATGTATCGTTGTGTGAATTGTGGAGCTGAAGTGGAAGAACTTTACAAAAGTTATTGTCCAAACGTTTTGAAACTATTGAAATGTGTATGTTATCTATTATATCATCATATATGCCTATAGAATGTTAAAAAAAGTGCTTAGAAGTGATTTATAAATACAAATAAATAAATAGTATACAGTAAGGATTAATTTTCGTTTATTTTTACATATGTTTGACATCTTCGTAGAACAGAGTCGTTAACTTTTAAAAAATATCCTAGTTTTGTTCGAATCACATAAATTGTATCCTCAGTTTACTAATGTAATTTTGTGTATATTATTTACTGGTGAAAATTATGATAAATTCTTCAGAACTTCTATGTAATTACCAAAAAATCAAGTCGAATGAACGAAGAAATGACGAATATTATTTGTATTGCAAGAATAGATAACCACTTTTAACTCCAAAGAGTTCCACTTTTCGTCCTCTGTTTAATAAATGCTTTTATTCAGATTTATATTATTTTCCCTGTAAATCCTGAGCCTATTATTTTACACATCCTGTATACTAATACAATCATCGACAAACTGCTTCGTCAATTTTGAACTTGGTGGAAAAAAAACATCACCGAACCAAACATAATCTGTAAGAATGCAGCCTTTAATTCATCGAACTCCTTCGAATGTTTCTACGGTATTAGAAATAATTTAAAAAAAAAAGGAAATGAATAAAACGCCAGAATGTGTACACGACTGAAAGTCTAACAAACGTCACAACGGGGATAGACGATTGAGGCTGTTTATCAGGACGTGTATACAGTAACTGGCAATGAGAATTATTTGTGTCTGTCTGCGATTCTATATAACGTGTTGTAAGAACACTTGTGCCTGTAAATATTTGAACATTTAGAACTTTTTAGCAAAGCATTTTCGGACATAGTATGTATAATCAGTTAATCACAATACGATTTGAAAGTATATTGAACAAAACTAATTTTTGAACTCTTTTCTTTCTTCAAATTAAAACTTAACGAAACTGCCGTGGTACATAATTCATGTTTTTTCTTTCTAAGTCACTTTGTTCGCAATTCTATAGACATGCATAATCATTTACATTGTTAATTTGCTACAAGCTAATTACTTAGACGATTTATATACTCTGTACAATTCTCGTTTTCGTTAAGTGCTGTATTAATTATTTCAGGATACTTGCGACCAGTTGGCTGACAAATACATCGAATATGATCCTGTGATAATCCTAGTTGACTTAATATTACTCGAAAAACGAGCGTACAGGCATCTCCTTTACAATTGTGATTTGAAGTATTGCTGGAAACTAGTAATAATTATCTGGCTAGTCGAATCATTTCGGAATCTTTCTTTATGCGATTACAAAACAAAAAGTATTGAAACACTGAAGACATTTCAACCTATTTTCGATGGGCATTGCAATTTTTATTTAGTCCTACTTCGTACTGCCTTCTCTCTCACTGCTTTCGCTGTTGTTGTGATTCTTCTTACCAAAGTTAAATGGTATTTCGAGTCAAAGAGCCCCGGTAAATATAGAACAGCGCACTTGTGGAAGGCTTTGGTAATAGGGGGATCCTGCAAATTATTAGGATTATTGGAAATCACTTGGGGGCATATATTTTTGGCGCCTCATTATCTTCTCATTTTAGGATACACTCTTCTGTGCCTGCTTACGTCTTATTCAGGTAAGGAACCAATTCCATTAAAAACATAGTGCTGAATACACAGAGACATTTAAAGATTCCTTAAATAGTCGTTATCAACAGACCAATACAGTAAATCATCGATGAGAACATTAAATATTTCATAAACTAATGGTCATCTGCGGCTGAAACAAATATCATTCGCTTCAGAATTTCAAGCCCTATCACTGTGCTAAAATTTATTAAAAAGTCAGCTTTACAACTGGGGACCTCTTCTTGTCAGTGCCTTCGAACACTCATGGGTGATTCACTGTATATGTATACCTTGATGCTGACTCGGCCATCGGCAACGAATACGTAACAATTCTTAGCTCGTTTTAATGGTATCAGAAACGTTAACTTTCGATAACTGAAATTTAACTCCGTTCACTTTCTGTCCTTGACATAATACAATAATTTTATCTTATTTAGTGAAAAAAATTTAATTTGTCACAGTAATTAAAGCGTGGCAAACTTGGTCTTTTTAATCATATTTTGACCACAATTGCATATCCTAAAATCGCATGTACTCACAAATTAAAGAAAAACTACTAGAAAATTGAAATGAAATAATTTTTTAATGTACTTATAAACAAACACAGGTAAAGGGTTTAACAACAGTCTAGTAATTGGTAACTCACATAAAAGTTCAACATGTACCTATAATTTATTATATTCATTACATAGCGTTTATAATTTCGATTCAGTTATTTATACATTATATAATTGCAGTGGTATCCGACAATGGCAAAATGGAGTCTTCGGTCATTCTAGGGATGGGCACACTGGTGTATAACTGTGCATCTAATTTTCTCTCTACAACATTTGAAGTTTCAGACTAGTCTAATAATATACATTTAACAAGATTTATTTTATAATGTTATTTAATTTAAAACACTGTGAAATTAAATAATTGTTTTATGTTTCTATTTGTTGTTTAAATACATGTATTTGTTTTGTCAATAATCCTTAAGATGTACAATACACCATCCAAGAACTAGTCTATCAAAGCCGGAAGAGAACAAATTGCAGACTCCACTATCCTGTGCCCAAGCCACAGACGAAACCATTCTCCGATGACCCTGAAATTAATTCAGCAGCAAACATAGATTTTTCAGTCATTTTAACTTCTGTACTCCGATATATTAAGACAGCATTTTCTATAATTCACTTATGAAATCATTCTGTAGATTTACACGTAAACAAATTTTGTATATTTTATCAAATACTTCTGATAAATGTGCTAGATTGTCGCACGAAAATATTTAAGCTATTATTGCCTTCAATACTGGAATATAATGTGAATTTTATTTAAAATAAAACATCACCCACTTTTCTACAGAAGTTTGACAAATAATGAAGAAATACCTTTAGTATAAAAATTATTTACTCACCTGCCTACTTGTTCTAGGCAATCTAGCTAATCGCTGACCGCTTAGATCAAACAATCTAATCTGTCTATCATCGTGTGGAATCGCAACAATACCAGTACTAGAAACAGCTAAACGATTCACAGCGCTGTCACCTCGAATTGTAGCTAAAGGACTTCGTATATTTCGTAATTCCCATACTTTCACAGTTCGATCATCTGAGCCTGAAACGATTTTATCTTCGCGCGTGAAAACGGCGGATGTTACTGTCCTAAAAAGAACAATTTAAAAGTACTTTATAACAGTCGACTGATCCAAACAAAATTTTTTGCAATCGGTAGAATACATTCATATGAAGTTTGATTCCTTATTTTAGGCACACCTTGTATACATACACAAATAATATCGACTGATAATCTTTCTAATTATAAACTGCGTTTTTTACTGATATATAGAAGCTCCTAACAACTGTCCTTAGTTTCGTACTTTATCTACGCAATTTCTTGATATTTTTAAGTCTCAAAGTATCTTGACAAGTAGGAAAACATATTCAAGTGACTAAAAATTATTTTCAAGTTTAAGAATTCAATGTAAGAATGCTACCCTTTATTATTTTCTGTTACTTGAGCTTATTGCTGTAGAGATTTTCATTCTTTTATTTTCGAACGCAGTGCTGTCCGACATAAATTGCGGAGCTTCACTCTACCGCCATTGAATCCTCTACTCTGCTTCCATACCTTCTTTTACTTTTTTATCTTTAAGCAATCTCTAAGCAAAAGTACACATATAAGTAACAAATAAAATAGAATACAAATTTGGTACTACAAAAATTTTTTGTAAATAAATAAAAATTTGTTCTAAGAAACTATTTTTTTTAAATATAATTTATAACCATTCTTAGGTAATGTAAACTTGATTAACTTACTCTGTGTGTGCCTGAAAAACGGAAACTGAGTGAATAGGTTCTCTGAAATCCCATAAACGGAAAGTACTATCTTTGCTTGAAGTGACGCATAGTCTTTGTGTATGATGAGTAGAAACATGAGAGAGTTCTTGATCATGACCACATAATGTATGGATAATTTCTCCAGTTTCAACATCGTAAAGATCTGCAGTTCTGTCCCAAGAAGCAGTTACGACCTGTTCTCCATCAGGTAACCAGTCTGCAGCCATTACTACACCTGTATGACCCACAAATTTTCGCACTGGGGTTCTGTAATGTTTAAAAAATTTCACGTTTCTATTTCGTTACACAAGAAGAACCACGTGATTAATATTCATTACCATCTTATTTTTATTTAATCAAATTACAGAAGTTGTAAAATAGAACTTGTAAGATAATACAAATATTTGTCCAAGTATTTTTAACAACCCTGAAATGCTACTCATATTTTTTTTATATTAAAATACATTAGAGTCTGGCTGAGAATTCACCCACGATAATAACATTCCAGGGTTAAAAAAGACATCAAATAGATGTTTTGAGCACAAATGAACTATTGAGATTAATAGACGATATTCTTGCAAAAAAATAAACCATAAATGTAAACATTTAAAAAAATTCGAGTTCATAATCAACCTACAAATGAAAATTCTAAATTTATAAATAATTCGATACAAGAACAGCTATTTTATACAAATAAATGCATTATTCATTTACAATCTCTCTAACATTTATAAAAATTATATGAAAATATTATAACGATAAAATACATTGCTGTATGACTTGAAATAATCTAATTGAGTTTTGCCAGTTTATTCAAAATATCCTCAATCAAGTGAGATGAAAATTATATAAATTTTGTTTTTCTTGTAATGTTCAGACAACTTTATTTGGGCGGCCTAAAAGTTATAGCAGATAACATGCGCGACCAACGACTGTGATCCATTACAAACAAATGGAAATAGAATATCTGGAACTCTTTCGCGAAGACTACTGTATTTCGTTTTCTTCTTTATTAAGAAAGTTATGTATCTATATGCTAAAGTGAAAGAAGTAACTACCTCAGAGTAGGCGGTTCTTCTTGTTCCTCGTTTATAGGAATTACACCACTGACATTTTTGTCGCAGCTTAATGCTGAAAGTTCTTCATTCGAACTTTGCCTTTTAGGAAAATCCCAATCAACGGCCGCTTGCCACACATGGGCAGAATTATCTCCACTAGACGTTAATGCTAATTCTTTGGTTGGATGAAAACGTACTGAGTTAACGGAACCAGAGTGACCTAAACATTTAATTATAATATGTAGCGTATTAAACGATTTACAAAACATTTCTATCGATCAATCATAATCTTTGCAATTTAAATCTGTTATTTAGACTTAATAATTTCAAAAATATTTGCAATAAGTTATTTTACAACATAAATCTAAGCTTAGATAAATTAATCGTGCTTAAGAACCGAGGATTCAAATATCGGTTTCGATCCCAGAGCCGAAAAACCCATAAGATTAACTAGTGCCTTTTATAAAATAATTTTTCATTACAAAATATGCAAATTATAATATTAGGAAAGTGTTGATGCTTATTAAAAATTTATAACCCAAAATATGCAAAGACTATACAAAGTGCCACACAGATATGTGGTGCATATATTAACAAACCTATGTATTGAAGAAGACAGCGACCACTGTCTACCGCCCAAACTCTAACAGTATGATCAGCAGAAGCTGTAGCAATAACTTGACCTAATCTTCCAACAGAAACTTCCCAAACACCATCTCGGTGACCAGAATATTCTCTTTGCATGCTACAACTCATAGTCGGCGTTTTGAAACTTGAAACTATTTTACTTGTTTGTGCTTTCAACTTGTTAGAAGTTGTTTTTGTTTTCTGTGCTGAATTGCCTGCCATGGCTGCAGAAGAAAAAAATATTATATTAAAGTATAAAAAAAATTCTACAAGTAATCATAATTTAACATTTTTTTAAGTAAAAATATAAATTTATACATTTGGCTAAAGACAGTAACTATAATTCGACGTATAAATAATGTCACAAGAGCTCTACGCAAAAGTGATCAATATGTTCTATGTTTTATGAATCAGTAATTTTACACAATTAATATCCTTACATTTTTGTTTTGAAAGACTTTTTGTATCTGGGAAATCTGCAACATCCCCAAGAGGTAAGCTCCGTTCTCCAGAACCATAACATTCTCTTTCAAGCTTTTCATTAAGAGCATCAATTTTCTCTTGCACTGTATCAAGTAATATTACACAATTTAATAATATTGTTTGAATATTTTTGTCAAAGAATATAATTGAAGGTATGAAAATGAGAATTTTTAATAACAGAATGACTAATAAGAAAATGTATTTTGCATGCATAAACATTAAAACTATTATACTGTTATAATACAAGGTTCATACATCCCGAATTTTCTGTATAAAGAATTTCAAACTCCTTTTCTATCTGCTGAAACAAATCTAACAACCGACATCGTAAAGTTGGAGGCAATACACTGTCATCAGGGTCTATACGAAAAGCAGCATAGTGAACTGCATTTGGTTGTAGAGGAGTGGAACCACTTTGTGACTGCAATTCTGTATCTGTACTGCTTTGCACTCTTGGAATGGAAATTCGTTTAATTTTTCCAGAAGTTTTATTTCCAGTAGCTATAGACGGTTCTCCTGGCATCTTTCACTCTGAAAGTTTAGAACTTTCCATATTTAAACATTCGTACAAAAACAATAAAGAACTATTACCACTTATAATAATAGTAAATGTATATAAATCAAATATATCCAACATTCAAGAATGGAGATTGTGGTAAACCTTCTTCCTGATTATTCTACACAGTGAAACTTCAGCGATTATATACTTCTAAGCCATGCTGTGTACTTTTTAAAATGTAAGTAATTCATTCAGTACCATTTCTACTTAATTAAACCAATTTATTGCAAATTAATCTTTGATAGCTTAAATTATAATGCCTGAACTTAAATTAAAATGTTTAAAAAAACTGAAATTAAATTTTACCCATATATTGTGTCCTTAATGCAAAATAAACAAAATTCATTGTTTTGTTACATGCCCAAATTTACACTTTATGAAATATTGAATAATATTTCTCTACTATTTTTAACATCAGATGTACTCAAATATAACTTAGTTTACATAGGTCTACGAATACAATGGTTGCATATTATATGGCAGGCCTGCACAGTTGAAACTATTACTAACAAGAGAATTCTTCGTTGTTTCAAAACAGTCAAGAGCAAAGCCATGAATAAGTGATACATACAACATTAAACGTAACAACACTAATACGATAATACAAGTTCAACGTAACAACACTAATACAAATGCATTTACATACTACAATAGGCTTGCAATTATGTTCACAGATAATCCTACTACAGAATAATTGCTCCTAAAAACATAGCTTGCATGCTTCTGAATACTCTTTGTTCTTACTTGCTGACAATTGCTCCCAAGAGCCACAATTTATACAGGCCTGTTATACGAAAAGAATAATATGAGATATTTAATACTAAGGATAATACCAATTGACATATTTTAAAACTTTACTAGATACTATTGACATTATTTAGAAACATAAATTATTTTATATGTAGCTTATTATTTAACAGAAAGTCATAATTATTATCATTAGTATAATTATTACATTATTTAACTACCAATAACAAAAATTCATTACATTTAGAAAATTAAAGTACATATTATAACATTCTGCATGTGAAAGAACACCCGTTGCTTGCAGAAATATCTCGATAAACTCTGTAGTAAATATTACTGATATCAAATTCATAATATTATATATTCATGTTCCATATTATACCTACTCATATAATAACTTTATTTGATTATCAAACTAAAAATAAGAATACCATTTTATTCCTACCAACAAGAGTCTTATAAGTTTATATAAAAAAAATGATAATAATAATGACCAATATTTGCACATCATAAAATTTAACCTTTCTTTTTATGATTGTTTTATATACTATGTATAGTTAATATAACTTATGCATAAGAGCAAAGTTTATTTTTTGTTTAATTTAATAGAATATAAGTTAAAAAATACATATGCATAATAATGTTAACTACTGAATGTACTTACCATGTATCTGTTTTCTTGTATTCGTTCTTGAATAAAGATATATCACCATGTAAATTTATATAATCATACTTAAATCTTTTACATATACATAATTTAAAAAGATAATAGACACTTTGAAAAAACACACTTTACACACATATTAGGTTAATAAATAATGACGAAAACAGAATTAAGCAACACGCATATGTACATATTAACAATGATTTTAATTAATCAAAAAGAATAGAAATTGAAATAAAGAATTAGTTATTTTGCATTCACAATTTATGGCAGTCATTCTATATTCTATGTCAATCGAAATTTTAAATGTCCAGCTGATTAAATCGTCATACCTATCTTACCATAACAGCTTCGTATCTGTGAAGTCCGTCATTTACCCCGTTAAAACATAACCCAACTGATAATTATGACAGTTATGTTTAATAGTGATCTCTTAATTTAATGTAAACGTAAAACCCGTTCATTAATTATGAAAACAAATGTGTTACCGACAAATTTAATTATGAAGTGACATTGTCATGTGTATGACGTAAAAAACACCCGTGGTTAATACACAGGGTGTAAAACTAAATGCGTTGTAGCACAATACAATGCGTCATAATGTCTCTACAATGTATGTAAGTCTCTATGTATACGCAAGTACATATTTTTTCTATCTTATATGTAGTATTATTACGAAAACAAACATACAAAGAAAACAATTCCTGTAATATTCATATATTTACTATACTGAATATACAGTATATTAAGAATATACATATATAAAATGTACTAATTTCTTCGTACTAAACAATTGATTAATTCGGCCGGCTTAACTGTTATAATTTTATTTCTTAAGTCACTATTTATTTTTTTGTTTATTTTGTGTTTTATTTCTTATTACAAATACTAAATTGAGTTTGTAACTGATGACCACAGATGTATGTCAAAAGATCATGATATATACATATTTACATATCTATATGTTTCTACAAAAAAGGAGAAATAAAATCCTGAATTCTTATTTACTTTCCAGCAAGTTAATAGCTCACCTTTTTCTCCTCGGTGTCTAGGACTTTGTTCAAACTGAATATATGATGTAGTCCACGTGGAATTAGGAATGGTTTAAGTTATCATTTTTTGAGTTTAGAGTTTGTTTAAGAGATACAGGACTTTCAATTTTGCGATTTATGCCCATTTTCGTGAAAATTAATTGTACTTATAAATTTTTCTCTTCGAAACTACTTATCGTATTCGATTGATTCTTATTTTCTTTTAATTAAGAAGAATCAGTCTTCCCGAATAAATTTTGTTCAGGTCGAAGAATCATTTTTGCATTACTGAAAATTATTAACAAATTTTTATTTTGCATGTTTCGGCTCGAGGTCGCGCTTATAAAAATCCGAAAAAAATACTACCGTATCCGTTGAAGTGTTTTCCATAAAATAAGCCTATCAATCGGGCGGTACAGTTCATATGAACGTCACAGTAAACTGTTAAAGACCTCAGTTGACCCTCAGAAATTATGAGAAGACAAATGACCCTCAGAAATTATGAGAAGATATAACAAAATATGTATTAAAATAAACAATACAGTTTACTTTTGTTACAAAATAATTATTAACTAATATATGGAAGCAAGTGATAGAAATTATAACAGTTATATAAAAACTAACCAATGATTAAATGTAACAAAATTAATGAATATATAAATAACACAAAGAAGAAATGTATCATCTATATTGTTTTACTTAAGAAAGATGACAAGGATTGCGTATTAAGTGAAACAATTTTCAAATAAATATATTTTAATTAACGTGTCTTATTTTACATTCAAACAATGGATAACATGATTCACATGAATTATCCAGCAAGGAAGAGCTCGAAAAAACGAGGCTTGTATTCTTCAATTATTGAGTACTACTAAAATTCAAAAGCTTAATGCTATGATTCTCTTTGTCATGTACCCCTGTGCGCTTGTTCCATTAATTCTTTTAACAAATCAAATATATCGCCAAACGAGCAACGAACTGAATGAATCGACAAACATATTTGAATGCATGTATCTGAGAAGTGTAACGTCAGAGTGTAATTACACTTTCTCGGCCTGCTCCCACTCCAATCCATTTAACTGAAATCAACATTTTTATTTAACAAATAGTATTAAAATAAATCTATAATTATGAAAGGCAGTTAAGTTATAAATATAATTATAAAATACTATTGAACAATGTACAAAAGTAACTACAAGAATTGATAAGTAATATTTTATAAAATATTACCTGGTATACTCAGATGTTCCTCTATTAGTTGTATATATTTCCTAGCATTAGATGGCAATTTTTCTAATGATCGTACACCTTCTGTCGTAGACTGCCAACCATCGATAGTTTCATAAATTACCTCTACTTTTGCTAAATCCGAAGTACTACTTGGAAAATAATCAACTTCTTTTCCGTTTAACCGATATCCCACGCCAATTTGAATTTTTGGAAGAGTATCTAGTATGTCTAACTTTGTCAAACATATCGACGTATATCTAAAATGAATAAAAATAAGCGTTAACAGTTTTAATTCACATTCTTCATCTTTTCGTTCATAAACAGGATTTGAGTTTAATAATACGTCGAATTTTCCTTACCCATTGACCATTGCAGTGAATTTGAGGAGGGGTAGGTCCAACCAACCGCAACGTCTTTTTCTACCGGTAGTGACACCAACTTCGTGACCTCTCTTTTGTAAAATCTCGCCTGTGGCATCTAATAGTTCAGTAGGAAACGGTCCATCGCCCACTCTTGTGGTGTATGCTTTAACAACTCCGATAACTTCTCCAATATAAGATGGTGGAAGTCCAAGACCAGTACAAACACCACCTATACTACAGTTAGAGCTGGTAACATAGGGATACGTTCCAAAATCTATGTCCAACATTGCAGCGTTTGCACCTTCTACTAAAACTTTTTTTCCTTCACGTAATACTTGATGTAAATACTGAACAGTTTCTTTTACTAGTGGTCGTATTCTTTCTGCATATCTGCAAGCAAAAGAAAAATAACGTCCTTCCTTCAATAACAATCTTTGACTTTGGGAATAATATACAGATTAATTATTTGACTGTAAGATATTTTGAAACTTATATTCAAAAAAGTAATAATAATATGAATATTATTACATTTTGCTGCTTCTGAAAATAAATTAGTCACAGAGTGCTACTGCCACACAATTTGCATTTATTATCAAAGAATGCTGATGAAATTTGTTTGCTTATTTAAAATCATTTACCTACTTTTTTACTCTTTGCATAGATGACTAATTCTTTCAATTGTTGTTAATGTTTTAGGATGTAAATCTTTGCATTTTCTAATAGACATAACATAAATCTAAACGACAATTGATTCACACGTTTTTTCAACCGTCTTCTACAAAAAAAATGTTCACTTCAAGGAATGCTAAACTGGTATTGGAATTAAATTTCTATTGAAATGTTAACGTTATTATTACTTAGCACGTGTGTTATTTTATTTTTTCAAAGTTCTGTTCAAAGTAAGTAATGCAAGAATACGTACTCTTTGTACCGTTGAAGCTCAGCTTTTACATCAACTTGTAGTGCGGGAAACATTTTCTGATACGATGTCACCAGCGATTCAAATTTTTGCGAGAACTTATCAAAATTTCCAAGAAGATCGCCAATTCTAAGTCCATTTCTAGCTGCTTTGCTCGAGTACGTTGGTCCAATTCCTTTCTTAGTAGTGCCAAGAGACTGTGTACCTTTTTCCAATTCTTGAAGACCATCAACTTGTTGGTGGAAATCGAAGACCATGTGCGCACGATCGGAAATCACTAATTGTTCTTGCCAGTTTTTTAAACCTTTCGCTTCATTGCTTTCCAATTCCTCAAAGAGACCTGGCAGATGTATTACTACCCCATTCCCTGAAAAATATTCATTATAGTAAGAATCGCTTATCTACCCATTATCAGAATATTTAAAAGCTGTCAAATATAATTAATATTCAATGTATTTTTTATTTTATAATACAATACCGATAGTTTTATGTCGAAAATGCATCAAAATTAATAAAAAAAGACAAGTCTTTAGGTTGATAACAAAATGTTTCAGAATTTAGAAACATAGGTTTAAAAAACAAAAAAGTGGTAAAAACTATTTTAACTGACATACCACATGTTATCACAAAGTACAATAAAATAAAAATATAAATGCAGGTATGTATTCTGTATTAGATATTAGAATATACCATTTGAAGTGTAATAAACTTTTAAGTATTCCCATAGTATATAAACTACATGTTTTGTTAAAAACAATTTTCAAAAAACATATATATTTCAAACTTGTGATATACTACACAATTCATTTAACAAGTTGACAGCTGTGGAGGTCGTCCACATGAAAAATGTTATTCCACACTCATTTTATTATCTCGTGCAGAATCAACCTTTTTCGAATTGTTTCACCCGTTATAGGACAGCCCGTAGGAACTTATTGTTTTTAACGCATTATATGCTAGAGAGGCTTCGAATATTCTATAATTTAATTTTTTATGTGACAAAATATATCTTACTAAACATTTCAGATTTAATTGCCAATGTAAAAGGCAAAGATATCAAAGATACCCAAAAAATACCAATCAAAAATAAATTTAATATTTCATTATACTTTTAAGTGATGATAGCATCATTCAAACGACGATAAGAATATCCCGGCGTTAGGAAGGAACGTATAAATTGTATTAAATGCTGATTCCGTTCATGAAGTATCTTCTACATACATACATATTTGGTTACGGCCTGTACGGACGTCATACTTTGTCGGAGAATACAACGAGAATCACCAAAAATAGAACACTTCTCTACCTCCCTTGGTTTTAACACTAGAACTACCAGCACTGAACTTATATACTAAATGAAATACCTAGTTCAATGTAGTAATATATTATATACTATGCTGTAATAATAAAGTATAACATAAAGCGTATAATAAATTAAGAAACAAGAGCACCTTTATGATTTCAGTAATTAGTCTTCCTTAAATTTAATTCAAGATCCTGGTAAAAACTATCTTTTAACAGAAGGATCATGAACTATTTTTTCACAATGTTCGCATAAAGATTTGCAGTCTGTTAGTGACATTTTCACGAGTTTGAAAAACATACACATGGCTATGAAATTACAATGCAGATGATTTAACAGGAACGATCGATGATTGTTACAAAAATAATAAAATAAACGTTATGAGTAGCGATGAAGTCATCGGAAGAATTGAGGATTGCGTGAACAAAGATCACGATGAGAAGGACAATAGTGTAATTAATGTTTTCACACATTCTAAAGTGTTCATTGATTCGTAAGTTATACAGTAGCATGTGCATAAATAGAAAAAATCTCATAGAAACATTAACTTTGGTAAATATACACAATTTATTAAGAAAACAATAATTAAGACGTAATTGTATAAGGATCATTCAATTATTTCATTTTCGAAGCATTGATGAGAGTAGGCATAATTCGAGATTACATTTATAATTAACGTCATAATACTAGGTAATCATAGGTCTAAAATGGATTGAGATGTTTACAATGAAAGTTTTATTGTAAAAAGTGTTGGAACTGTTGACCGTTATTGTTGATACAGACATCAAATTAGTTGAACAAGTGATACACACACATATTCTAGTGTACATCTGGAGATTTTTGCATATGCAGTAATGATAGTTCTTCCATGCTTTCCGAAGTCGTCTTTGGTTCAATAAAATTCAATAAAACACCGTTTACACTAAAACTTTCATTACAAATATCTCAATCCACTTTAGACTTATTATGCCTTGATACGTATTCATTGAATTTTTAATGCGTATTTAATTTCCGTAAAGAAATATAGGGTATTCCATTTAAAAACTTTCAAAACGTTACGTGCAAATAATGTAGAAAAAGAAAAAATATACTCTAACGTATGTTCTATTTGATACAATGCAACTTTGGTTTGAAACATTTTTCCGCACAACCAGTAATTAACGTGTAATTTGAAATCGTCGATTTAGCTGCCTTACCCTGTATATTAACACCATACCCCACGGATGACGCTTCTTTGCGTCAAACTGTGAACAGCCTTGTTACCGATGACGCAAAAGACCGTTAACTGCCTATCGAGCACAATAATCGACACGCATGCGATTTCAATTTCAGTAGAGACTACGAAACGATGGTACCAGTTCGTCGTACAGAAATCAAAACTGATCTTTATTCGTATACCGTCGAAAAATTTCAAAACATGACATATAGAAGCTATAATTAACGAAGATTAGAAAGAAATTTGCATCTTTTTTTCCCTCATTTATACTGCCGGTACTAGGTGAGCGTACTAAACGGATTGGTCCCAGTCAATAATTTAAGGAAGTTATTCGAATTACAATTAAAAATGCCTAGACTGGAATTTTATTGTAAACGGTCAAGATCGAAAAATAATTACCTATAAGCGACGTACACCTAGAGTTGATTATCCCACTAGGCAGAAGATGGAAGTGAAACTCCGCACCGTCTACTACAACAGTATGCCCGGCATTGCTTCCTCCCTGTAAAATTGAAATTTTTCTTATGCTCCTAAATACATTTCTCTCCTTTTTTTTTTTTATTAATATTTCGTACGTTATGATGTATTCTAATAGTTTCCGGTATGAAGAGTTAAAAAGTTAAATTACAGTTAAATGAAAACTATTTTCTTGGATAAGTTTGATGATTCTGAGAAATAATTGAATAAAAAACATGATTTCTTGCGTTCTATAAAAAGAAAAAGATGACTTTAAAAAAAGAGAAATTCGAACGTTAATAAGAAAGAGAGAGAGAGAGAGAGAGAGAGAGAGAGAGAGAGAGAGAGAGCGTAATTTAGAAAATTGAAAAGAAATTTTTGTACTAAATTATATATAATCCTTTTAAAGTCTAATTATACTTTAAGATACATTAATTATACTTCCATAAGTGTAAATATATGCGTTCCTATACTCAAGTGAGATTAATTCTTAACTACAGACGATAACTCAATGTTATCTTTTGTCGCCGTGTTTGAAAATAGTGTGCTATTTACTGTCAATTGAAGAGACTCACACGCAAAAGCTTCCGAAATTCTCCACTAGATTCTGATGGTAAACTAAAACTTCAGGTTCGTCTCTGAGACTGGTGGTTAAGGATTAATTTGTGTAATTCAGGATGTGCTCATATATATGCTACGTTCATTAACACTTTCAAAGATAATCCGCCAAGGACATGGACGTGTAGACAGAAAAATACACATACCTTCGAAGCATGCAAATCGAATGAAATAATTATAGTGGACAAACTTGTTTCAGTGCATTTATCATATGCATCCATTTTTCTCATGGAAACAGCCTCTTTTTAATCGTTTATGTTGAAAAATACATATGTATAAAATGAGATATGTATACAGGGCGTGGCAGTATCAATGGTACAAGACATAAAATGAAGTTTTTTTTTTTTTTAATTCAAGGCTTTGTTTACCTCTAATGTAACTTGGTTAGCGTGCCCGTTTTATTTCTTAAAGGTTCTAGTATTTATTGCAAGTACTAATTGTAGAAAGTTGATTGTACGAACATCAGATAAATTTTCGAAGTCGAAAAAATTTATTTTACAATTGCATACATATGCATTTATACCATCAGCAATGCCGCACAGAGTATTGAGTAATTAAATATCGAATATTTCGTAAATTCTATGTCGTACAATTTATGTGATACAATACGGAGTAATCGAATACTTCTCTGATCACTCGATTCGATTATATTTTTTTTGGTGAGCCTTCGAAAACGATTGAGGTTTCTGAAATTGTATGAAATGTATTTTGTCTGAACCTAAAACTGTTCGAGATAACTATGTATATTTTCATCCCTCAAAATCGGGATATTACTACTCCTTTTAAGCGGAGCGCGAAGCTTAGGGAAGCTTAAAAAATTCAAACGAATTAATATGATATTTGAAAGAGATGGTGGACAAAATAAAAAACGATTCTTTCGCTGAATTGTACTTCTTATCTAAGTTATAAAGAACTTCAACTAATTGTGAAAAAAATACTTCGATGTGACTTGACACAGAAATAAATCACGTGAAAATATTCGACACACATTTTTTCTATAATTCACATTAATATTACAGGAGTGGAAATATTTTTTGAATTTCCGAAATGGTAAAAGTTCAATGAAGACAAAACCTAATGGCGAAAAGGAAGGAAATAGCGAGGACAATAATATTATTATAAAGCTGTCGATAAAGCTCAATTTTGAGAGAGAAGCACTGCAAAATTAAACATTGCCTATTGATACATTTGGTCTCATTTTTACCAGAAAAATTTCGTTAATGCGCGATAAATACTTTCCAGGAACTGGAACAAAAAAGGTAAAAATTTAACTTTGTACGCAGGTATATTTGATCGCACTTGACCGAGAATTGCTATCAGATTAAGGCCATAATGAGTTTGTTGTTCTGAGCGATTCTTGGAAAAGGTGAGGATATCGATTTGTAAACAGGGAAGGGGAGGATTTTGTGTAAACACGGAAGAAACACTGCAGATATTATTACGAGTATAACTTCAAATTGTCTAAATAACTTCATTTAATAACAAAATTTGATAATGGTTTTGACTTTCAATTAAATAACAAAAAATATAACTTTTTGAACCTCGTTCATTGTAATCCTTGCGTAGGCAACTGGGTACCCGAGTACCCAGGTACCCATTTCTAAATTTCCTTTCACAACTTTTTATGTTCCTGTTTAAAACAGCACTTGGTATATTATAGGAAGGGAAAATTAAGAGTTTCGGAAAAGTATGAAAGTAAAATTATCTATGTTGATCTAATCTGTCAGAATGGGAGTATTCCGGTTGCTCAATAACCAAGAATATTTTGGTTGCCCACACAAGGATTAACAGGCTGTAAAACCGTGAATCTACATAAACATTCTTAAATTTAATTAAATTTTCACCCAGATGCGTCAGCTATAAGTGCATGAAATCCGCAGTTTAGTAATAAAAAATCAAATTTCTGTTACACTAATGCTTAATCTATTAAAATAACATTCGACATTGCTTTGAAATCATTTAGTCATTCAACGTTAATGCTCTATTTCGCTCGCTCATGGTGCGTATATCGTCTTTTGCTATCTTCAGCAAATAGAAGACGCCAGGCTATGCTCAAAACCTCAATAAAGGAAGTTCCAGACCACAAAAATCGCCCGCAAGCGATTCGTCGTATGCAAAAATTTGTCGATACATTACTGTACATATATAGTAACCCACGATAATCTGTTAACACCTTGAGGATCAGGAATGCAAATTTATGTTCGTGTGCAACCAATACTATACGACTGAATATTCAAATTTATATTCCAGCAAATTATCGTGGCATGTGATCGTTACCTCAGAGTGGACAAATTTCGTCTAATTTTGTTTTATACAGTACTTACAAATCCACGTGGCTCTGTAGGACCAATTTCCAGCCATAGACAATCAGTATAGGTAAAGTTCCTTTATATGAAAGGACTAAATACCAAAGAAATAAGGACTACTGATTACATTGTTTCAAATAAATGTTTGTTACAATAATAATGCCTTTGGTTCACTCTTATCGTGAAATATGCCAGCGATCACTTTAAACTTCGAGCAAACCACACTGGTCTCAAGGCGCTACCGTTTTTTAATGATCCTTTTTTTTTGTAATCATAGAATTCGTCAGATAAAACCGGTTGGACAAAGATAGAAAATAAAACATATCGGATATAAGTAAATACCCAGTACTCGGAAAGAACTCACATTGGTAAAAGTTCTAAGCGGTGCTGAAAGAAATATTTGCAGAAGTACGAGTAAACCTATCTACATAAAATCTTGCCATGATCTCACCGCGTCGAGATCCATATTCAAATCAAATCTGTACTTGATAAGAAAAAACTCATTAACGTAATACGAATAAAAATTTTTCAATTAATTAATCGTAAGGAAACAGTACTTATGATAGATCATGGGATGTTAACAAATAAAAATATTATCTATGTATAACTCTTCAGCGTCATTGATTCTATTTTACTTGATAAGCAAAGTAAAATGTACCCAACTGTTTTATCAATACGTGGCGTGACTTCGAATATCGTGCATAGCATTTACATAGTACACTATAGCCCTACAATGTATAACTCAGTCTTTTACACAGCATAAGTATATCTCTTCGCAAAATAGTCATATGATTATTACACAGTGTGAATAAAAGTAAATAAATGTACAAGTACCGTTTAAATACAGTTTAAAATGTCCTTTAATTACAAGGTGAATAAATTACGAAATTGTCTTATTATATAAACACAGCAATTATTAATTGGTATGACAAAAAATATTTTTTAGATATTATTGAAATGAATAAGAAATAAATATGAACTAATCTTTGAAATATAATATGTACAAAAATTTTATAAGAAATCGATTTTGCTTAATTAAATTCTATAAATGTAGTATGTCATTTTCTACAATAGTAAATTATATTGCATTATTGAATATTTAATAAGAAGTTATCTTTAGCAAAATCAATTGCATTAATTTTAGTCCCTTTGAATGTTAACAATTCTCCCTTTATTTCTTGGTCAAAGTTTATACACAAATTTCTTTAATTTGGTAGAATAAATTACAGTTGAAAGATAAGTAATGAAAATAAGTTTTGTACGTACATTTATGTGTGTTTCTTTAAATACTTATAGTAAGTTTTGTTACAACATGGAAAAGTATCATTACATCATACATATCATCCAGTCATTAACAATTGACTAAATAGAACATATTAAGGAACGAAATTTTAAATACTTCAATACAACAATAGAGATAAGAATTTTATTATTAACCGCAAAAGTGGTGTTTTTAGATTGTGACATGTATTAACGTATATGTAATAATTATTTTTAATACCATCAAATGAGACTCATTTTATCTAATGAAAAATAATCATAAGTTCTATGACTACAATAAAATAAATACACGAATCAAGATTAAAAAATTCTAGAGCTGTAGAAGATGTATGTATTTAACTTTTATATATACTATAAAGATATACTTGCATAAAATTAATGAGCAGAAATATATATAATGGAGTTAACAAAAATATATTTTGAAATTACATCTTATCATGAAATTCTTGTATTAAAATAAAAATGGCAATTGTCATGTGAGTAAAGCAACAAAAATAGAAAGCAATTGCACACATTCAAATTAAATCATGAAAATAGAAGAAGCATTTGAATAATCACGTGCTAAGGAAGGAAGGAAGGGAGTTAAGACGAATAGAGAGAGATAACGGGAGACACGAGAGGGAAGAGAAGAAAGAAAGAATGAGAGAGAGGGAGACAGAAAGAGAGAGAAAAGAGGAAATGCTTCCACTACAATTTCAAAATAAATAACAAAGGGAATGAAAAATATATTAACAATCTTAAAGAAACTACACTAGTCTCTTTCAGTAATTGACAAATAAATTAACTGTAATTTAAACGCAACGGTGCGCGTGTGGGTTTACATTTCAAAAAAACTGAAGATGATAAGGGAAAAGATGGCGGACTCACCTGACACCTGCAGACGACGTCAGCATCCATTGCAAGCATATCAACGACCTTGCCTTTACCCTCGTCGCCCCATTGTGCTCCAAGAACGACAGTAACTTTCGCTGAAGCATTTGATAAACGTTGTTTTTTTCTTGGTGAACCGAGAACGCTGTCCCCATTTGCTTGTTGGACGGAACGCTGCATCTTCGAATACGAGTGTTCGTAAATTTTTGATGAATTGAACAAACTGCGCGCGCACATGCAAAGACGAGATTCGCCGCGCGACTGCTCCAATATAATCCGATGTAGAATGATTCAACTAGCTTATATTTCCCGGGCGAATGTAAGGACATCTAGTAGGAAAATATAGGGATTACGTAAATGAAAGATGATGTAGAATGTAGATCATAGATCCATTCACGACCACTATAGTACAACGTAAATTTGAACTTATCAGTTTTTTATGTGCATAATAAAAACACTTGATACTCTCATTGTATAATTGAACAAAAAAACAAGACAAATTGAAATGCTCAAAATTACTTCCTCGTGATTGAAAACAAAGTTAGTCAAAGAGTTTTATTAATAACATTGTTATCATACCTTATATTAACCATTCATATTAAAAATAAACCTGAAGTAAACAATAATGACGACGTTCATGTCACGTGATAAGACTCTTATTGCTCCACGTTTCTCTAGGCAAGAGCGTACCGCGCTTTTAAGACACCCGAGCATAATTCAGTGTTTGGTAAGTCCCGTGAGTCATGATTGGTTATGATTATACTTTATCAATTAAATTACATTACACATTAAATGCCTTGAAAGTTCACATGGTTTAATATTTATGGAATATCATCTTTAAACAATTGTCCATTAACCAAGTACGGTTCCAAGTAACTCGATTTTAAATGTGATAAGATACGACAAATGAAAGAATACGACTCTTCCGAAAAAGACAAACTCTCAACGTTAATATGTACCTATGCCCATATCATTGTCGCGTGGTTTTATTTATATCAAGAAATTAATCAAACAATAAATGCCAATCCCTGATTTCAACTAGAAAAATAAAAATGTTTTACACATTTCTTAATATTTTTTCGTACATTGTATGTGTATATACATATATAAAAGTACATATGCTACAAAAAAAGAACATTTAGAATGGTTATGTTATCAATAAAAATTAATTTCTTATATACATTTGAAAAATAAAGATTTTAGAAAAGATAATATAATCGTGATAGGATTATAATGTTTGCAAAGTATGTTTTCCACATAATTTTTATTATATTTTAGATGTGACTGAAATAATCATTTTCATGTTTAATTTTCTTGTGTTTGTTGTTTTAATTATATATATTAATTGTCAATTTCATCTGAATTTGTAATTTTTGTACATGATATTGATTTCATGTATATTTAATGTATTCTTTAATTTTACAAATAAGTAATAAATTTAATTTACAATGAACAAACACATAAATTCATCGTACAAGACATATTATAAAACCATGACAATTTGTTAGTAGTACACATCATGCATCATGCATGTACATACATACAATGTATTATTGCATGTAAGCATTGGAATCACGCCTTTCTCTAGCACGTCGATTTTGAAACCAAATCTTTACCTAAAAGAAAAAACATTGTGATATTAACCATATAGATACATTTCAAAAATTTCATTTTAAAAATTGTTCCTAGAATGTTAATAAAATCCTACTATTATATGTTTCCCATTTAAGTTTTATTGATCATGACTTTTAACTTTCAAATATTTAAGATTTTTATGTAGTGTTTCAAACTTATTTATGATTAATATTAATAATATGCTTTTGAATTATTCTCAGAATTGTTTATACAATGTTTTACACAAAAGAAGATGTACGAACTTATATGTTCATACTTAATATAATTTTGTAGACTTCATTGGCACAATTATTGAAATGTAATTACCAACACTAATCATATTATAACATATGATATAAATATTAAATTTTTATTATATAATCTGTATCGCTGTGTGGATTTATATTGGAAACAAAATTGATTTTATAATTTGAGTGTAACAGTATTTTCTATATAGACTTGATTGTATAAAATGCTTTCTGATTTAAAATTGAATTATTTAGTTTATTTAACTATTTGGTATAGATCTTCATTCTTTTTTTTATTTTTTATACATTTTTTCCACTATGCTTGTTATCTCTTTGTTTAATTTTTTATTAATAACTCATAAAATTTATAAAAGTTTTTATAGGAAGTAATAAAATTATCCTATTAGTGGATCAAATATATGTAAATTTTGTAGTTTTATTATGCGGAAAAGAAATTATGCAATTACTATTATAATAAAATGTTTTATTCGATTTATCTTCGTTTGTACATTAGACAAGTCATCAGTTAAAGCATCGGCCAGACAATTATGAATCAGAATATAAAACGTTGGTATGGAAAAATTTTGCATAAATCGGAAAAAAATATTTTTTTAATTGTACTTTATCTTTACTGAATCTGTTTTTTTTTCTTGAACTCCTTTTAAACGTATGTATACAATTACACTCAGTAGATGTAATTTTCAACAAAAATGTTAACAGTAAGTGTAACAGATTTACATAAATCGTAATTTGTATTTTATTGTACATAAAAAAATTAATAATACAACACTTTTAACACATACTTGAACTTTAATTAGAACGAGAAATACTTAGTATTAATTTTGTGTTTTCATAAAGTATACAGAAATTCTAATTACAATTAGAAATTAAATCAAACATGGTGTATTATCGGAAGTACCTTTTTAGAAGGAAGTTTTAACGTGTCCGAAAGATAGAGTACGTCATTTTTTGAAAGGTAAGCGCTATTGCGAAATTTTTCTTCAAGAATGTCAAGTTGAAACGTTGAAAAAGGTACTCTGGGATAAAGACTCGCTTTCCTTTTATTTTTATCAACTCTTGATTTTCTGGGAACCTTTGGCGGTTTGTACCTTGTACAATGAAGCCAATCTAATTTACTTCGTGCTACCTGCGGACATCCTCCTGTCTCTTCAGAAAAATCGATGAATTTCCTGCTTTGATTACTGAGTAATAAATAGTTACTTTTTACTTCTAATGTTTTTCTGTCGTCGTTTAAACGGTTATATTGATTAATCAATAATGTAGTGTTAGGATTTTCATTTAAACGCTTCATCTGGCTGTCACTATATTTTTTCTGATTTATTTCAAATTTTGTTTTTTTATTTATCTTCAAATTTCTTACGGGACTTATTTTTTGTCGTCCTTTAATTTCCATGTTTTTCACGGAGGCATTCTTATTTATATTTCTACAACTTATGTCAAACTCTTCAAATATAAACCTTTTCGATTTCAATTTACCCCTTACTCTAACTTTTTCAATTATCTTTGTGTTGTTTATTTCATTTGAATCAAATGCTACTTCTGTAACGTGTCCTGTAGAGGTTTCATTATCATCGGTACATTTTCCTTCGTATAATGTTGCAAAATTATTGTATCGGTCACATTCAAATCCTTGTTCGAAATTTATATAAAATTTGTCGATAAAAAACTGTTTCTTTGTCGTATCAATTTCACTGGTTTTTTTTACATTCACTTCACAATTACTGGCATCATTAGTTTCAAAAGTTTGCTTTGAGTCCTTTATTATGCACAGATGACTTTTCAGACTTGTTAAATTTATTTCCTTCTTACTGAAACCCAAAATGATTTCTTCCTCTGCGTTTTTACCGTTCTGGGATTGGTAATGTTTGTTTCGACAGTTAAATGCGTCTGTATCTGCTAAAATACTCTCGATACTGAAGTCTCTCATCTTTCCTATCCGTTGCATGTCGAAACTTTAACTGCGGTCGTTTAATGAAGTCCTGTTTATATATGGCCCTACCATACGACCCAATACACTTTGTCGAATTGTGGCTCTTTGGGGCTCAGTTTCAAATTAAACGCATAGTTGAGCATTTGATGCTATCTCGTCAGGCGAATGCTACAGTGTGCAGCGACTTTCAACCTTATCCTTCCTTATAAAATAACACATTATACAAATATTGCTTTTCGATCTCCTTAACAAGGAAATAACATTTTTCATTACTCTAATTCTGTTCTCCACAATTTTTTTTAATAGGTATGACTTCGTTAGTCCTTTGTCCAAGTCATTTTTAAGTGCTTAATATTTTTTATTTTTCATTTTAAATTAAATTTTAGTACTTAGACAAGTACTATTAAGAATAATAGAGAGAAAAGAACGAAAATACACCATTTGAAATTCATTCTACTTGAATACAAAAACAGACGTAATGTATGAAATCATGAGAAGTACAGATTAAAAAATGGGGTTGATAAACACTGTTCAACTGGTAGTACTTAAAACTATCATGTAATCCGGAACACATTATCTATTGGAATATCGATCGAAATCCTGTAATAACAATGTAATTGATACTATTGTGGGGAGAAACGAAACCAGAAGCGAACAAAAGCGCGTACACCCCTTACACGGAGATTTGAATGAAGCAGATGGGATGCGGTGAAGCTTATATAATTGGGAAAGTATACCTAGAATGTCAGGATTATCGGCTAAATAGACCAAACAGTAAACACAAATATTTGTTTTTTATATCCACGTGATAAATGTATATTTCCATCTATATAACAAAAGATATTACTCTATTCTGCGAAGTATCCTAAATTTTAAAAAGTATTTCAAATTCGATTTTAAGTAATTAATGCTATACGGAGTTTAAATATAATAATCTTCAAATAATTCAATTCGTAAGGTAAAACATGATGTTTTCATGCAAGAAACTGTAACGTTCGATAAAATAAACTCATTTTGATTTTAGTACCGTTCGGATTTAAGAAAGTGCTTCGCTTAAAATGTTTATTCCTTCTTCGGGAGTAACGATCAGCCCACCGAAACTGTAGAATCTTTCCCATGACACAATCGACGAAATTTGATTATATAAAAATTGTTGTTTCATGTATTTCTATATCTATAATACTTATTGTTATTATGAACAAATACTGTATAAAATATTTCGAAATGTGTAAATTCTTGTTATTCTCGGAATCGTTCAAATGAAATACTTATTTTAAAATCTATTTCAAAAATTGAATGCATATGACATACCGTTCCATCTTTATACTTTTACACAGGCTCAAAAATAAAATAAACTATTTGTTCTTTAGTATTTACAAATTTATATTTTACTGAGCTCTGTTCAGCACCGTACGTAACTGTCACCATGTTTTTTGTATAATGCGATTGTACATGATATACTTATTCATATAAACATTCTATCACGAATGAATTTCACAGGTAAAGTTTTAAATCGAAAGTGACTTTCAGTAGTTTATGTCTACTTACATGTATATCAGTAGCATGTGTTAAATTTTTAGGAAAACTTTGATATCTGTTTAAAAAAATCAACACAAAGCGGAGTACTGAACACGTACTATTCCGCTACCGAACAATTCTTGAATTGATACTTTTTGTGTAACAAAATGTTGTATTTATGCAACTTTAGACAATCTTTTTATTGGAAACGAAAATAAAATAATATATATTATTCTCTCGAAATATAAATAATACATTATAATACTAGACATCATATTATAGAAGCCCACTTACATGTGAAAAATACATCAAAAAATTGATTTATCATAGTGCTATAAATACTTCAATTTCTTCAAATTTCAAAACGTCGTAGGATGTAAGTGGAAAAAGAAATAATAAAAGGAAAAAATATTAAACAAATCTTTAAAATCCTCTTTCGTAACTGCAACATGCAAAACTGAATTGAATAATGCAAATTCACTGAAAACAATTGTTAGTGAAATGTTGCATAATTGCAACATTGGGTCCTAATGAGTTAAGAGAATTTATGTATGTGCATACTCTTCTTTCATTTTTGGAATTACTTCTTTATTCTCTACCTGCAGATTACCTACTTATATTTTTTAAATTGCCTTGGAAGAGTACGTACGTTGTTCGGAATGAATTCGTTGTTTAGGAAAAATTGGGTTTGAAAAACATCGGAGTAATAATACTTAGCATCAAACACATACTTCAAATGGAATCTTTGGTCTTTCTTTTGGAAAATTCTTTTTGGAAAAAGAATTATAATAAATATGACATTCAAAAGAAAATACAGATTTGTTCTATTCGTGATTCAGTGATAAATGAAGGTTTCGTCACACTGACCCTCTTCTATAAGGTCAACCGCGCCCACCCATACGTCTGAAGAATATTTTCTTTTACACAGATCCGTTGCGATATTATGAAACAGGGAATAGTTTGTGATGTGATTTACAACCACAGAAATACTTCTAAATAATAAAATCTCTTGATGTTCAGTAGACGGAATCTTAATATGTACATTTATTTTCCTAATTGTGAATAATATAAAATATTATGTTATTTGTAAAACTGTATGCCTTCATCCTATAAGAAATACAAAGAGATAAAACTGTATATGTATACACAAACAACTATGCTAATGGGTTAATATGTATGTATAATAATAATACTATCATTTCATTGAGAAAATAAAAACTTTCATTTTCATTAATAGGTCAATTAGAAAACAAACAGTAAATTCATATGTTTATAATAATATTTTATTATTTGCATTACCTATATCTTACAATATATCTTTCATCTAATTGTACGAGCACAAATTTACGTCCAGAAGACACGTTCATTGCGTATGTCTGCAACTTTAGGGTCCGCATAAGTCATACGCTCATCGAAGGTGGGCTCAATGAATTCATCTTCTGCCACTGTCCAAAATATTGGCTCTTCAAAGAAACGTCCAACTTGCCAGCCTGGGAAATCCTTCATTACGGAAGCTTCTTCATCTCGCATGCGTCTCATATGTTTCAGAAGTCTGTTAAAAAAAAAACTTGCAATAACTTCACTTGATGTGAAATATTAAAGTATTATACATATGTACAAGGATGTATTCTATTTATAGAAATTGAATTAATAAATGTTCGTTAAGAAATGTTCATTAATCAAATATATCTTTATTAAAATCAGAGATGCCCAAATTCATAATCTAGATAAAGAGTTTCGAATAACGAATAAAAGATAAAAAAAAGTACTTCGTTATTTTTAATCGTTTAAATGCGAAAATTCCAATGTTTATAACAAAATAATACTTGTTGCCGAACGAGCCGATATTTGGCAAACAATTATTTAATCTCATTAACTGTTTACAGTTCGGAATGACGCCCTTAAATACTGCAGCTTTTTATTATGTATTACTCGAATAAAATTCTAATATTATATGGTTTTTTTTAAAACGTGCCAAAAAGTAGACAAACTATAATTTTTTCAATATTTTGTTAAACTAAATTTTTAGAAAGTCCCATTACTTTCATGCAATACAAATAACAAGTAACACACTACAAGTATAAAAAAAATTGATTTGTCTCATACTACTTATATTTTGAGTGCATAAATGTTCGGAATATGTTTATTAAAAACAGTACTTCGCCTGTTCAATCACGGTTGCTTCATTCATATTATTCAACTATAAAATAGATAATTAAGTTACTTTGACCATTATTATATAACATTATATAGAGATTAACTAAAGTAGCTCATGTTTACGTAAACATTTAGTATCTAAAGATGACATTTCTGGATACATACATGCATCCTTAATTCATGCCAAAAGGATTTAACAGACATATGTGCACATTTATAGAACTCAAAGGGTTAAAGATAAACAAAGTTATAAACAACATTCTTACGCTCTATCTCTTTCTGCAGTCAACATTGGCATTAAAGCTAAGCGGGCACTTCTCATTTCAAGTTCGTTTTTTTTTACGCGTTTATGCTCCAAAGTATATAAGTAATACCCACTAATTGTTGCAGTAAGAAAAATAGCTATACCAGCGCGACCTGAAAGTTATATTTTAATCATCATTTATATGATATGAATGCTATGTAACTACATCTACTTTAGCAGCAAAATTTAAAGAATATTTATGTGTGTACATATTTATACGTATACCTCCGATTACAGTACGTAATGGAATTCTTTCAATTTGATATGGTGCATATCCTCCTTTAGGAGGCATATCTTGGGGCCCCGATTTTGCTGCTGTTGCCATTATTACGGCTTTTTACTGTGCGAAATTAAGATACAGTCCACCAAAACCAAAATCAATATGTATTTAGATTGATTTAGATATTGGGACTCACACTTTAAAGAAGCCATGATTAGTAACAGCACCAACAGTGATTATTATATGAACTATTCTTTGAAGTAACCTAATGGCGGGAAGTTTTCAATTTCAATTTGTTCGTTTCTAATTATGTTTTTTTCATTACCAACTGAATTTTAATTGAATTTGCGTAAGTTTTTTTGTAAGTTGAATTTATCTGTTACAAATATACAAATGTAAAGCAAGATATAAAAACGAATAAAACATGAACATGTAAAAAGTAACATTAGTAAAATGTCCATTAACGATGCATTTAGAATAAATTGTCTTGTAGTTAAGTGAAAAAATATATACTTTTCCGTTTCATGTTTCATGACTGTTATATTTATCCCTTAACCTTAAACTGAAGCATCGGATATTTTTATTCTCGTGAAATCATATAGATACACGTAATATGAATGGAATATATAACACTTCATTTGTGCTAATAATACTCAGAATTCATGCTGTATCGGTAACGTCGGGTATTGACACTAAAATGGTAACAGGGCTACGTAGCCCTATGAACGTGGGACAGAAAAAAGCATTGGATGATAGGTCTATTCTATACCTAGTCGGTGGTAATGTCACGTGAGGCACTTCCCCTCGCACGTATACTTTACGCACACGAATTCACTCTCTCACCAGAGAATTAATGGTACTAATCCGGCAACGTCATTAAGAACGTATACGCAATTCATAATATACATACACAGATATTTAGATTACAACAATTACTAATCGAATGTTATAAACAAGAACATGAATTCGAAAATTGAATGTTTAAATCGTCCGCAAGTATATGGATGAGTGTGATCTAGACGACAGTGGCGTTTAGCGACGAAACTCGTGGCGCTCTCGAGAAACAAGAAATGGTACTAATTGGCTAGCAATTTGAACTGTTTGCCGTTGATGACACCACACTCTCTTTCGTCTACTTTCCAATCGTGTAAAGTAAAAGAATGAAATATTAATTAAAAATACTGCAACTAACAATTATTTATACACAGTATCAGATCAGACGATTTCAATCAAAATCCCTCTCAGGAATTTCAACCAAGGGGACCCTTGAAGGTTTAATAGCCCTGGACTACAAGAAATCTTAATCAGGCCTACTTGTATTGACATATTTCGTCATTTCAGTATATATTTTTAATAAGAAATTTAAGAAAAGTAAACATTTCCAATACATTTTATTAATCATGAAATTAATTAATTAAAGTCGATCTCCATATTAGGAAGTTTAAACAAGTATATATATATATATATATAATTAATATGCATTCGTGATCAAGCAAATTATATGTAGTTTTCTGCATAAACACTTCAAAAGTATGCATAACAAATTAAAATACTGAAAAAATAAAAATATTTATTAAGAAAATTTGTTTACAGATCGTCAGAACTAGAAATTTACATTATTAGGTTGGTATGTTTCGAGCTATTAATTGAAGCTATAGTACAGCACTCACTAACGCGATAAGTCAGTATTATTGAATCATTGTGTTCCAAAGTTTTCATATTTTACTCGATTTAACAGCGTGCTGCTAAGGATAATTATACTCGGTGTATCCACAGTAAAATTGTCGTGTGTTGTTATTCAAGTTAACAATAACTTTATGCTTTAATATTATAATATACGATACACATCAATATGTGCACGTCCAAATGTTAAACTGATGCTTTAAATATGTGACGACATTTGTGAAACGGAAAAGGAGTGTTATTTAATCCCAATGCAAACAAAATATATTCAAATGTGGAGAAACAGTGGGATATTATCACCGTGTCATGTGAAATAAATAGTCTAGCATTAGAAAGAGCGTTATAATGACGAGATCTCTGAAAATGACATAGTGAAATCGCATTTATTAAAGAAATTCGTGCACTAATAAAAACTCGGTGCAATCGTCGATAAATCTGATTGTTGAATAGACACTTTAAAAGAAATAATTTAAAATGGATGTGTTGACAAAATTGCGAAATACTGTTAGCAACACAATTTCCAACACAGTTCAAAACACTGCTTATGGTTTATCGCAATTGTCAAATGTTCTTCCAGGGAATCCAGTTACAAGAGAATTTGAAGTGTCTGCACATATAGCAAGTGCGGGTCCAGCATTACTATGGAAAGTTTACAATGGTTATAAGAAATCTACAAAACAAGAAGCAGCAATTTTTGTACTCGAGAAAAGAGTCCTTGATAAATTTTCAAAGAATGACAGAGAAATCATTTTAGAAACTCTGAAAAGAGGTGTCACACAACTAACAAAGCTACGTCACCCTCAAATTCTAACTGTACAACATCCTTTAGAAGAATCGAGAGATAGTTTAGCATTTGCAACTGAACCTGTGCTAGCTAGTTTAGCTAATATCTTAGGAAATCATGATAATATATCACAGCCATTGCCATTGACTTTGAAAGACTACAAATTGCATGATGTTGAAATTAAGTATGGACTCTTACAACTAGGTGAAGGTCTAGCGTTTCTACATGGAGATGTAAAATTATTGCACAGAAATTTATGCCCAGAGTCTATTGTTATTAATAGTCAAGGAGCATGGAAAATTTTCGGATTTGATTTCTGTGCTTTGAATCTAACTGTAGAGGGTAAACAACCTCTTTGGTCGTATGTAGAATATGATATGTCACTTTCAGCTGTGGCACAACCAAACTTAAATTACCAAGCACCGGAATGTATTTTGGCAAGCAGCGTTACCACAGCTAGTGATATTTTTTCTTTGGGAATGTTAACATACATTTTACATTCCTCAATGAATATACCTCTGCACGAATGTAACAATGATTTTTTGAGGTGCAAAAAGTTCCTCGAAAACTTCACCGGTTCAATTGTAACTTCTAAACTTCTACCAGTTCCAGAGTCTCTTAGAGACACTGTTAAATTAATGTTGAATCACAATCCTGAGTTAAGACCAGATGCTCATCAATTCGTTAAAATTGAATACTTCACAGACATAGGAGTCAAGACATTGAATTATTTAGATAAAATCTTTCAGTGGGACAATTTGCAAAAGTCACAATTTTATAAAGGATTACCACAGCTTTTAAAACAACTACCACACAGAGTTATATTACACAGAGTAATTCCAGCATTGTACAAGGAACTAATTAATCCTCCAATGATTCCATTTATTTTACCAAGCATATTGTATGCAATGGAAACTAGTTCTGTGGAAGAATTTAGAGAATACATGTTGCCACACATGAAACCAGTTTTGACTTTGGATGATCCGCCGCAGATTAGTCTTGTATTAATGCAACACGTTGACTTGCTACTAAAACTGTGTACTACAGAAGTAATAAAAACAGATATAGTTCCAATGCTCCTACGTGCTTTAGAATCTGAGTGGGAACAATTGCAAGAATTGTGTTTATCAGCTCTACCCAACATTGTAGCAATGATCGAAGGACCAGTGATTAAAAATGCAATTTTGCCTCGAATGAAGAAAATTTGTTTACATGGGAAAGGAGGTAGTACTAAAAGTCTTGGAGTGAAAGTTAATTGTTTACTGTGTCTTGCAAGAATGTTACCTAATTTTGATCGATGGTTAGTTCTGGATCAAGTGTTACCATTTCTACAAGAAATTCCACATTCTGGTGAACCTGCAATCCTTATGGCTATTATAGGTACATACTGTAGTAAAGTAATTTTGAAGTAACAGATAATTAGGAACGAGAACGAAATAATAATATTTACTGGTTTTCTTCATCAGGTATCTATAGGATATTATTAAATCACAGTAAACTGGGTGCAAGCAAAGAAATATTAGCAACAAAAATTCTACCATTTTTATTGCCATTGTGTATTGAACAGAATTTCAGTACATCACAGTACGAAATTCTTTCAAGTCTTGTGGTTGAAATGATAAATCGTGTAACAACAGAACACAAAGAAGCATTGAAACAGTTGGATGCAATGCGCCGTGAGACACAAAAACTTGATCAAGAACTTTCACAAACCTCGAACGTGTACAAAAATATCAATTCGACCACTGATACTGTTAACACCATCCCTCCAATTCCTGCTCCAAACACAAACACAAATTTAAAGTCTCTACAAATTGAAAACGGATTAACAATGGAAGATAAGTTTCGGTGAGTAAAAATAATTCTTTAATGTTTGTTTATGGAAAATTTCAGATATTATAAAATACAATTTCAATATAACTTTTTTAAATTTCGCAGATTAATTCAACAGCAAGAAGTACATCAAAGATTACAGTCTCAACCACCATTAACACCAAAAACTATTCAACAACAACCTAAGAAACCTCAGATAAAAGACTTAACTGATACTTTATTACAATCTAATTTAGATCAATTAAATCTTTCAATATCAAGTCCAAAACCTGATTATTCTTACATGTCCTCAAATTCAAATTCACATCAACATTTCAGTTCACAAGGAATGAATGTAAATTTAAATCGAAACACAAATACTTGGGTTTCTAATCAAATGACCTGGAATACGACTGTTCCTCAAAACACAATCAATTACCCTATCAATCAGGCAAACTTCATGACCAGTCAGTTGGAATTCAATTCAAATGTGAACTCCAATCCAAACCAAAAAGTTGAAAACTTACCTTCACAAGATATAATGGATTTGCTTAGCTAATAATGTCAATGATACAGGTTGGTTTATTATCGTTTATTAATTATTAATACCAATTATCGTAATAATTAAAATACGTTACTACTGTAATTTCTAAAATTATGAAAAACAAATATTTTATAAATTCAGAAATTTTTCTTTGACCTTGTTATATACATAATTTGTTCAATATTTAAGTACAATTTTATATGCACAGAGAGAATCATGACTTAATACCTGCACACTTTTAATAGCATGAAATATATAAGAGCATATGTGCATATATACATTAAAAGAAGTTGACTTGAAGCTATTCTGCTTTGATTATTCTCATTTGTCATTGGTTCTGTCAGAACTTTTTGAACATTATTATTTATAAACATTAATGAATATACTGAAAAGATATGAATAAAAAATGATATGATAGCATATCTTTCTTCATTTCATATTACCTAATAATACAATACAAATTTTCTATATTCAAATAAAAGTACCTTACATAGTTATGGAAACAAAATAGTAATGCTCAGTCAGTATAACATACATTCTGTTGAATGTACATAACGTATCAATCAGTTTAGTATGTAACTACATATTCTGTTGTTAATAATCTACTATGTACTCTAATGAACGTTTAAAGTAAAGTAAAATGAAATACATGTTATGATTTAACATAAAATGTTGCAAATGTGGCAAATGCTGAGCATATAATCCATTTATGTGTAAAAAGTAATGAAGAGAATTTAACAAATCTGTTTATATATGTTATGTAAGAATATATATATATATATATATATATATTGGCTTAGTAATGTTTATTTGTAATTGTGTACAGAAATAAAATATAATTGTTTATTGTAACTTTTTGTGTTCATTAAAATTTAAATGAACTACGTCAGTAGTATATAGAAGTGAACTTAATACAATTATATCTGGACCTCAGAGCCAGAGTGTATTGAGTCACACTTCTCAAACTTTAGTGGAGAGCAAATCAAAGGTGCGAAAACCTTCGGAATCGATCGGTAAGAATTGAGCGAGAAACAATCGCTACCTTTGAACTATTGAATGGATTTAAGAAAAGTTTCGATATGCAGAAATGGTGAACTTTACATTAATTCTCCTATATGATGAACTTTACACTGTTTTAAAAATGTATATGAACTTAATATAATTTTGAGACTATTATGTACCTATACTAAAAACTATATGACTTAGAACGAATAATTTGTACTACTGGAAAGAGTAAGATATTTCATACAGGAAACATGTAAAATGTCATTTTTTTAAAAAGTAGACTTAATACACTCTGGTTGTGGAGTCCAGATATACTTACTTTCCTTACCAAGCATACCACAGTATGTAAGTTTGTTCTTTCCCTTCAGCTGCCAGTCAATTTTTGTTCAATACTCTTATAGAAGATAAGAAGGCATACCTATTCAACTATTTATAATACTTTAAATTTCAGTCGGAAAAGTAAGGTGAAGTATCCATGTACATACATACATTGCTTTAAATAATCTCGGTCATAAAATAGAAAATATGTAACATTTTCAAATGCTATAAATCCTAACAATTATGTACAATGTTGTTCTATAGTCTAAATATATCTACATATATATGTTTTCAGTTTTAAAGTTTTGTAATATTTTGTGTATACATGATCAGGGCCGTTCCTGGCGGGGGTGCAGAAGGTGCCTCCGCACCTGGGCGGCCGCAGATCGTTTATTATATGTAAAACTTGGACTAGTAAAAATGATAATCAAAACTTTTTTTATGATTCTGAAAATTTTAGACAAACAGAAATCAATCAAATTAATTTTTTATGTAAACTTTGTAACATTACTCGTATACTTACAAAAATAAACAATCTTTATGGACAGCCCAAAGTAGCACAAGATATTTAGCCATATTTAGTGGATTAAATTCGTGTAGAGGTAATTAATGGTCGCTATTTATCAACCATAACATAATTATTATAAACATTATGCGTTACTTTCGTAATTATATATGGAATAAAATATTCAATTCATTCAAAACCATTCATTTTTTAAGAATCTTAGTTTCATTTTATGAAAACTGGTCAGGGTTTTTCGTTAATACCTCGTTAACAAATCCTCGAATAACATTTTTGCTAAGGAAAAACTTATTTCGAATCACCTCACGAGTCTTCCATTTTCGGGTCTACATGGGTCCTCCAACATTTTTGTTACACTCTGTATATGTAAACACTGGTGTCACTTGGTGCCACTGGTGAATACCGCGATGAACAGCGATGAACACCAAGTGGACATAATTATACATATGTGCATTGTACAATGCACGTGCTTTTACACATGAAAATTTGTGTATTAAGTGATTCAGTTTTAACTGACTTCATCACAATTACTTGAACATTAGCACAAATTAAGGAACATATAATAAATTTTGTACTTAATACTGGAGAAAGTGTGCGTATTTTTCTTTTGAGTCATAACTTACAAAGGAGGTTAAGAGAACAAGTTATTGTCTTTATATGGAATTTTAATAAGATAGCTGAAAGGTAAAATACAATTACGATCGTTTTTTAATATACCTATTAACTTAAATAATTCGAAAATGTTATTTACAGAATTATTAACAACAAATTACACTGGACAACAATTATTTTTGTGATGCTACAATTAGCTCATCGTGTCTGCCTTCATTGTATAAATACTGCACATATACGCATTCGATTTAGTAACCATATAGCTAAGTGTCCATCTTTTTATAACAATATCGTAGCCATGCAACAAAAAAAGGCCATTAAAAAATTGTGTGGTTTCAATAGTAAAGCAACATTACAAGTAATTAAAAAATTATGTATGAATACAAAATATTTATGTACATAAGGTATGTTTGTTGTAGTAAACTATGTTCAAAATAGGTTGTTGGAAGTGGAGCTTTTGGATCACCAAGTTCTATATTTCTATCCACTGACCATACCAATTATCTATTTAATTGTGGTGAAACTACACTACGACTATTGCAAGAACATCGTTTAAAAGTAGTTAAACTGGAACATATATTTATAACAACATTTAATTGGAGTAACATTGGAGGACTAGTGGGTATATTATTAACACTACAAGAGGCCGGTGTGGATGAAATAAAAATTCATACATTTGGTGAAATAATTGAGTTTCTAAATTCAGCCAAGTTATTTGTATATCTTCCGAAGTTAAAAGTTTCTTATGCTCCCATTAATGAATTAGAACCATACAATGATGATCTAGTAACTATTGAGTATGTTTCTATAGCAAAACATTCAAACAATCCAGAAACCTGTTTTTTGAATGAAACTGAAAAAGATCAGTGTTATTTGAATGTTAATGGAAAGAGAGTTATTGATACTACAAAAACAGAGGAAAACTCAATGAAAATAGAAAAGAAATTAAAAACTGATAAAAATATATTATGTTATATTTGTGAAGTTAAACCGAAACGTGGAAGGTTGTCAGTTGAAAAGTGTTTGGAATATGGTGTGAAAGTTGGTCCACTTTATAGTATATTGAAGAAAGGATTAGATGTTGTAACGGAGGGTGGAAAAGTTGTTACTAGCAAAGATGTGTGTATGCCAGATGGCCCTAAATTCTCGTTTATTGGTACAATTAAACATGCTTAAATAATTAAAATATACAATTTAAAATGTTGCATTATTATGAAATGTGTTTACTATTCTTCATAATTTTACTTTCAGTGGTGGAATGTCCTGAAGAGGAATACTTGGAATCTCTTGTGAACCATCCTAAATTCTTAAAGTATCAAAATGCAACACCAACAGAAGGGGACAAACTTGTTTGCGTATTCCATATTACACCGGATAATATTTTTAATAACTCAAGGTATCAGGACTGGATACAAAAGATTTCACCAGATACACAACATGTAATACTAAATAGTGAAAATTTTTGTATGGGTAATGCGGCTGTCTATAAGCAACAGTTTTTATTTAATATGATACATCCTGAAATATTTCCTTTACTAAGTGAAGATAGCCTGAGAGAAGACAAAGAAGTAAGGCTTTTTATTAGTTGTGAGTCACATATTGATCAATCAAATAACATTGATTATTTTATTTCAGACCAACAGTAATAATATTCAACGTGGAAGAACATTGCAAACATTGAAAATTCATCCATACCATGAAGAACTTTGGACACCTAAAATTTATTCAGAGGCACAAAGGTACATTGATGAAGTTTGTCAGATCGACGGATTTCTAGATGTAATGAGTAATTTAAAAGGACAAATTATTGAGAAAACAGCAAAACTTGGGTTAAATAATGCATATGAATATCCACGAATTGTTATGTTGGGTACTGGTTCTAGTGTACCAAATAAAGTAAGAAATACAAGTGCCATTTTTCTAAGAATTACTGAAAATAATAGCATACTGTTGGATTGTGGAGAAGGCACTGTTGCTCAGTTTGTTCGATTTTATGGGAATTCAAAAGTTAAGAACATCTTACGCAGTCTCAAGGTACATGATTATTTATTATTATTATTATTATTATTATTATTATTATTATTATTATTACAACGAAGACTGTATATAAAATTTTTTCAGAGTTCAATTATCATTATATGTAATGTACAATATATACATAATTTTTGTTTTAGGCTATTTATATATCACATATGCATGCAGATCATCATATGGGTCTTATTAGTTTATTACAAGCGAGAGAAAAAGTCACAAATGATAAAATATACATAATAGCACCAACACAAATTCAACAATGGTTAAGCCATTACGAACAGATTGAACCTATTTCACATTTATACACTGTAATAAACAACGTTGATTTTCATGTAAATGGCCATCGATTAGCCAAATACTTTGAAAAGATGTTTTACAGTTCGCTGAATATTAAAGAAATGAATACCGTTTTTGTCAAACACTGTAAAAATTCTTTTGGTATTGCGATTACTCTAAAAGATAACAGAAAAATCGTTTATAGGTAAGCTAAATAAAATTAAAATTATTACATAATACCAATTATCTTAATTATACTCTTATTTCAGCGGTGATGCTATGCCTTCTGATACTCTTATAAACGTAGGCAAAAACTGTGATTTATTAATACACGAAGCAACAATGGAAGACAAACTTAAAGATATGGCAACTATGAAATATCACTCGACAACGTCTCAAGCAATAAATGTTGGGAAATCAATGAATGCGAAATTCATTCTGTTAACTCATTTCAGTCAGCGATATTCGAAAATTCCCGTATTTACAACAGAACAAGATAATGTTGGGTTGGCTTATGATAACATGGATATTAGATTATCTCATTTGCCTCTGTTGCCTCTTTTCTACCCATGCTTAAAAGTAATGTTAAGTGAACATTATGAAGTGGTAGAAAAAAGAACACAAAAAAAGGATGCGGTAATTGCATAATGACATAATTGAGTGTTACTATTTCGTTAATAATAAATCTTAATTTATTTAAATATAAAAATTTATATTTTGTATAATGAAACCAGTTTTTATTTTTCATGTAATTGTAAAAGAAAAGCTTCACAAAATGTGTCGCAGCATTCATTCACTTAAGTTTTTTAAAACCTGATACCGACTCTTAGAAATGTCTAATTGTCCCAGTATCATCATATTCGATACATAAGACAGAATACATCTGACATATTGCACATAAAAATAAGTAAATAAAATTAATGTAATCGACTTGAGATGGTAATATTATGGTATAATTTTAGTATCAAATTCGAAAGAAAGAATTAAGACACCAATAATTCACAAAACAAATGTTTGACAGCAGCATTTATTGCTTACATAATACACTTAGTTTGCCCCGCTTTCCTTAAAATAGTAAATAATGTAAACTACAAATAGTTTCGCTGAAATCATAATTTAACATTAAATCTCGCTTTCGCATGAAAAATAGAGAGCAGGTAAAACTGTATCGTAATAAAGATAAAGCAGATCGAAAAATAATATATTTCCCTTTGTCGAATTGAAACGTAAACATATTTAGAAAAACCACCGAACTTCAACAACGAGAGGGAAAATTTTACCTACTTTTGCAAGTCCTTATGCTAATCGATAAGTTACACGCCTATTAAATCTGCACTAAACAATTAAAAAGAAATGTTTTAATTTATCTTATGCGGGTTATAATATAAAATTCCTTCACAAAAATAGCTGTAAAAATGTTTCGATCATTGCACAGCTCGCGGAATGTGATTCTGCTATGTAGAAAAAGCATGGTCTCAAATTACATATAATAATTCGATTATTGCATCGATTTTATAAAGATATGTACACTAGATAGCAAGTTTACACTAATGATGCATTTGTGCGTTCATATTAACGCTTTACCCACCTGGGCATGTTTAATAGACTTTTTAAAAGTTTAGAAAAAAAAAATCTTTTGAGAGCTTTTAGATGCCATTAGTTCTAAATATGCAATAATAGGTCAAATTAGATGATATAATGAGTCACTTCCCCACTTTTTATTCAGAAGTTAGGTATTTAAATATTGTAAATGAAACAGAAATGCACCGTAACTTGTTGAACAAACGGTCGGTAAAGTGTTAATAGTGTATGATTGAGCAATATGAAGTATGTTTATTTTATGGAATGATTAGGATCTTTAACTAAAACACTATTTTATGCGTTGACATAGCTCGTAAATGTGCTGTCTAGTGTATGAAGTTTTGTATAGGAATTCAATCATCGGAAGTAGTATTAATATTAATATGGAGACTAGAAAACTGAATTTTTTTAACACTTAAACGATCGGCCTGATTAATACTTTCTATTTTACTGTATATATATTTTATTCTTTTAGATATTTCCTTAACTTAATGATTAAATAATAATTTATAAAAGTCATAAAAATTGCTCGATACAAATTATTCTTTATGAATTCAAAAATTATTACAACGAACTCTCACGACTATTTATACTTCAATTAAATGTGTAACGTAATTGGCAAATAACAAAAATTTGTAGTAGCACAGAATAACATTGGAAACTGTAAAAATAGATTATTGTCATTGATGCATAAATTGCCAATCGGTTGAGCGTTAAGAATTAAGAAATAAATAATATACCAAATACAATTTAAATTCAAAAAAAGTAAAAAACTTCAATTTACATGGCTAAAAAAATTATTCAATAATGTTATCGCTGTGAAATGATAAATCGATATTAATTACCTTTCTTTAAATTAAGGAACAATGTAATAACCGCTAATTCCTTTGCAAACATGCGAATGATCAGTCTTATATGATATTTCTCGAGTAGAAAAAGTCATTAGAAGTAAAAGTAAAAAATCGTAGAAAAGTCAGTTCGAAAATGTACTCCTAATTAAGTACTAGATAGGAGGCCCTTCCTGTACTTATAAATACGATATTAGATTACATTCGAAGCTATAAAAAGGGCAGTGATTTAGCCATGTTCCTTTAAAATACTGATTTGAAGTTTTTGTTTCGCTTTTAACGTTGTATATGACACTTTTTATTTTTTATGTCTGTGTAAAAGAAAAGAATTTTTAATTTATCAAATTGTTTGAATTGCCTGTTTCGCTTTTTTTAAACGTTCTTGGACTTGTTAAATTTAAATATTTAACCCACTGTATGTTTTTAAAATGATATGAAAAAAGAGTAATTCGGAAAAAGTTTAAAGAGGACACAGCTTTTCATAATCATTTGATTAGAATTCCCATTTGGTAGCGGACTCGTAATCTGTTTCTCCCAAACGTAATGCTCCATTCTTCCCTGCTGCAAGATATCTTCCATCGGTATGCTTAATACAAATGCGTGACGGTTCTCTCAATTCTAGGTAAAAACCGTCGGAAGGTACGTCAGAATCCACATTTACACCTTCACTATCGGCATGCCAGTACTTGCCATTTTGACCTAAGATATATGTAATTTAATATCAGTAACATAAATCGAACATACTTTAAATATAATTGAATCACTAAGGTCGTAACTATTTTTTACATTTCTTAAATAATTATCTCCAATCATGAACGAAGTTTTGAACTATAAATTTCTAACGCATCCTTTTCCAACTATAAATTTTTAAGTTTAGTTATTTTTAGTAACTAAAAACACACCAATGACCTTTAATATTTTAAAAACGACCTTCAAAAAAACGTATATTCATTATCGCGCTATTTAAATATTTTAACATCTGTTACAGTCATTCAAGAAGACTGCTACGCGAGACTGACCCAACATTAGAAATGTAATTTAAGTATTAGAAATTAGTTTTACGATCACTACATTTTGACATACGAGATGTAACAATAAAGTTTCCAACATAATTCGTTAAAACATTTTACTGAAAAAATGAAAGAGATGTAAGGCCATCGCCTTCAAAGTTGACCTTTTCTCATATCTGTTTTAATATCTGCGTTACATTACGAACTGCGACAATAAAGTTCCGAGAATAATTTTGTTTCTATCAAAGTGCTAACAATGTAAACAGTTACGTCCACTTTGACAGAAACAAAATTATTTTTGAAACTTTATTACCACAGCTCGTAAACGAACGTGAATATTAAAACAAATACCAGAAAGTGAGTATCAGAAATGTTACGATCAATGGATCTATTGTTGCCTCCAGGGACCTACTTTGAAGGCGATGGCTTTATATCTGTTTAATTTCCGAAATAACATGTTTTTAACGAATTATTCACCAAACTGTATTGTCACACCTCGTATATTCCAGTCATGAAAATTATTATAATCTATTGAGAGAAATTTACCTTTAAATCTCACGATTCCTCGCTCACATCTCTCCACCCGGATAGTTTCATAGATAGCTTTGTTGCACTCCAGCTTAGAACTGGATGCGCTTTTAGGCCCTACAAATCCTTGTTCGCAGCGCAAAACTAAAACAGGTCGGTTCATCAAGTAGAAATAATATTTGCTCGCGTCTGAGTCTAATCCGTTTACAGAATCCGCATTTGCATAGAGATGACCAGAACGTTTGGTCGCTAAGAATTTGCCGTTGTTGGCACGTAAAGCCACTGTGCCATCCTCGGATTGCCAAATTAAATCAAACAGAGCGTTGGAGGATCGTTTATGCTCAGATGCCTGAATTCCTCCTCCGGCTTCAAGGCTCCAATAACGATCTTGCATGGTTCGTACGTACCATCTTTTAGTAACACGATCAAATTCCAATTGGAACGTCTCGTGTCCAGAAATTTCATCTTGATTAGCTGTTACATCAACTCCTGTAATGGTAATAAATACTGTCGATTTTGTTTCTGAACTGCTGTGGATTATCAAGATTATCATTTATATTATTTAGAAATCTGAATGATGGAAATTATGATTCAAAAATGATATTATTCATTGTTGAATGTATATAAATAAAAATACCTTGTTTCACGGAAACATATCGTTGATTTAAAGCGGCGACAAACGAGGCTTGTGGAAGTGATTCTTCTAAAGAAAATAATTCGTCTCGTGTTACTGTCGTGGATCTTGATTTTAAAACAGCTTTGCTCCCAATAGGTGCCAAATATGCTCCATATAAATCCCTTTAAATAATTAGATTTTCAGTCATTGTATCAGGCTCGTTATTAACTTTTTTTTTTTAATTATTACATTCAGAAGAATAAATGAATGATTCTTTAACGAAATCACTGTTACTCACAATTTGTTACTTATTATTAAACTACGGATGTTTATGCAAATATACATTTTTATAGATTAATTTACAGAAATTGAAATGACGTCAAAATTTATTTTAAACAATCGTGTATACTATAAATGCATAAAATCAGCAGTCTACTTATTTTATAGAAAAAATGTAGGAGTAAAAAGTCTCATAGACAAATATTGTTTCAAGCACAAGGTTTTCTAAGTTTTAAGCATTATTGTGCTTACTATACAATATAAGTCTGAAACTTCAAATACTAGCACATCGCTGTTTTAATACAATACAATCGTGTAATAATACAGTATGATAATAAAAACATTAATATGTCTAACCTGAGTGCAAGTAAGCCTGCATGAAACTCAGCTGCATAGAGACAATCGCGTGTACAAGTATCCAAAAGTTTTCCATCGCGCGCTAGATATTTATTATTGCACGTATGCAGAGCATAATGTCCACCTTCAGATTTAGTATTCTCCTGACTATTATCTTCTATTGAAGAAGGACGAAATTCTAAGGTAAAAAGTGTATCCTCGCCCCAAGGAACTGGTGCATCCACATGAATTTCGTCTTGCGTTGCACTTAAATGAGCGAAACGTTTTCTTCCAGCAGATTTCAGATTGACCTGAAAAATGCATTTTTCTTTTTGATACTGCTTCGTAATATAACCAATTTTCTAATTAACTCTAACTCTTTCTGCTAATGATTAATGAATACTAAAAACGATTCTGATTTAATCAGCCATGTAGGTTTTAGTCTTTTTGTTAATTTAATTTTTCATTTAAAACTATTTTGTTGATTTATACAAATAAAAATGTACCATTTCAAAAACTACAATAGTTATTTTTCATATATTATTTGAAAACTATTATTTATGGCCAATAGTTTTATTATCTAGTCAATTTTTGTCAATGATATAACATGTAGGTATTCATTAACATTATATTTCTATATAAATTAAAAAACTGTTGATTTTGTTTCTTTACATAAGACATAATGCTTACTTGGGGTCTGGCTGCAAGGTGTACAAGCCAATATTCAGGCTCGCCTGGAGCTTTGGCCATACATTTAAGTTCATCTTGGCTCGAACCCAAGAAATAGCCCCTCTGAATGTTCTTCAATGCCCATCTGCCGCTTCCTATTTTTTATATTTTTATACACTTTATATACTTCGAAATTTTAATAATCTTAAGAAATTGTTCCAATCCTTACAATTCAATATAATAAGTATATTTATATTATATTAAAAAGCAACATTTTTAAATACCATCAGAAGCCAATTGAATTTGAAAAGCACAGCCAGGATCAATAGGCTCTTCTGCCTCACAGGTAACATTTCCAAATTGATCTACTGCTAAATAGCGATCCAAATGAGACCTCAGAAAAACTTGCTGCTCACTTCCTTCCAAAGTCCATAATTGCTTCTTTTTCAAACTAGAGCCATTTGCATTAATTTTAAAACCAAATGTTTCAGCTGTAAGGTACTTAAATTTTCCATTTATTAATCCGACCTAAAAATTATAAATACACTTGTTACTCACATAAATGTTTAGAAAAATGCATTTTATTTTTTATTTCGATACATTTTAACAATAAATAAATTTTCAAGAAATATAATTTACATATTGTATATATTGAATGAATTTTTAGTTTCATTGGTATTAAGTGCATAAAAATAAGATAATAACAGATACTTACTCATCTATGTTATATTTACATAAAACTAATATAAATTTAGTACAGTCTAAATGTTTCGTACAAGGTCATTATAAAGGAGAGGATCCATCATTCTTTGTGTAATTTTTCCCCAAACGTTTCGTCCTACCTGGGGTAGAATTCTACCCTAATCGATCTTTCAACGCCCTTACTTCGAAAACTGAATGGCGACCAAGGTCATACACTTGTATTTTAAGCACTTGTATTGTTGGTACAAGATTGCAATTACTACCTAATTTTTTCAAAGTTATAATTGTGTACAAATTGCTTAAGGTAAAAATCTACCCCACGCGTGACTTGGTGAATTAATAGTTTATTTCTTTTTAAATAAATCAAATAAAGCATTTGAAACTGAATGCTTTCCTTAAATGTTACATAAATAAATCCTGGCGTATGTACGTAATACATTCATACAGTCTAGTAAAAGATATAATTTAAAATTACCGTCCATCCCGTCTTCTCGTTTGCATTTTCGGAACCGATGTTTTCAGAACCGTTCGTCTGCATCATTTACTTTAATTGCTTGACGTTTAGACGCTGAATCTACTTCAATACAGAGCCTATAAAATATTATATAACAATAATATTTTCATTTTTAATGTATTAAATTAAAAATTTTTATATTCAAATTTCTTTAAAACAATTCTACTCTCCTTAGTTTGCTGATACCTAATGTAATTGATTAATGACACCGAATACACAAACGAATTATGTATCTCAAATCTTCACATAAAAAATTAATAGCTAATAATCCAACTTTAAACATACCATTGAATTTATGACTGTATTAAGAATCTTTACGAAATACATAATGTTAGGACTGAAGTAAATAAATTCTTATACAAGTAAACAAACTAAACACTCACTGCAAATTATAGTAATAAACATTGAAAAGTGTATAACATATTTTTCAAATTTATTTACAACAATAAAGCAAACTATTACTTTTTTGAAATAAGAAACATAATGAATTTTCAATTAACACTTGGAATATACATATATGCCGGTTATGAGTGTATTGAATTAATATGCAAAATAGCAGCAGAAGCAGAACATTATGGTTTTTCAGGGTCAAGATCGTGTTACCATAGTGATACAGGCCTGACCTAGCCATAAAACGCCTACGGAAGGAGCTACTCTTTAACTCTGAATATTTCTATTTTTATCCCAAAATTTGTTCTCTCCCGAGGGATACTTTATTTTCAACTCCCAATTCGGTGACTCATTTCTACGTGGCTTCCGTCTGGGTGGGGCCAACTCGTCGAATGGAAAACACGATAAAAGGACTTTTTGTCCTTTATGTAAATCTGTTAGTTTCATTTGAAAAAAGAATAAAATGTATTTCTTTCTAGATATTATGTTTTCTTAATACTAAACAAGTAATATCTACTGGTTTTACTCGCAATTCACACATTTTTTTAATAATTCTTGTTACGGTTTTAAGGCCCGGTTATTTATGTAATTACATATTTCGATTACATTGCAAATCCACGAAGTATAGGTAACTGTTTAGAGTTCAGAAATACAAAATAAATCAAAAATGTATTAGAGTAAAGTTTATTATTCTTTCATTTACGAGGTTTACTTGATTGATAGAAGCCTAGAAACAATAGTGTCTTTTAATATACCTATAATTGTGACGGAGAATCTTCTTATTGCAAAAATAAAGAATAACATGTATGAATATGTAAAATACACATTATAAAAATTATTGAACACCGAAAACCGATTTCTTAAAGCGCAATGTAAAATCAATAATACCAATGGGATGGCCATGACAGTGACTGAAACTACACATGCTCGATTTAAAAACAACTACGTTTGAGTCCTTTTAAAAACGCTTAGAGAACTCAATCGATAACTCTGAAGATTTAAATTACAAACGTAGAGGAATACGAACATAAGATAAACTAATTATATAAAATAATTTAAAATTTGTGTATGACTTGAAGGTAAAATGTGTAAAACTTAAAAAAATATATGTTTCAAAAATTGCAAAAATGTTGAACATTTCCAAAACTAAAAGTTAGCGAAAATAGTTGAATAATCACGTTAAATTTAATACTCTTTATCGTGCATTTATAAGTAAGGCTTTCATTAGATAAGTAACAATAAACGATCAATCAGTAATGCGTGTTCGTACAATTGTATTTCACTGCTACAAATGAATAAATAAATACATGTACTAATGCAAAATGATAGAAATCGTCGGAAAGCTTTGCGCTCCTGTTGTCAAGCAAATACATAAACTCACCGGATAAGGATACAGAATAGAAGATAGAAATACGTGGTTGTCGTCTAGGAATACTGAAGCAGAGACAGGAAGGTACGCAAGGAAAGTACGAGTCACGAGCAACAAATTACGTTCGTCACAACAAAGATACCCGGCAACTGACTTGACTTGCTCGTTCACTCCTGATTCTGTAAAGGATCCCACAGGACTTTCAACGCATGCGCAATGTCAGAACCCACCATCGAATCAGGACTGTGCATAGAACATAACATAGTAAGATTTATTCGAGGCTTTCTCTGTTATGTATTTTAATTGACATTTCTTCAGTGAATATTGGAATTGCAATTATTTACTGTTCGCAATATGTAGTTATAATGAATAGTACCGTTAAATTAGCCATTAAATGACGTTATTTGCTACAACGAATGAATCAAAGGTGGCGCACTTCTTTAACGATATACGGCCCTGTGCAATTCTGTCAGGATATCGCGCGTGCGCCGTTTTAATAAGGGGATAGTGAAAGATAGAGGATAGAGAAAGAGGGAACGGTGGGGAACGAGGCATACATACATCGAACTGTCGACTTTCCGGAGGGCCGTGAACTGCGGATCGACGACCCTACTTTGTGATCGCTATTTTCTCGGTGGGACTACGCTCCGCATTTTTTCGTTTCGTTTAACCTTGCCATTTATTTATATTTAATATTAATTTTAGACGGTATGAGAGAATTTCAGAGGATTCTTTTATAGAATTTTTAAATAAGTGATATATTGGGTCACTGCAAAAGTCTTGATGCGCTCCTAATATGCAGTTTAAATCACTTGCAACCAAATATTGTCAACAAAAATCGGAGTATACACTTTATGTCATTACATAGAACGAAGAATTTCATTGAAAATAATGGAAGTTTTTATATTATTTTGTATAATTGTGATTATACCAATTACCAAATAAATAATTATGTATCTATTAAATGTAAAACAACAGAAGTAACAGTACTTTCGGTAATAGTGAAGATTCAATAAAGTACTAATTAATCGTTTTTGGTAGTAAATAAATATCTTAATGAATTTATAACATAGTGCCTGAATTTTTTAAACAGTTTGTTTACTTTAACAAATTGATTTAAATAATGATTAAAAATTAGTGATATTTTTACAAAAAAGTTTGTTATTGTGTAAATTATTGGAGGAGAAAGACGATACTGATTTTATAACAAACGTATAATAGAATACCTACAAAACCAGAAACTATCAGAGTATTAGGAAAATATTTCCGCTATTCTAATTTATAATAAATAAGAGTGTGTTCATTAATTGAAAATGTGTAAATTCGTTAATTCAGCGATTAAATAAGTTATACTGAATTTGGAAGAATGTAATATTGAGGACTGATTAGTTTGAAATCTTTTGGTTTTTGGGTAATAAATTTAAGGCAAACAATAAATATTATTAAGTAAACTTTACAAGTAATCCTCCTTCGGGCACTGCAAACAAATTTAGTTGAAACAACAAAATTTACATATATCTTATGAAATTGTATAAATTACATATATGTACTTACAAAATATGTTTGTATTTATATCTATAAAATTTTATGAAATCTGGACTGAAGCTATATAATTGGTAATTTAATCTTACCGCCACAGACAGTTTACAGTTAAACGGTATACAGTTATTTCGTTCTATTTGCGCTATGATATAGACTTTCTGCGATGGTAATTAACGTTTTTAGAGAGGATTCCATGCTATCTGAAGGTTCACTAATCTAAAATAATATGTTGTATGCACTATGTATACATATAATAAATCAAAGTGATACATATTTTGTAAACTGTGTATTTTTTAACACTTATTAAACGTTCTTAGAAAATATAGACCATTTTTCGTTTAATATGGTGGTCTTATGTTTTGTCTACCTATTGCCCTTGTTTCTTTAGAGTTTAGTTCAACGTCGACTCCATGTAAGCAACGTCTCCGGTGCAAAGACGCCTTTTCAAAGAAGTCAGTTTCGACGTAAAATATTTCACAAGAGTAGGTATCAGATTGTGCAAACGTAATTTTCTGCTGAGCACTATACTCATTCTTTCAATTGTTTTGATTGAAAAGTTCTTACAACTCGAGTTTAAACCAAGTGGTCTAAGCTATTGTAACATATTCAGATGCTATATGCTAACCATCTATAAAAAAATAAATGGTAATCAATCAGAAATTGACAATTGTAATAACATCGAAGAGTTTTTAGTAATACGTGACTGACGAAAACATGTTTCTAAGAAAATTATGCAATATGTGAAATAATTTATTAAAGGCGAAGAATTTTCTAAAATTTCTTCGGAGTAATCGGATAGCCAGAATTTTAGTCCTATTTCGTTCACGAAGTGTGAAACTTTCGAGCGTGTCTAACGAGCGGCTTATACTAATTTGGTTTTTTTCTCGCAAATCACGGACGCAGAACAATTCTAAATTTCATTCTTTGCAATTACAATTAATTACAAACATTTATCCCCGTGTTTTACTTCTTACGAAATTACGACAGTATTACGCATTAATTAATATACTTCCGATAATCGTGCGTCTAAATGTTTCTAACCGTTCCAACAGTCGTTTCAATTGAATGCAACAAAAAGTATTGAACTTAATAGATATTTACTGTAAATTATAATAATAACGGTTATACAAGTATTATTTCATGTGGTACAATAAATTAGAGATCATGAATAAAGAATCTACGAGCAATTTGTACTTTAATTATATCCGGTTAAATTGGTATAAATTTTGTTATATATTATATATAAACAAATTTTCCAAGTAACGTTAGGTCTTATCAGAATTAGTTTAGGTATATTATAATTTATAATATTTGTTATACGTATCATTTTATTAGAAATGCTTTGCGCCAATGGACATTCTAACCTTCTCAAGGACAAAAATTTGTGTCGAGATAACCTAGATGCGTCTTGCAACGTCGTTGTAGAAACTGTAACTAACAAGGAGAAAAGAAGAGAGAACAGAGAAAAAGAGAAGGATTGAGAGGGTTCGTTGACCGTCAAAGAGAGTCAGGAGCGTGACTGTAACCGTGTCTGTGATCGTGATCCTGATCGCAATCGTGATCGTAACCATGACCGACTTGCGTTTACAGATACTAGGAAAGTTATGTGTTGCATGTATGTATATAGTATTAGTATTACATACATATATGAAGGTGCATACTACATAATAGATATCAATCAGTGACTTAAAACCATAATTATTTTGACATCGGTAATATAAAATCATATCAAAATCTTTATAATACCGCAATCTACAAACTCGGAAAGAAATCATAATCGAAATACTACCGTAACAACATAAATACTGAGATTACAATGATACCGCGGTATTCTCCCGGTTTTTATACACTCAACTATAATATCTACATATGTAACTTCTTAAAATATGTATGCACAAATGTATAGACATGGAGAAAGTGTAATATTTACTTACAAATAGTACAGGACATTTTTGTTGCCCTAAATCTACTTTGTAGAAATGGAACTAAATTTAAATAAGTAATTAAGCAATAAACCAGTACACGTATAATTGCAATCCGATACCTATTTAATTATTAGGGATATTATTATAATTCTTCATAATTATATAAACGGAAAAATATGTTTTCGTATATATGTATATAAGGTAGAGTAAAATGAAAGTCGTTATCAATTTTAGTAGTTGATTCGAAACACCTGCTGCTACCAGCTTACTATTTACCGTTCGTGGTTATATGACATATAGCTTAAATGACAAGAACAAATATAGTAGTGTAAACAATTAGTATAAAAACTAATTATTATTATATTTATGATTTAAGTGAATGAAGTATTTAAAACATACAAGAAAGATTTATATGACTATGAGGTCGAGATACATATGTACTATAGTCTATGTCTATAGTCTATAGGCTTAACATCTTACGGGACTTTGTCTCACACTCGGAAGTATCGACCTTGTGAAGAATCAGACGCTTTAGTACGTCCTCCATATTTCAAAAGTGTGAATTCAGGAAGTATGTTCCCCCAATATATAGCTTGTAAGATTGTACTGTCACAAGCTATGGTTTCTATTTATTAACGATGGTAACAATATTCTTTTCTTATTTCAGGCCTTTCAACGGGACATTTAATATATATGACGGAATAAATGCAGTTATTGTTTCACCTAATTAAAGGCGGCAACAGATGGCTGTTTTTTACAATTAGACAAAGTAATCTACAGCCGCTTTTTATTCATCGCAAAAAAGGATACTAGATTTTTCTGAAATATTTTTTTACACAACTGTAGAATAGATGGATGTGTATAATGTACAAGATATATAACAGTGACTAATTTTGCATTGATTATTGTCGATTAGCTACGAATAGTGTGCTGCATAATCGGTGAACATATATCATATACATATACGATATATGTAGATATTATTTCAGTGTTTGCTACATGTATATAGTTGCCAACTATTACTGGATGACAAGGCTAGCAAAAAATTATAGGTGTTTAAGTACGTGTTACCTGTTTTTAAAATAAATGTATTTAAAAATGTGTTAAAATTATATGATCTTATCTGTATTTCCTATCTAATAAAGCAATAAAAGGCCACACAAAGAACTTGTATATATAACACCATATAAGACTATGAGACTCATCCTGCATATTGTATGCATATAAATACATTATATGCATTCATAGATAAATGAAAACTATTAAATATGTCCTTTCTGAAGAAGAATATAAGTAGATCTGATAAGAATATAGTAGTTTTTGCACTTCTAACAAGTTAGCACGTGTAAAATAATCTTAACTGTGAATTACACTAAGATGAAAATAGAAAATTGTTAAACTACGTTTGACTACATTTAAAATAAACGATATTATATACCTTGTAATACATTTTTTTTAGCTTTCTATTTACTGTTATTTCGCTTTAAATTATCATGTATTATTATATAGTTGCAAACAATGTTTACTAGTTCTTAAGCGTGGAAAAATGAGTATTTTACTTTTTTCACGACTATAACTGTATAACAAAATGCGTATCAATTTAACCTCAAATCTTTTAATTCTGTAATAACTCATTTTTCGTTAAAAACGCAAAATTTTCGAAATATTTTGGTCAGAGTTACAATAACATTATTTTTCTTTCCTATGAAGCCTGTTTATTATTTAATTCGGTAAAACTATAGATTTTTATGACACTTTTAACGATCCGAAATTGTAATTACACTCTTATGGATTTTGATTAAGCGTATATAGTTTAACAAAATTTGACGCAATAATAATTGAAATAAATTCGGTGACGGTGTATAATTATCATAGTTTAATACAAGCATGTAATATAATAAAATACTATTATTGAAACGGTCAAACATATTACTAAATTTACTCAAGAAAGTCTTTCATGGAACTATGAAATGAACTATGAAAAAATAATTTTCACAGAACACATAAATGTATTAAAATGAAATTGTAATAAAATTCTACAATATATAAATTTTATACTTATTATTAAAATCAAATAAGTGACAAATTTTACAATGTCATTAAGTAGAAAAATGTACTTTGTATTTATGACACTTACTACATTAACTGCAAGTATTATAATTTATCAGGTAAATATATATTCTACATTTAAAATATATCACAGCTGTATTTTATGATAATAGTATGTGTAATTATTATTACTTCAATAAATACTGTTGCATAAGATTAATTACATTTTACAATAATGGTTAAGTCAAGAAATTATTAAAGATCTTGAAGCATATTTAACTTTACTTGACAAACGTATTTCTTTCTGTAAAATTACAGAAAATCCTTTGACATGATAACCAAATGAGAACAATTTTATACCTCCTACTGTTAGTAATATTACCACAGCATTTATTAACATTTAAATTTCCTTTAATGGAAACTAATATTCAGAATATTTTTAATTTAATGAAAAAAAAGTCAGTTCTTTTATTCCTGAGTCTACTATAAATACTTTTTTGACAGATATCAACTTAAATATGTAAATGTGTAATGGTCTTTTAAAGTTAAATGAAATTTCATTGCTAAAACATAATTAGAATAAAATATAAATGATTCTGATAAATTTACTATTTCTGAGGATAATCAGTCTAATTTACAGATACATTTCATTCACCTGGATGATGAATTATATGATTCAGGTATAAAAATACTTATAAATTTTCACCATTTTAATAAATATTTATACAAAATATATAAAAAAGAACATTAACAATTATTCCTTATTAATATTTCATTTAGGAAAAGTACCTGTGATTTTATGGTGGACACCTTTTGGAAATGATGGAAAGCTTCGAAAATGTGAAAATCATTTATGTTATTTTACAAGCAATCGAAGTTTTCAATATCATCGAAAAATAAGTGTAATGTTATGAATTTTTTCATGTTATCTAACTTGATTTACATTAGAAAAATTTTTACAAAATTTAATTACATTAGGAATTTTCATTAAGAAATACTTAATTGGTTATTCTCTATATACTTATAAATTAGTAATATTACATAAATAAGAAAATTATAAAGTAAATCGATCAATTGTAATTTTACTTTTGTTTTGTTTTAATTTTTTAGAGTTTCCTTTTCTATGGTAGCAATTTACAAATTAACGATTTACCGGAATGGAAATCAGATAGAGTTCCATGGGGTTTAATGCATGAAGAATCTCCAAGAAATAACCCCATTCTTGTTCAACAAAAAACTCTAAATCTTTTTACATACTCTTCAACATTCAGCAGATTTAGCGATGTACCTCTTACTTTGATCGATCTACCTGGAATTACAGAATTATTAGGTAAATACAATAAACTTATACATGTTGAAATAATTACAAACATTTTTTTTTCTATTTTATACTTTCTTATTACTATTACATGCAGTGATGCTATTAAAATTCTGAATTATTTAAATGTTTGAATAAAAAAATATTGTTGTTCCTATTATGTTTTGTAATTACATGTTATAAAGAAATTAATATTTTATTTTATTCTTTCAGATAGAAAGTATTTCGTGTCAACCAAAGAAAAAACGAGATTAATGAATACAAAGAATTTTGCACCTTTACTTTATATACAATCTGACTGTGATACTGCAAGTAATAGAGATATCTATGTAGCAGAGTTAATGAAGTACATACGTGTTGATTCATATGGCACATGTCTGAATAATGCTCAGTTTGATAAAAGGTGATTTATATCTACAGATTTAGAAAAATTAAGTTTATTCATTACATTAACTGTATAAATACTATAATTATAATGTAGGTTGAAGGAAAATTACCTCGAAATATTAAACAGTGAAGATTTTCTTGCTTTCATTGCCAATTATAAGTTTACAATAGCTTTTGAGAATGCAATCTGTCAAGATTATATCACAGAAAAATTATGGAGGCCCCTTATTGTTGGATCTGTACCTATATATTATGGATCACCATCATTTAAGGTATTTAAATTTGAACCACAATTTATATTTCAATGTTCAATGAATTATTTCGTTTTATTGATAATTTACATTTTCTTTACTAAGTTGAGTTATAAATGATTTTCAATTTTTGTTAGAATATATTTGTATATATTTTCTGTTTATATAGTCTGACTCTGTGCATTATATTCCATAATCAGAATACACTACATTAAACTTAAAACTGTAACTTTTTCAGGACTGGCTTCCAAACAATATGTCTGCTATTTCAGTACTTGACTTCAAAGATCCAAAGAGCTTAGCCGATTTGTTACATAATTTATCTAATAATGAAATTGAATATAATAAATATTTAACACATAAATTAGTTGACAATTACGGGATAGATAACAAAGAATTAAAAATTGCTTTAGAGAGAAACAATAAATGGTCTCGAAATGAATTTGGAAATTATGTAGACGAATTTGAATGTTTGGTTTGTAACAACATACAAAATATGAATAAACAAAAAACAAAAATTGTTGATTTAAAGCATTACGATTGTCCACTGCCAATTCATCCGATAAAAAAAACAACTGATCATCAAAATTGGTGGACAAAACAATGGATTTTAGAAAAATGTGGGGCCAAAGTATTAGTACAATATTTAAAAAATAATCTTACAATTAATATGGAAAATTTTGAAAAAAGTAAAATAGATTTATATGTTAAAAATCAGTGTTATCCGTAATGTTTTTGAGCAATTCGTTTAACAAAAATGATGCACAAACATTTAATAAATCAAAATATATTTATTTTGTGAGTACCTTAAATTGTAGATTTGTAAAATATTGTATAGTCTAATGTTTTGAGTATTCTGGCATACCTTTATATTTTAAACAATAGAAATATTTTTATACAATCATCACGTAATAAAGTAATAAGTATAATGAACTGTTTCTTATTTCGAGATCTCACTTACCAATTTTCTTAAAGTGAAATAAAATACAAGACAATGTTCAATTAGCAACCTTATTTTGCAAAATGGGAGTGGGTACTTCCATCAATTCACAAAGGTGATTTCTGATAGGTCGTATCTCAGGCACTGATCTTTCCCAATCGGTGACATTTAATTGAGTCAAAATTTTCATCAAATTTTGTTCAGGAATATCCATTTCTTCTCCATATAGAGTTAAAGCTTCGTACGTTTTTGTTGCTGCTACTTTTCGTATACATTTGTACTTATGACAAAGAAAGATACTTAACTGACAGAATGCTCTTTTCGCAACTGGTCCACGCAACTATAAAACATTGTTGTTATTATTGTAATATAATCATTATTTGTTTATTCTAAACATAACAATATAAAAATACCTGCAAAAGCTGACAAAAAACATTTATGCTGCTAATTAACAATTTGGTGTTACTACAATTCTTGATTTCCTGCTTAAGTAACACTAAAATCTGTTCTGAAATACCATTTTCGAAATCGTCAAGAACAATTTGAATGCAACCAGAACTAAGTAAACGATCCAGAAAAGCCAAAATTGAGGTAATCATTCTTTCATTTTTGTGACTTTCTTCAAAAATCGTTAATATTTTATAACATAAACTTTTAAGACCTAATTCATCTATTTCTTGTAAATAAGAAAATAAAGAAACGCTAGAATGTTTAACCTGAAACAAATATTCAAAATTTAATATAAATATACATTAAAAAGAAAATTTAATTAATCGTATTCAGATATTTAATTAATTTATATATTCTAAGTATGTAACAATAATTACCAAAGATTCACTTAGGCCACCAACACTAAATATAATTCCTTGTAGAAGATTCATAGTATATGGAGGATAAGATAACATTTTAATGAATCGTGGGAAAGTAACGGATTCCATTCTCCATTCTATACTTTCTTTACATTCGTCGTAAGGAAAAATGCTTTTCAGTTCTACATGATATGGAATGTTTGGTAAAGAAGGATCATTATGAATAAGCGCACTAAAAACGGTTCCTGCTTGTGCTCGAATTCCATCAATTCTTTCTACAGCTTGTTGTGCTATTCCTCCAATAACTTTCGCCATTAGTTCTTCATTCAATACAAAAACCAATTTTGCTTGAAATACTAAGTTTGTTAACATCTAAAATTATGTAAAAATGATTAATTTAACTATACACTGAAGATAATTAAATCAATTATAAAGAAATGGTTTTTACATGTAAACCCAACATTGCAGCTTCTCGTACCCATGCTCCTATATCTCCACGACTATCTATAGTATATTCTTTCAATGCCAGTAAATAACAATTATATAAATCATACACAAATATGTCCCATTTATCTGAAAAGTGTGAAAAGATTACATATTTCTATCGTTTCAATATATTTTACTGTAATCTTAAGTTTAAAGTAGAATATTAATGTTTTATTAGTTGAATGTAATAACTAATAAACTAACATTTGTTTATAAATCTTATAGCTCTAGATCACTTAGAAATAATAATAAAAAAAGTGTATGTTATTTCATGAAGATGCAGTGACATTAAAATCTTAACTAAAAAGTAGACTAAACTTGTTATAAATTATTGTTCATGTGTGATTTTAAATTTGTGCAATATAAAGTTAAATTTTTTAAACAAACCTGCTTCTTTTACACCCAATGTTTGACACACCATTATTAATGCGTGGATGGCTTCTTTTCTACTTTCTGCCCACTTTAGTGTGTGTTCTGATAACTCAGTACATTTAATTAGGGATTTTATCACATCTTTTACTCGTTCACAAATTATAAATAAAGGAAAATATCCTACAAAGAATTTATTAGTATCAAAAATAACGTAAGAGTTTAATATGTAAAAGGTTTCATGTGTTACCTATTGCTTGTGCGAAACCAATTCTAACAAGTTGATTACTTGACTGCAAATTACCAAGATAACGATTAATAACAATATTACGTTCTTTTTCCGGTATATAAGTATAGTATTTAAAAAAGAATTCTGTATGTGCTTCTGCAGCTTTTGTTCTAACTGCAGATACTTCATGACCTAAACATTCTTCTAAAAGATTCTGCCAATCATCTGCAAAAATACCTTCCATTAGTGTGAATTTATACAATGTCTTTCAGATTCTCATGGAATAAATTACATAATTATTTGAGATGTTTAGTAAAGATAGTGCAAAAATTTATAATTTTCTATCATTGTATGATTTACTAATTATTGTTTTTTATATGAAATAAGTTTTTGTCATTGCAATTGTTTATATTTTTCATTTCAGTATGCTCTTGATGCTTTTACATTATAAACATCAGATTTTCTGAAAAATTAATTTTATTCTACTTGATAACAGGTCTCCGAATTTGTATTATTTGTCTAGTAAATATAATATAAATTATCTGAAATGAATATAAGTGTAGGGACAAAATAAATAATTGGTTACATAAACTTATGACACTGACTTAGGTGATGTGTAAGAAAATTGTTAGTTATATACAACATACAAAGGTAGTTATAGACATATACCTTTCTCTATATTTTTAATGTGTAATATTTCGAAAATAAATAACCAATATATAGATAATATTTTACTTACAAATAATTTCCATGGATATTGGAAAATGCACGATAGAGCACTTTTTTACGAGCACTGCACAAGCTTGCTTCATTAATTCACCTCCCAAACCTTTGAACTGTCCTCTTTTCCGAAAGGTGCTTACTATGTTCTTTATATTTTCCATAGCCGTTGCTTCAATGATATTTTCAACTTTTTCACTGTAACAGTTGTGCAATGCTTCTAGAATTTCTGCAATGGCCAAGACCGCACCATGTCTTATATTTAAGTCTATCGAATTTAACATATCCAGTAATTTTGGTAAAACTGTCTCCGTAATGTAACTTGGATCAGCGGGTGTTAGATTAAAAAGTGCTTTGGCTGAAAGTTCTCTAATTGCTGTATCCCAGTGAGTAACTTTTCTTGCAACCAAATGGTCGATAAGAGGTTTCATATACTCTTCATATTGTGCGATTTGTGTACTAATTTTTAAGTATGCATGATTTCTAACACCAACTTCAAAATAATCAGCAGTAGTCAGTATTTCTATTCCATGTGGAAAATTCCCTTGTCTGCCCACATTTTCTTGAAACGCCGCAGAAGCGGCTCTTCTACAATTAATTTCTCTATCAAAGCAAGTAACAACCAGTAACATAGCTGCAATTTCTTTAACATATGGTTGAAAAATATCTGGATCATACGCCCTGGGAAATGACCAACAAATATAACATGCAGCATCTCTGATTAGATATCCAATTGACCCATATGCTCTTGGTTCATCGAAAACTAAAGCTTGAAGAACTACCGGTATTACATCTTTTAAACGATGTGGTAACAAAAGTCCACGCCTTCCTAATTCCGCTAATGCCAAACAGCCACCGTGCCAAGCGGAATCGGATTCCCGGCCGCAAAACAAGTTCAGCACAAATCCTACAACATCATCTGCTAAATCCATTGGTAGTCTTGCTGTAATCCTGCCAATTCCTTTTGCAGCAGACCACCGTATTGTAATTGCTTTATCTCGAAGACCTTGTATAAGATGCTCAATAATATCCTCTATTGCCGACGGAATATCCTGATCCTCGTGAATAACTGAAACTTCTTTTGTGTCCTCGAAATTTTCTGAGTTATTAAAATTCTTAGCATTAAGTTGTAGACATATGGGTCTACTAGTTCGCTGATATCTCCAAGATGCAAGTTTTGTTCCCAACAATACTAATCCAATTCTTTGTACAATTTTTATTCCAAATTTCCTAATAAGATCCGCAGGATTATCATTTAGATGAAACTGTAAAACTTTGTCTAAACATATTTGAGTGTATGGCTTAACATCTTCTCTTACACTGTGTTTCAATATTGATGCTATAACAGCTAAAGGGCCATGTCTGAAAGGGTCCTTTTCCACACATTCTAAACACCACATAATCATTTCTTTTAAGTACAGTTGTTTAACGTCGGACCTTGTCAAGAAATTGGCAATTAGAAAAACTGCTGCTACAGCACAGGCATCCTTTGACAAGCAAAATAATTTGCATATTTTCAGAATTCTAGCTATTATAGATTGTTCAAAGTCCACATCAGAGGTCTCTAGACGTGAAAGTGGAAATGGTATCTTTGATATTATGGAAAGCCAAATTAAAAGTACATATCGAGTCTCCCATGTTTCCACATCATTTGGATCTTGCTTCTCTAACATTCGTAGAACAGGAAGAAGATCTGCTACCTACATCAAAATATTATACAACTGAAACATTTAAAATGTAAAATACTTCATTGAAAAATCAATATGATTGTGTACCTCGTGTGGAAGATAAGTAACAATTTTTTTATACGTTTTGACAGACATAACAATGAAAATGTATTTAAATGCATTGTGTCGCATATTTTCTGTTGAATTTTCATTTTTAACAATTTCAATTAATGGCTGCAGAATGTCATCCAAGTAGGGATCTAATAATTGTCTTTGATCCTGATATTGTGATAAAATAAAATTAAACCGATCTCTATTTTTCTCAATAAAACTGGCTGAGAGATCAGTTTTTTTCAGTTCCGTAATCAAAGAAGTCACTTCGTCAATTTCCTTAAAAGCACTGAATCCACAACCAATTACTTCTGAATCCGGATAATCATTTAGCACCATTTTTTCTCCTCAGCTTATTACTGTTTTTCACAGAAACTGTTATCATCAATTACGACTCATTCATACGTATTTAAGTTTACCTACAAAAGCATAAAAATATGACAAATCTTTCGGAACGATTTCACGAAAAGCAATGCCATATTACGGCGCATGCGCAACGGCATAATGTTTTCATTATAAATACGTACAATACATATCATTTAATATGTTTCTCGATACATTTGACGCAATATTACGCAGTGAAATTTATTGTAAATCGAAAGGATGTATAATAAAAATAATTCCTTAAATAACTCTGACATTTTATTACAAATGAACATGGTATTAAAATATATGTAGTTATGATATCATAATAAATAATATATAAGTTTTTTAGTAAGTGTTTAATGTTTCAGGCTTAAACAGTTTTAACAGAAATAGTGTTTTGTTAAAAATTGTTCTTTTTTTTGTACGAAATATTTTATAACCCCTGTAAAGCAATACAAAAACCTGATACAAAACAATTTCCAAATTTTTATATACATATTTGAACATATCATACTGCATTTTAATTCATTGTTAATTTGTTAAGTGAAATGTAGGATAGAACTCTATGCTAAGTGACTTAGCAAAATGACTACTTATTATTACTTTTCTCTAATGTAAACTCAAATTATTCAGATTAAATTTGATTATTTATGTTTCTTACAATCCAAGCTTTTTATTTCATATGAAAACAACAAAAACAAATTATTAGAACAAAAGTTAATGTAATACATATTTTGAAGTAAATATCAACATAGAAAATAGTATGGCTAACAGAGTTAAAATTATTTTTACTGCAATCTGCAAAATTGATTCATATTTCAATGTTTTTTGTGATTAAATAATTATATTAAATTTAATTTTTATTAGATATATTACATTAATGCTATAAATATATCAAAGTATTTAATTATCTATAGTTTTTCAAAGGTAGATTTTATATTATATAATGTCTGTTTTCATGGTACATTACACAAGATATTCATAGAAAACTGGATATATTTAGAAATCATCACTTAACAACAAGTTGTTTAAATGCATGTATGAACTTATTAAACACGATCTAACTTAATTCAGGTCGATGTTATAGTTGAAAAGTAGTAAATGAAAAGATTTTTTAATGCTCTACTTCAATATGTATTGTGGTCTCACGTAAAGAAAAAAATTTGTACATAATTCCAATGTAGTAGCAACATTGGGTTTGAGTAGCTTGTTGATTAATATTAAATAACAACTTATTTCTTCCTTTAAGTATTGTATAAAATTGAACATAAATTAAAGAGTTTCTTAAATTTTTTGTTGAAGGTTCTATCATCATATTTCACAAATTTATATACATAAAATTTACAGTACAATTATAAGAATAAAAGCAGATCATTATGGTTGCAATATGTACTAACAGATCTTCAATACAGATTTAAGAAACTTGATATAGTTTTATTAATATCGACTAAGTCAATAATACACTATGTATTTATTCAACTGTTGTAATTTTTTTATTGCTATTTATTATTGTATTATCCATTAAGTATTTGCACTACTTATATTAAATTATTTTTAAAACCTTTATTATGTTATTTACTATAATTGTTACATTCATCCTTCTAATCTTATGTAATGACAAATAAGTGCACGTCCAAACTTTAAATTTATTTCAAAAAAGCAAGTAACATAACCTTCTATATTATATTTTCAAGAGGAACCGAATTAAATTACATTTGTAACTTACATTTCCATTAACATATCAATCTACATCTATACTTTGATTAAATGCTTAATTGATAAATGTTTAATGTGTAAGGAAATATAAATAATAATCAAGAATATTTATCCACAAAATGAATGTGCTGCCTATGATACCGTTTCGATGAAACGGTGGAGCCAAGAACTGCTAGGTTTCGGAAAAATGGAGGTTGTAGTCCGATCGAGATCGTGGATCAGTGTTGCCCTATAAGAATCGAATTGTGTGATTTTTTCGTGAGAAAGTCAATTTTTAATACACCTATTTGATTCTTGACACTCCGTTTTTTTTATAACTTCGAAATTTAAAAAGTGAAAACCGATTTTTACGCAGTAAAATGCAGGAGAGACGGTACATCTTTATTGTACGATTTTCTCATTTTAATTCCAAATATAAAGTTTCTTTTTTCATCTTTCACCTTTCAATATATTTCGAAAAATGAATGGTCATTATTGAACTAATTTTTTTTTACGAATAATCTTTCTATTTTGCGAATACCGTCTTCAGTTACGCGATCATACGTGCGTGCAGTTGTTTCTCCTTTGAAATCTAACTTCCTCGTTATATTCTGTATTAATTAATTGTTTTTTGTATTTTTTTTAACTTGTTTCAGTTCTTATTTTAGTATTTCAAAGCTTACATAATTTGATGACTTAAATTAACTCTTTCAGTTCTGACAAGAAAATAAATTGGATGCAAAACACCTACAGAAAATGAAATCAATGAAAGCAAAGGCAAAGACTAAAAAGCCAAATGGTAAATTTGGAAAAGTCAAATTTCCTTCCAAAGAAGTTACTTCTATTAATCCAGATTTGTCACAATTACACCAACCAATAGACACAAGTGTGTCGTCTCTTTATTGTGTGAGCAAGGTTCTAGAAAATGGTAGCGATGAAGTTAAATCTATTTTGGCATATGAATGTGATTTGGTATTCGAATGTCGTATATGTAGAAGCCTCTTCAGAAGCCTGGTCAATCTAATCTCTCACAAACGAACTTATTGTAAAGAAAAATTTGATGTCACATTTGGTAGAAACTCTTTTAGCAATCATGACACGGTACCTCCTATTTTATATATTTTCATGCAAAATTAAAGCACTTAGTCATGCAAAATGGCTTAAATATTAACCACTGTTCTTAATGTTTTACATACATATGTCTATAATAAATAAACAGCAGATATTTATATAAATTAACACTTTTATAAAGTAAGTTAAAAAAACTGAAGTTGGGCAATACCTTATTTTCTTTTTTAAGAATTATATTAGTGCAAAAAGAGGATAAAAAATTTCAAACTGTGTTGAAGTTTGAATTTATTATATTTCACAAATTTATATAAGCTATATATGTATAAAATCTGCAGTTTATTAACAAGCAATAATTATAGCACATGACAATATGCAAAATGTAGCAAATTAAAAATTTCTACAATATTTAATAACTTTTTTATTTAACATATACTGTGTGCTTATAAAATGATCTTATATTTTGCTTTTACTGATAAATTAAATAACCGCAATTTACACAAAAATTAATTAATCACAAATTAACCACAAAATGTATATACAGTTCATCTCATAATTGTACATTATGAAGCATGTAAAAAATATATTGTGCATGTAGGTAATAAGCAATTATTATTGCTTACAAAGTTCCTTAAAAATAATATTTATGGCATATATCAAAAGTAAAATTTTAATACACCATGCAATTATAATTTTTAGTTGAATGTTGAAGCAGAACATTGAGAAACTATTACTTTCCTATGTTTACGTAATCTAATTCAAAGTTTAATCATTTTTTTAGAATATGTTAAATTATTGACACCAATTTTTATGCTTCGATTATGGAAAATCTAATTAAATGATTCTAACAATTTGTATACAAAAGAATTACAAGTTTCAAAAATATTATTTATCTTATTCAACATTTCTTATGAAAATTTAAAATGTAAATTCTTCAAATACAAATGGATATGTTTATTTTAAAAGGATAATTTTAAACGATATTTGCATATCAATAAGAATGCATTTCGTTATAATGATATGAAAACATAAAGAACATACACAAGAGAATGTATTTAAAAATTAAACGAATCGGAAAGAACATTATCATATATGTATTGTTATTAATTTTATATTAATATAACTTAATATAAAAAATCTTACAGATTTTCAAAAATAAATCTAGCATACAAAAGCCAGAGGCTTTGCTTCAGGAGGCTTGTGGTAATGATAGAATCTTGAGAAGTCAAGTTTGTAAAGAAGAACAAAAGAAAGATCTTACCACTGTTGTAAATATGTTACAAAAAAAGCAAACAGAAAATTTACACACCGACATTGAACATATATGTTTGGAAACTGTGCAGTCAAATTCATCTGCAGTTTATCAGACTGTTGAATCAGCGGTTCCAGCACAAAATCATGTAGATCTAATGAAGACACAGGTATGATTAAGACCAATAATTAATTCATAATTAAGGGAGTTAAATATAATTATATAATATCATTACAAATTTTGAATTTATATTAGGTAACAGAGTTAAAAGACATGATTAATGATCGAACTGCAGTGTTAGGTCCAGATGGACAAGTTTTACAATCTAAACAAGATTTGCATGGTAGTAATTGTAATACTGAAGAAATCAGTGACAATTCTGAAATTGAGCTCACCTGTTCTATATGTATGTCATCGTCAGTTTTAAGTACCCGTTTTTTTATCAATATTTACAGTTTTCACTTCTATTTTATGTTTTCTAATTACTAGGTAATGCAAAATTTGCAACAAAAAAAACATTAGCAGTTCATACAAGGACGCTGCACACATCTCATAGATTATGCTATCCCTGCCCATGTTGCTCTAGTACATTTGCAAATACATGGAGTGTTTATCGACATCTTTTCAAAGGTATTTACAAAAATGTAATATTACAGTTTTAATAAGTAACAATAATATTAGGCTTAATTAATATTACGATTTACCAGAGAGAGAATTTAATTCCTTGTCTTATAATATTTCTCTTCACATCCTCGGAATTGATGAACAACAATGTTCAATATAATATATGTAGATGTTTAACATGTACAATTTTTGTTTCAAAACAACAAACTACTATATTAAACCGGCATAAAAATTAAATTATTACTTTCAATCCTTTGGGTATTGCTCACCACTATAGTGGCTTCCCATTAAATGATTGTTTGGGATGAAATGCCATTATAGTGGCTTTTCTCCAAGTACTGTTTGGGGATGAATTGCCACTGTAGTGGTTTTCTTCTCTTTTCTATTTGTCTACTGCGCGAATACAAACAAATAGATATTCTTCCATATGTCATAACGACCAATAAAAAACGAATCGTATAAAATCAAAAAGTACATACTCATCACTCGGGTTGCTGTGCAGCAGTAGTATTTCTTGGCAAGCTCTGCCCTAGCTAAAGGATTAACAAGATTTTGAAACAATTAGATGTTTTCATGTTATGTCAGAGTTTTAATATCGATCTAAACTACAGTTCATAGAAAAACCAATGAACAAGTGAGGAAGCTCAGATCTCAAATTCAAGAGAAAGCATTCATTAAGGATACAACTGGTGCAGAGGATTTACAGAAAGAACATGCCAATAAATCTTTAACAAGTAGTGTACTACGAGTTAATGAAACTCAGGTATGTGGGTCATTGGAAAAGTTTTGGAACTAGAATGGAAAGTCGACTTATATCGTTTTTAAAATATTTTTATTTTCCAATGTAATTCTCTATGATTTCAATGCCATTGGACCGACGATATCCTAACTTTATAGACGTTCTAAACACTCTTGAGAAACTTGCATTCGAATTCGCTTTTGATCAATTGTTAGGAGACGCGACACATGATGTGATAGTGTTTTTGTTCAAGTAGATGTATACAAAATATATGTAGCATAGTGACTTAAAATCTTTGGTGGATTAAAAATTTCCGAAGTATTGATGTCATTTATATTTCATCCGAGAACTTCTCAAACGACTCTTGTATTTTAATTCCAACTAATAATTTTGTAATACATGTGAAGATACTGATAATTTAAGATATGGTATTCTAATAGGAATGGATAGATCATCTAGAATCCGATACAGAATTGCAAAGATGTGGAGGTTGTGGAAAACGTTTTGATAGGAAAGCAGCTTTATCGGCACATTCACAGTACTGCCATAGGCGTGTTGCAGCCTGTGAAAATACAAATAAAATTAAGAAGACAAACAAAGTCTCACCAGATCGTAGTTCAACTGATAGTGTGGTCACTTCTACTTCTTTAGAAGTCAACAGTTGTAATGAAACATCTATTCGTGTGGAAGCTGTTGCTACTTTAAGTAAAGCGGATTGGGATATGCTAGGAAATGAAGAATCAATTTCACAAGGTGAGCTCAATGGAAATCTAAGAGCACTAGCAAACACGGCACAGGAAGATACAGTGAAACACAATCTTCTTCCTGCAAATACTGCTTCTGATTCGTTAGAAATTGTTTACTCTAGTATAAACAAGCATAAAAATAATATTGGAAGTAAAAAACGAAAAAACAAGGACAGCGCAAGAAGAATAAATATCAATGCAGGTAAGAAAAATACTTTCCTCACAACAAAAGTGATGGATTTAATTATTATACACAATGTCCAAGTTATTATGAACGTCTAAATTATTTCCACTGCTATTGAATTTAAGAAAAAGTGACTAAGAGAAGCTAATATGATTTAAGGACGTATATCTGGTGATAGAAAAGAAATCCTCCAAGTCATTCTAAGATCGACATTTTTTTTTGCATATTAACATCTGTTTTTTGAAAAACGACGTTGTAGCCGATATCAAGACAAGTTCAACGACCTATGACATCATGACCTTGAAATGATTTTGAATAAAAAATAATGTGTTTAAATCAGGACAATATGAGAATAATAAAACAAGAGAGAAATAATAAGTCAGTTTACTTTAGTAGGTGTTCAATGTGCTGGGCACCTACATCAATACATTTATGCACGCTATAAGTGAACAACTAAATGATCATCCATGAATCAGTGAAATTTTAATCTAACAGACTATAGTAAACAAGCCAAGAAATTCAAACTACTGATAGTGGTTTCCCAGCGTGTGACAACAATAGCAATGGTCAGCATGTGAGGATCGTAGAAACAAGGAGAATATTGGTATTAATTCATTTTACTCAACAGTCGAGAAATGACTCCACAAAAATATTTTATTGCTTAAGGTCACTTAAGGTTTAATGTTATAAGTCGTTAAACTCGTCTTGATGTCGGCTATAACATTACATTATAAAAATCGATGTTAATATGCAAGAAATGTCGATGACCTTGGAAGGACTTTTTTCTTATCACTAGATGCACGTGCTCAAATCATATAAATATACTTGCCCAACCATATAAGCTATGTAAAGTTTAAGGTTGTACTGTAGTTATTTCATTAGATAATTAAAAACTTTTCTGTTTAGATAACAATGTTGAGAAACTAGATCGTGCATTGTTAATGGAAAAGAAGACAGCATTAATAGTGAATATTCAAAAACTTCAGTGCCTTCCGTGTAAACGAAAATTTACTTCAGTTACTAATCTAAGGAAACACGCTGCCATTCATGTAGGTTGGAATCGTTATCAGTGTAAACTTTGTGACTTTAAATGTTTCGTTAAGTGTGATTGTGTGGCACACTGTAATAAAATGCACAGTGCTCAGAACAACCGTGCTATTATAGAAGATATGATATCACAGATTTCAGATGATCAATATACATCTGAACAAGATGTTATGTTGGGTTTAACTAACACAGAAAAAGAGTTTAACAGCCCAGAAGTTGTGGAACTAAGTATTTCTCCAGAGTGCATAGAACCAGAAGTCCAATTGGAAGAACCAGAAATTTGTACAGAAGAAACAGCAGTAAATAAAGCAGAAACAGAAATAGAAAACGAAGCAGGAACAGAAATAAAAAATGTAGTGGACACCGAAATAGGAAATGAAGCAGGAACAGAAATAGAAAATGAAACAGAACCAGAAATAAGAACAGAAATAGAAACAGAACCAGAAATAGTAGAAACAAATTCTACTATGTTTTCAGAAACAATTCATGTCGATGAGGACGTTCAAGAAATTTCCACTAATGGTGTCAAAGGTCCAAATACTCTTGAGTTGGATCCTGAACTGAAGAGAATGGTAATGGAAGTTATCTTTGGATCTTCTGAAGTAAATTCTGCAAAAGAAGTGGAGGCAGAGGAAACAAAATTAGAGAACAAAGAAGATACTGAAACATCATCCGGAGGTTCTGATTTAAAAGAGAGTAACATTCTGTCTTTGCAAGATAACGTAAAACCGCAGCGACCGATTCGAAATAAAATAAAACCATTGAACAAGGACTTCATTTATGATTTAAAGGATGTGGCATTTCGAAAGGATTCCGTAATTATGAAATCATTTAATAAAACACTTGCCAAGAAGGCACTGATTCAGGAAGAAGATAATGCAGAGAAGGACGTTCAACAACCGCCTAAACGTTTTAAAACTTTACAGGATAATGGAATGTCAATTCACTGCGAGAACAGTGTTATGGATCAATGTGACATTAAATTCGATACAGAAACTTTAAAGGGGAATATCTCCTTCTCTCAGTGTCACAGTTAATTATATAAAAGCATCATAAATGAAATGGATCTTCTATTCGGCCAAAAAATATATTGCTTAAATCAAATTAATTCATTCTGCAAAGTGAACCTTTAAATTGTTCATCTCAAATATATATATGTGTGTATGTATATATATATACATATATATTTTGTAATATGTAATTGTTTGTTAATACTATCAGGTTTAAGGTATTTCTGAATATTGCCATTTCCATTATGTTAAAATTTAGAAACTTTGAGACGAATGATTCAAATAAAGTTAATTGTTGGTATCTTATGTAATTATTCATATGCAGTCGTGTCTCTGTACTAGTCTTTTTAACTAACATTCTTAACAAACTTTCAGTTGACTGCAACCAGTTGGTGGCTGAAAGTTGGGAGAAGCAAAATAAGTAGGCATAATTAATCATTCGCCAAATAAACATAAAATTTTTTGTTTCTGCTTTCTTTTTATGAAAACATTTTGAACATAATTTTTAGATACAAACGAAGATAAAAACAACCTGAATTGGTCTGCTTTGAATCGAATAAGAAATGTACAGTACTTTAATAAGAGTGTACATAACTAAACAATGTATCTAATATGACGTTTATGTAAGAAAATGTATTCATCGCATACATATATGTATGTAGGGATTATCTTGAATTGTCATTAAACCTAAAAAATAAAGAAGTAATGAAACAATATATTAAAAATACCGCCAGTGATATCAGTGATAAAAAATAATGTATATTATAATACTATGATAATATATCATAGCAAGCCGGTATAATATCATACCAATGTTTTTCATACTGTTAATTTTATTCTAATTATTTAAGCGTAACCAATGGTTGTTAAAATAGAAAAGTTCTCATAATGAAAGTGCAATGAAAAGGAGAAGAATATAATTTTCTATTAGTTAATGATTCATTCTACAAGCAGACTTTTTATCATCTTTAGCTGTTTTAATATACCTTTATTCACTCTACTTGTTAAATGATTTTAGAGAGAAACTTAAGTACATAATTAGGTGCTCTGTCCAAAGGCCATTGCTCCTCTTAAATATTCGACTATTAGGAAGACAGAACTGTGTTTATAATTTTTTTTTTTCGAAAACGAATATACTGTTATCATTTATGTATAAAAATTATTTATATAATACTACGAGTTTAGTTAATACACATATTGTGTAATGCAGGTGGTGCCAGTGATATTTGCAGGATTTGATCACAAGGTTAATCTGTATTTGTTTTGTAAAATTTTGTGTAAAAAATATGCGCATAATACGTGAAAAACTTGTAGATAAAAGTGGAAGTTTACTTATTTTGTATTTAGTGTGAGTCAAATACAATTAAATGTGGTTTATCTTAAGTTGTACGAAAAATGTAAAGCAATTTCGAACTAAAATAAAATGTTCTGATAGGAATAATAAGAAAGACATTTCTTTATTAAATTACAATGTTGAAAATTTGTAATTGTTCCGATTTTTTTAGTATTTTTTACAGGTTTTAAAACGTACAATAAATAAAAAAGTATTTGCACATATTCATTTTTCATTTAATACATTTAATAATATACAAATTTAAAGCTTACTTTATATACAGAAGCGGGATTTTAAATAACCTGTTTCTTTACTGTATTTTTTATTGTAGAATGAAGTGTGTAGGTACTGTTTCCATCCATTTACGTACAATTTAATAATTAACTATTTGAGTCCTGTCAAACAGAGGGGCGGGTGATGGAGGAAGGAGAAACCGTAATGAATATATATTTTCACCACATATAAATCATCGTCTTTTTATTATAATTACACTGATAAGATTTATACTACTTTATTGGCGTCTTCCGTAATCGCCAACATACTATGAAATGTATTGGAACTTATTAAGTACAGTCAGAAAAAATATGTACATACACTAGAAGTCTTTCTTTTCAAGCGTATTTGGAAAACGATTTTCACCCAAACCTTTTTATTACAACTTTCTCATACTATTCATCGTTACGTATTTAACGTTCTTAGACGATCGTATGAAATGCAAAAAAGACACAGTTTCATAGAAAAAACAATTACTCATGAAAGTCACAATTTAGTTATAATTAGACTACGAATGTTTGTGTAAATTCAGTTAAATAATAACATATGACCAAGATGAATGATTGTAGTACATAAAGAAAAAAATAGTCTTCATAAAGCTTCATGAAATGTTTTTATTTTATTTCGTTTTACTTTGTCACATCTGGTAAGAAAGCACTAAATACATAGTCGATTTAAGATTTTAATTTTTTTCCGTAAGTATCGAAGTACCCAATACCTGCCAACACTTGCTGGTAGTAATGTGCAATTTCTGGATGATGTGATTGATGTATATATACATTTATCTAAAGGCGCGAAACACTCCACTCTACGATTCGTTTCTGCTCGAAAAGCAGTTTAGTCATTAGTCAATAATCCACCAATCAGAGTAAAGTTGCCGCCATTGGTGGGGGTACTACCGCGACAGGTATCTGGTCTGGTAGATGCGCGGCAAACAGCACGGAGTAATGACGGTTCTTTGGTTGCTTGTAGTTTAAAAAATTTGTTAGTAAGAATGACGCCAATAAAATGACTACACGTTTCCTTTTCTGACGTTATAATGGTGACAAACAGTGAGGTTGTGTGAAGTGCGTTGATTCCATCACTCTCGAAGCCTCGTGGAATTTCTGTTGCCGGAGGATCCTAGGCGCAGCATCGTAAACGTAAGTCATCTTTAATTCTTCTTCTTTTTTTTGAGTCCTCTGTTAGAGATTGTTTCTCATTTCTGAAGTCGGTCGGCGTTATTTTCAAACTTCGCGCCTGGGCTTTCTTTATGTAACATTTATATCATGTTATTGCGCGTGATCAAATATAATTACTTATATATTTTTAGTTGTAACACTGTTAGATTTGTTTCTTCGGAACTTAGCATTTTTCCACGGTGCATGCACTAGATTTCGCGATAAGGGCTTACGTCTCGTGGATAGTAAGCTACAATTGTAACACTGTGTACACTCTTGTCCTCTATTTCAACACAGACCTAAGTTAAAAATAAATAATCTGTAGAATTTTATAAAGTAGTAGAAAGTATAAAGATACATGTTGCTGCGATATACGTGATTTGTTTGATTGAGTGCATCGTTTATTTATTTATCTCGATATCTATACTTGTACATCTATTTATTCACTAATCTCTCTATCCTCCAACAACGGTTTTCTTCAGCACTTCAAATATTACCTTTCCCTTGTAGAAAGTGTGCGTGCTTATTATTCATTAATTATCGCATATTAATTAATTCGGATTACTTATGACACACAAATGAAAACATATTTAGTTAAAAATAACATTTGAAAATACTATTTCATTAAATCAAAACTTCGATATATCGATCATTTCTACAATTTTTTATGACTAAGATTAAGGAAAGTATTTTTTGAGGCATATGAAGTTGACCATATCATTTTTCATCGAAATGTATCATAATTCTTTATTTGCTGTATAGAAAATAAACAAGCAATAAAAAGTAGTTTGTGCATAGAAATTAGCAATCTTTTGATTGTACACGTGATTCTAGTCTTTTGAAGTATCTAGTCATTCGCATGAGGCAAACCTATTCTTATCGTGACAATTTATTTACTTCTTTAATACAATGCCATCCGTCGATGTACTTTGAGGTGACAATCCACTTGCTTTTATATTTGTGTTGTAATGGGGCCCCGCGACTTTCCCTTCTTGGAAATTTTCTCTGCCCCCCCCCCCCCCAAACATGGAATATTGTTAGATAAGTAAGAATTGTAAATAAGATACAAATTTTTAAAACAATTCTTAATTTTTCATTCGTATCGTAACCACGAAATCCTTTTTTTCTTATCTGTAGTAGATACGCAGTTGTAATTTGCTGTAGGGTATATGAAATAGTACGAATAACTTGACATAATTTTTATAAACAAATTGAACACCATTTTTATGTATGAAATAATTGGATATTTATTTTTGGACTGCTTATGTTTGTTATTTGTAACATTTATCTAAATGTGTAACGCACGATAGTATTAATATCATAGTTGAATCGTTGATAAACCATTTTGTTTAACACCTAATTTTTTAAAGCAATTTTTGAACACATGAATTTTTACTAAAACCATTAACTTCTATGTCGTAAAGAATGATTATTTATAATGGTCTGACTTTAAACCATCTAAGTTTGATTTTTTAACGAAAAAAATGCTCTGGAAGAACCTATATACTATAAATTATATTTTACTGTACAATGTGATTGTTAGAATGTTTTTCTTAATGCATTTATCTGACTAATAATGAAATGACAACAACAAAAACAATTGCATTGTACTGCACTGAAGTACATTCAATATTCAGTTTTCAGAATAAGAGAAAATAATTATTAGTTTCAACTACAACATTTTCAAAACAAAGTAACTCATTTACATAAAACTCTGTAACAAGGGTCTGATCTAATTGATCTTTTAAGATTGTTTTCTTGGGCACCTAATCAGTGACAGTAAAGGAATCGCGGTTATTTTGGAACGAATTAAACCTGTTGATACTTTCCCTCAATTATTGTAATAAATTGCATGATCTATTATTCTGGACGAACAAGATTATACAATTTCTCATAACACTGTCGGTCCAACTCGAGTAGATGCATTCCAAATCAGAAAAGTATAATGTCATTTTTAATTTGACTGAAAGTTCTGCGTCGAGTAGAAAGTTATCAAAAGTATTGCGCAACTATTTTAAAGTGGTGTTTCATAATTCTAATGTCCATGTTGAAATGTCCCATGCGTGTACGCCTTCATACATACACGAATACGCGCATATCCCGTATCAATTTGATACATATGTACAACCTTAGTTATTTATGTCCCTAAAATTATTCACCGTCCACCTAATATTTTACGGATAATAAACGTGGTGTTCTTAAAATAATGGGTCAAACTTTATGTGTATTCTACTGATCGATCTGACAAAAAAAAAACTTCTAGGTTAGCTTGGAGGGTACGGTACCGAGAAAAAGAAATTGGTAAAGAAGAATCGGTTTATGTGGTGCATCGCGTTTCCATAACGACACATAGTATGCGGTTTGCAGGACGTCAATGCCCTCGTTGCTTCACGTGTTCCGGTTAGTTTGAACGAAAACATTTCTATGAGGGGTAGTTTTGTGTTCGTCCTTGGTACAAGAAACACACACGCTCATACACGTGACGCGTTTCGCTCTGTTCAAAATAATGAAAAGTCGACCCAGATCCCTCGTTTCGCTACTTTTCAACGTGTTTCGTGCCCTGTGGGCCCGAGGCATCTGCACTGCATCTCGAAAACGAGTCGTTGCAAAGCCTACGTGTATTAGGGTATGTGTCCCAATTACGGAGGCTTCGAGCCAGTTTGCGAAATCGTATATTAATTAAAAAATACTGCCACATGAATTTCATATTCTGAAAATCAATATCTATTGCTAAACAATTCCTTTTTATGAAGGAATGTCTTTTTAAATAAAAAAAATAATTTGTTAATGATTAAATTGAATTAAAAATTTTTATTTATTTTTATTTATACGTGTATGTTTTTTTTAATACTTTTAGCACAGAGGCTCCATAATTGGGACAGAATCTGTAACACATACAGAAATCGGGACGTGATTAGAAATAGGGACATTGACCTTACATACTTTCGCTTTACTTTTGTCACGCTCTCGAATTATTTATCGTTGCTTTTCTATTATTCTATCTGTTTACGAAATAATATCAAGACTTATTCGTACCAGCTATGGACGAGACGAGTTAACTCCTATTTTAGTCGTTTGTCGCCATCCACTTAAGGGAGCGATTTCGATCGAAAAATGGCGGTTTAACAGATCGAACATGCGAAAGAAGTCTCTGAGTAATTGTTCCTACTATGAGAACTAATCCACCATCTCGATGACAACGAGGGACCATACGATCGTAGCAGGAGAAAGAGGAAATCAGCTGAGCAGCTCACGAAATAATCAGGAAGCTATTAGACCGAGTTACATCGCGGTCCCGTTGCGAACGTCCGTTTTAGCTCTTTAACTCTCTGCCGTCCAGCTCGTGAAGTACATAATACGAATTTTCGCCGCTGCCAACACTATGACGCCAATTTTTCTGACAGCTTGAGAAACAGATTATTTGGACAAAGAGCCAGTGTAAATCTTACGAGCAGACTTTGGGTTTTCTGCATTTTAGCATGCAAACTACAATACTTCACCTTACATAGAACAATACGTAAGTCCTGAAAGTCTTGATAGTTTTCAAAATCTTGAAAGTTCCGATAGGTCTTGAAAGTTTGGTGAGTAATCAGTACCTTACAAAAGCATTTTATTATTCAGAACAATTTTAGAGTTATTCGAAATATTGTACATTGTCGTCTTTATAGTTTATAGTACATATTAGGTAGATGTTTGTGTACTTTAAAAGCTTGCAACTTTGAGAGGGAATTAGAGTAATTATTAATTCGAGACAAAATTTGTGAAAAAAGTAAGTTTATTGATGTTACTGTTTATTTATTAACAAAATTATGATTAAATTTTCATCTTTCAATCCATTATTGGAAATAGATGTTTGAATAGATGAACATTTGAAATAATTTATTCCGATACATCGAACTTTTCGGAAATGCTTTTGTAAGATACTGAATACTTACCAAACTTTCAAGACCTATCAAAACCTCCAAGATTGTGAAAATCATCAAGACTTTCAGGCCTTATCGGAACTTTAAAGACTCAGAACTTATCAAGAGTTTTCAGTGTCGAATCACATTCGAATTAATTCGAATTTTCGCAATATTGAGTAACTTCGAGTCTTCGAAATTGAGATTGATACGTCCATCACGGGTGTTATCCTTCGATTCACATTAACGAAGACTTTGTAACTACAAGAAATATTTGTTTGCTTTTTGTAAGAGCCTATGGTGTTCGGCAGCAGTAGTTCCCATAAAACTGGAGTAGGTGGTTCAACCCAGAATCGATCGGAAAAAGCATCTCCTTTTGCCTTGCTCCCGGAGGAGCATTTTATTTTGGCTCAAAGCTATTTCAGACGGGTGTTGCGATGGAATCGAATAGAAAAGGCGTAGAATTTGTATCGAAGGACTCTCGGGGGCCGCGACACGTCGGATTTCTCGCGTGAATGCATTTCTGAGCTTGCACAGCGCGCATTATGCAACCTCGATACGATATACATTTATGGAGACAATATTGCGTCACCGTCGAAAGTTGTCAAACTCGTTGAACCGCTGAAATCGAACGGATTAAATGCCGAACAAATGGCCGGTTAATGTGACCAGTTTAGCAGAACATTTAGTGAAAACGGAAGCAACTTTCTGCGAGGTCTGGTATAATCACGGAAAAAGATTCGTAGAAAAGTCCGAGCCTTTGGCTACCGGAAAATAAATGAGTCTGCACCCCGTGTACCGTAATATAGATATCGAATTTTATGTTACGTGGTTTGCACATGAAATGTCGACTTGTTTTCGCGACACTTCGTAACTTACTCAACTTTAAAGAATTTTATGTCGATACTACTATTTAACCCTTGTGTAGACAACCGAAATTTTCACAGTTATTGAGCAAGCGGAATACTCCTGTTCCGACAGATTAGATAAACATAGATAATTTTACTTTGATACGTATAAAAGACGATAAAATGAAATTTTTCAGTTTCGCGTAGAGCTACATTGTATTCCATCCAACCCTGTCAGTTCTGTGTCGCGTCGGACTCTACATTGTATTTCATTTCAACCACTCTTGTGTCGAGCTAGACTCGATGTAGAAAATGTATGCAAATTAGCGAACGAATTTACGATACTTATCGTACGTAGCGATTCCAAGGATATTTATCGTAGTTTTATGTAAGATCAGATACATGCATATGTATACTTTATATGTTTACATCATATGAACCAATTATTTAGAAGGTGATGTATGACCATTCTTTCTTGTGACGAAATATTTAATGGATTGCACTTCAATCGATTAAAAAATATTGTAAATCTGTGTAAATACATTGTGCAACTTTTTTTTATAAGAATTGTCTAAAAAGCATGAGTATCTTTATGCAGCATACGTGGACTTATACCACTTTCACAATTATTATTGAATTGTGAAAGTCGCAAATGATGAAGCATTTAAATTTCACTTCCAGTTGTCTCACGCGATTTTCTTATTCAGTTTTAATAAAAAAAAAAACAATGATTTATAAGCTATGTAGTTAATTTCCTTAGTTTAGAATCATATTTAGTTCTTTTACTATGTATTTTGCTGTATTTTATGTACTTTTCCATAGCTGATGTCTAAATAGACTTTACAGAAAGTGGATTTGTACCACTTTCATAATACATGATTTTGCAATTTAATTTAACAGTGAAGGTTATATCGACCAATGCATATGAATATTTTAAAATCTGGTTAGTAAATTGTTTATAAACAAGAAGTTCACATTAAAGTGTAACTAAATTAAGTTTTAACTATATGTTTTCGAAAAATGAAGGTACATACAAGGAAAACTTTCTTCCATCTTGTAAACGAACGAGCAATAAAATATTTCAATGAAAACTGGTATCAGAACAGATCAATGAATTCACTTAAAGAAAGCTGTCTACTATCGTCTGATCTAGATTCTAGATCATTACACGCGATTGTTTTGCATCGACATTGAAAGCACAAGAATTGTTACCTTTAACAGTATAGCATAGGATTTTATCAGAATTTAAATTATTTAATATTCAGGAACCCGTCATTTCCGAGAGTCGAAGCTATTTTGGGACACCCTGTATACTCACAGATATAGAAAAGTACATGATACTAATATTTCATTTCGTACTTTAAAATCCGTAACCTATATGGCAACAGTGGGAACGAAAGGATTAAACATGAAAGCAATTTATTTAATCAACTATGTACAGACTCCTCTCGATTATCGTCCCGAACTCGGGCCCGCGTCGAGACAATAATCTTGTAGGGAGAAATGTTTCAGACCCTCGTAAATTCGTTTTTGACAGCCCCCCCCCTAGTGGTGAGAATAACGCCAGGACAATAATCGTGTAGAACAAGCCAGACGATAATCGAGAGGAGTCTGTATATCCCATTATGTGCTATGCAACATATCACTCGAACAATATAATCTGTCTTTGGAAAATTGTGCTGATAGTAATGCAGAAGTATCACTTTGAGAATTTCCCCTTTAAGTACATACTTTTGAATATGAATCAACCCAATAAATACTGTCCTGCTCTCTCGTTCGGATGCCCTCGTCGTTTACGAAGAAGGCAATCACGATGCAAATGCTAGAGAACTCTACGGAGACGGACTTTCAATACCCGAGACCTCGTGCTTACGTTCCTCGGATTGTCTTCCACCCGTACAATTAACAATCCGGTTTCTTCTTCCGCCAACGTCCCTCGTGATCCGTCCTTGCGTTCACGGCTGCATAATTTATACATTGCGTCTCTAGCTTGTTACCTGCACTGACAATGAGACACAGAAGTGTATTTGTAATTGCGAGACGGTGGTAACGACAAACACGGTTATGACCACCCAAAGATCATGTTTGATGTTATTACGTCGTCTCATGAATAACGAAATGTTGTCGAATTTAAACGATCGCAAGTGGCCGGTTTTACCGAAATCCTGACCAAAATCCTCGTAGAGATATGCGATCACAAGAATTGTAAGTTCTGAGATGTGAAATTTTTGAGCCAAAATTGAAAGTAACTTATTGTAGTTTTATTTGTTTGATATCATATAATTCTGAAGGTACGTAGACAATGGGAAGGCAGAAATGAATTTTTATGAGGTTCCCAACGCAAAGAACGAAAACGAGGTAGGCAAAAAATTCCTGATATTAACGTGAAAGTAAAAATAGATTCGAAAGATCGGACTTGATATTTTTAGGTCGTCTTATAAAATTGTGTCGCTTTCGTTATCCGATATCCAATGCTCGTGAGACTATTTTAGACACGAGTCTCGAAGGAAAAATTTATTTTAAAAATTAAAAAGTTTTTTAATATTAGAACTAGCAGAGTTGAATATGTATCTACTTCTATCAAATCAGTCAAAATTAGAGTTTTTTGGAAATATACAAATTTATAAATTAACTAATTTCGTTATTCTCGTAATGCAATGCAGCCTACGAAGGATCTGAGAAAGTGCATAGTTATAACATTTCAGGTGTGTTTATAATAGTCATTTCAATTGCTTTAATAGTTCCTGTATTGAAAAATAATGTAAAAGTTATGTTATTTAGGTTATAAATTTTAAAATGTTTTATTGCAAAGTTTTTGTTGTCGCACAGAAAGTCATTAACATCTAATCGAAACAATTTTCTGATACTTGAAAAATGGGAGAACAGATATTAATTTTTAAGATGTTTTCATTCTTAGATTGGTATAAAAAAAATTTAATTTTCCAGGTTCTTTGTTCGATGTTTTAAATTTATTGTTGTAAGCAAATCATTCTATTATTGCAGAACTTTGGCTCAAGTACAACGGTAAGAAAACATATTCTTAATTAACAGGAATTCGTCCTAATTCGCCCAATTTTCGTTGCTCTTTGTTACCCGCCCACGATAATTCCACCCGACAAATATGTCTTAATTAAGCAAGTGGAGCATGGCGAAGGCGTTCTAGACCCGGCGACAAGTTACTTTTGTTCACGAGGAAGATTTTGTTCGTACAGAAGAACGGTTTCAATTCAGTTCAACGTCGTCATATTGTTATTGTTACACAATACCGAAGCTAAGGCTTCGTATAACTTCTTGAACGTTGCTAGCAATAATTCATAAGTAAATACATAGTAGGCGTTCAATTATTTGAATTAACCCATTGCGAATGCGTGGCGGGTTTGACTCATGAATAATCGTGCACACGTATAAAAACAATGAGTCAGATTTGTTATGGTTCTGACTACGCTACAGATTTTATGTAATTGCAGGAAATGTTAACCTCCGCTAAGAATTTTAATAACATTTCTTCGTTCCGTTTTCGAACGTAAGGAAACCTTTAATCGAGGATATTACTTTCTGTTTAATTTCCTTTTTCAAAAACTCTTTCATTTATACCTCTATAAATTAGTGTACAAAAATATATATTTGCGTAAAACGACCGAAAATATAGATTTGAAATATATTATACTCTTATTTAAAAAATATTACAATCTGAATACATTTAATGTCACTGTTCGTTTTGGGAACGAAAAATTTGAAATTTTTTATTGTCAGACAATTATTGAGTAAAATATTGGGATCATTTTAAGGGATGTTAGGTAACATTTTAACTTTATTTCTATACATTAGTTATTATTTAAAATTACACAATGGCGGTGTTAGAAAATATTGTCCGATTAACTTCACATTTGGACACATTAGGCTTTATAAAATTATCTACAATATAGCGAACAATTTTTTAAGTTTTGTACGAAAAGCGTTTTTCTAAATCCATATAAATGAATGTTTATTTATTCAACGGGATTAATAGAATTCCTGTTTTGTTTGATTGCAGATTACCGGTAGAAGATAAGCGAACGGAAGCAAAATGGCGTGCGCATCACAGTGCGCCAAGTATTTTCTCTGTTTCTTCAATTTCATTTTCTTCGTAAGTATGCGTGAAAGGAATGTGTGAACTTGTGTTAATTAATTTTCATAGTGTAAAGGCAAAACACCGTTTTTCTTTGAGGAAGTTTCTGAGATATAATTTTTCTCTGCTAATAAGGGCACGTTGGGATCCAAATGAGGGTTTTCTAAATGAATAAGTTTCTGTTGAACACGAATTCAAATACAAATTCATTCGAATAATTTTTAATTATACGTGATCTGCGGATATATGTGTAAAATTAAAAATCTTATATACGTGTTTCTACTTTCCCTATCAAAACATATTAGAATTAAAAAGAAATTATAGAAACGTGCTAATCTATAGCTATTTAGTATATTTATATTATTATGTTACAATATAATATACAATACTTACACGTAAACAAATTTGTAAGTCACTGTACATAAAATATTTAAAGCTGAACAAATTAGATATAAAGATTAAGAAAATTCTCGAAAATGGAGTTGATTAGTTTAACTGCATAAGAATTCGCTTTTTTGGACAACTTTCATCAGTCAACATTATTATCGTCATAATGATGTTTAATTAATTCACAATAAATGTTATTTTTATCATTATTATGATAATGTTATTATCATCTACATATACGAGGAAATGGAAAATATTCCATTTTGGTTAGTGATATTATGAAAAAATGCATGAGTCGATTGCTGTTGTTATTATCATCTAGATCTAGATTATACAGAAAATTGGGAAATAATCAATGTTGGTTAGTGCTATTATTTGGCTGCTGAAAAACTCATTTTCCGGACAAATTCCATAAGTCGACTGGAAATTGGAAATACTCGATTTTGGTTAGCGATTCGTTTATAACCGCGTGCTTTTGGTATTGTTCTCGGCAGTTCGTCGTTAGCAAACACGTGGGCGAAAGGGTCGTAACCGCGGAGTCTATGGAAAAAGTCTCTGGGGATAAGGTTTCGCTAATTATCCGTGGAAAAATTTCGTCAGTTAACCGTGGAACATTGCACATCGCGACGGCAGTGCAACGGTGAACATAATAAGAAAGTTTCGACGATGAACGTTCTACAAAAGCAAATACATAGTGGAGCATAAAAGTTTTCGGCCTGGCCATGGTATACTAGAAAACAAATTTTTAAACAAAAAGAAACGCTTTTATTTCATTTTACAATACAACAGTGGGTAATCACATTACACAACAATTTTTAACTTTTTTTTTTGTAACGTTAATAATGTTGTCCTGCCATTAAAAGATCGATTGAACGAATTAATGAACTGAAGTGTATATTTGTTTTTTAGGTGGCCGGAGGAGCCGCGTTGGCCGTTGGGATCTGGCTCTGTGCCGACAGCAATTCTTTTGCTGATCTCATAAGCAAGCTCGACCAGTCGAATATTCTGGTAAATTTTCAAAACTTGTTTCACAAAACAAATTTCCATTTTTGTGTTGAAGAAAAGGTACTCGAAATTAATCGAACGTGGTTTTCGTGTTGTTCAAACACGTTAATTATCATCTTATTTGTAAATATAATTTATTTCTATCCTGTTTGCTAATTATCATACATCGAAAATAAAGATTAAAAAATTTGGATATTTCTTGACTGATATTTGCTTCTTTGAGAATTTAATTAGAATAGTTTCTAAATAAATAAATTTGGTTTCCTTAATGGCAAAAGTTTCTGAAAAACTTGATAGAGTATATTATTGTAAAAAATGGATTCAGTATCAGATTGATTTCTATTCTGTTTATATACCTTATTTAAGAAAGATGTCTGATAAGATATAATTGAGTAAGAAGTTCGTGTACCTTTCGACGACGAATAGAGGTTGTAGACTTTTGAGTTACTATATCCGAGTACCGTCCAAACCTATACCCATAAAGGGAATTTAACAAAAATTGCAACAGAAGAATAACACGTGTATAAACAAATTAGAAGACCGAATTCTGTTATTTCGTTCTAGAACAAAACGGATGCAGATGTCATCAAAGTGATATCTTACATCCTGATTGTGGCTGGAGCACTGACGTTTCTAATCAGTTTCTTAGGGTATTGCGGAGCAATGTTCGAATCGCGATGTCTTCTCTGTGTTGTAAGTATTCTAATCGTATGTAAAGAGTCTGTCAAATTTAACGACGCGAAATTTAATGATTTTCGATTACAGTATGGTATCCTTATTCTGCTGGTCCTAATTCTGGAGTGTGTTGTAGTGGGTCTGGCCTTTGGACTGAAAGGAGACGTAAGTGATTTTCTTTGTGCACTTGTATCGTTATACAGACTCCTGTCGATTATCGTTTGGCTTGTTCTACACGATTATTGTCCAGTCATTATTCCCACCACTAGGGGAGGGGGGGGCGTGGAACCTGTCAAGCGCATACATTGTTGACCCTCCGCTTTTGTTACCGAGGCTCATGCTTCGGGCAAAAAACAAATTTTCGAGGGTCCGAAGCATTTCTTCCTATAAGATTATTGTTCCGGCGCGGACCCGAGTTCCGGACGATAATCAAAAGGAGTCTGTAGACCCATTTCCTGATCACTTATTCGAATGAGTCTATGTTTTATCTTTAATTTGGTATTAACTAAAGTGCAGAAATAGTAATACGCTTAAATTATAATTGAACTTTTAGAGTAAGAAGTGCAAAGGGAGCAATTTCTGATCACCTAAATCATATATCTGTATTTCACACTGAGCTATCCAATATCACGTATAAATTTAAAAATAGTTAATAATTATTTAGTAATCTTTTGGAAAGTAACCTGTATTATAATAAACTTATTGCATGGTATCTGTATACTAAACTGATTAGGAATTGGGTTGTGATCAGGAACTGAGTGTATACATATAAAAAAACAGTGTAAATTCATTTTGATTACATACTTCCTGCAACTGTTACAGGCAGAGCAGAGCACGAAAAGTTTCCTCAAGTCAACAATAAAATACTATGCCAGTAACATCGACAAAGCAGATACAATTACAGTTGCTTGGGATGGCATAATGACACAGGTTATTGAGCAATTTTATTTATTGATTAATTAAGTACGCGAGTAGGAGGAACGGGATGCATGATGAATCCTCTACGAGAATTCATGAACGTACATGGATTGATAAGCTTCGGATGGATGTAATGTAGCACCTCTGAATTTGTAAGCGTTTCAAAAAACCACCGAACTTGTAAACCAGATGTCTATTCCGATTTTGAAAATTCTTCAAAGATCCGTGGCGCCTAAGGTTACGAGGCAACTGGTGTGTGCCAGCTGAGAGCGATAAAGTAAACGCTAAGAATATTCGCAGGCGGAGAATGACAATAACGCTCTACTAACGTATAGATTTTCCTGGTGGAAATGAAATCGAACACGAGACGTAATTCGGCCGAGTTTCGGTTACATTCAAATCAACATGTATGTTTCCTTGATTTAATGGCGTCACAAACTTGTACGAACGAAAGGAAAACTAGAACTACTCAGCTCGGTCATTAAGAGGAGTAAGTAATTAGGTGAAAGTTAGTTTCATAACTAAATATGAAATCTGTATACATTTTGCAGAAGTCAAGATACTTTATATTAATTTCTTTATAATTATTTAAAAGTGACGTAGAATATCATCCTTTTAGTGTTTACTTTCGCGATTTTTATTCCCTCTGTTGCAATTGTTGTGCTAGTGAATGTTTGTAATGTAGAGTTTGCTATTTATTGCCATACAGATTTTCCAGAATAACCTTGTACATAATTGTAACGATTATATTATTGCGAAAACGAAATATTCGGTCGAATGGTTCCAACGAGGTACCCTCTCAAGCGTAAAATAATGTAGCGTAATACCTCCAAGTGTGTACATCGCTGCCCTGAGAATCGCTTACAAGTTTAGGTGTCTTACTCCATTATCCACTGATTATTAAACACTTAAACCTATCTTTTATATTTTTAGCTTCACTGCTGTGGCGTAGATAATTATTTGGACTTCAGAGAGAGTCAAAACTGGACGACTACAGACAAAATTATCCCCGAAGCATGTTGCATAAAAGAAAACAATGCTTTGAAGGACCCTTCTTGTCCTATCAGCCCCACTTCCAGTAATTCTTATTTTAATAAGGTCAGCTTTTGTGTGTGTCTTTTGAGCCAAATATTATTAACAAGAACGTCACGTCTATTGGGTTGAGTCATGAGTAACTTTTCGCAAAACATTTATATTTCATAACAATTACTATTAATGATTAAGAATGTACAACAGGTTAATGTTAATCGTAAAAGCGTTTTGGCGTAACATAAAAAAAAAACAGAAATTTTGATTCAACCCAATGTTAAGATTGTATACATAATTGGTTAAAAATATTGTATACATTACAGGGCTGTTACGAAGCAATAATGAGGACAATTGACGAAAATACAGCTATAGTAATTGGGATGGCGGCAGGATTGGGATTTATCGAAATTCTGGTCATTATTTTAGCCCTGCATTTGGCTTGTTGTCACTGGCGGCCACAGCATGGTAGGCTTGCACTTCTTACTTAATGCTCTTATAATTGGTAATAAAAAAGAAAGAGTTTCTCGTTGACATATTTGAGCGATATACGTTTGAACCTCCCGTTAGAGGACGGAGAACGACCAAAGCAAACTTTTTTCTCTAGTGGCAGAGAACGTTGTAGAAAATGTAGAAAAATTTCGTCGAAAAGTTTTATAAAAACATTCTTTTAGCTTGCATCGACGTGTCGTCGAGACAGGCCTGGTGAACAACGACGAAGATGTTAGTGTTTGCTTTTTCAAGTAAGACTTAGAAGGTGTTGCGCGTTTCATATTTAAATTATTTTTGTTTCAAGTAGACTTTGCATGGCAATTTTGTCCTAATATTTTTACGGCAATAGTAAATTGTTTAACATTCGTTGAGAATATTGAAATCCGATTACACACGATTGCTATTTAGAATCTTTTCTAAATGATATTAAAATTGTTATTATTATGTATAAAAATCCTAAGGAGAAAAAAGATTGAATCTCGAAAGATTATTTTTAATAGCTTCGATTACTTGAGCGAGAATGATATTAAATTATAAAACAAACATAGGTAATAACAAGTAGATATTTGTAAAGAAAAGAATATTCATTTGGAAATATAAATGTTTGGTAAATCATTGGCTCATATATGAGGTGTCCCGTTTTAATCTTTTCATTTGATTGTCTTCAAGTCCAGCTTGTAAAAAAAAGAATTAAATGAAATTCACGCAACTTTGAAAAGAATGTTGTTTGGGACATCATTTATAAAGTTTGAGGAGTGCTCTAGATTTTGGAAAAATTGCAATGAATATTCTAATCGTGATAAATCGGAGCATCAATTGACGGAATCGTGTCAATTCATGCCGCGCACCCAAAAACGTTTTCGTTTGCAGTTTTAACTTGTTGGTGCTGCTGTTGACCAGATACACTAACAACGAACTCTTCACACCTTCTTGGCATCTTTCTTCATAGAAGTGAATCATTGGTTTACACTTGCTCGAAACTAGCCCAGGATGTATGTTCGATATCTACTATTCGTACTCTAATCTATTACCATTGTTACTTCTTTTTAAAATGTTTATATAGTTGACAATTTCTTTTTATTTCTATTACAACGATAATAATTCAAATATCTTTGTTATTACTTGATACTTTTTCGGAATTGCTTTGGAGTAACATCCAAGGCGTTTAATAAAATTTAAAAATTGAGTGGTTTTGCTGGATTGCAATTTTCGAAGAACTGAATTAATGTCAAACTAAAAAATGTTCATTATCCTATGAAATAGTACAAGACCAAATAAGGAAAATTAAGACTTAATAAGCAAAACTACATATATGTCGGCGTTAAACTACATTGTATATATTTAAAATAGTTAAAGCGTAAATATAATTATATAATTAGAACAAATTAAGAAAAATAATTGAAGAAAATATATTGCATTATTTTATTACAATTTATTTAGTATATTTTATTAGTGTGCATAGATAGCTTATAGGTAAAGTCTTTGTATTCTACAAGAATTGAAAATTGTATATGAAAGTATTTACTTGTATTGTTTTCCAAAGTGTAAGAAGATAAAAATTTTGTATTATTTCTAGAAGAAATGATTTCTCTCTAAACCCCCTCATTCGATTTAAGAATTTTATTTATTCGTGTAAATCAACAACCGCAAATAAATCGAAAATTGATTTACCATGATGGAAATAAGAAAGTTAACGGTGAGGAAAATACGAATTGTTTCGAACAGTAATTAAAAACTATTGCCTTTTTAATTAATTACTATTTCAAGATAATGATAACCATATTAAAGACGACTTGGGGTAATAAAATAACAAGTTTTTATGATACAAATTATCCTTTGCATTTTTATTGTATGATACTGTATTTTTAGTAGTGTAAAATTGTTTTTATTATCATTCTTATTGTTAAAAGAATAATGTTTAAATTGGACAATATTTAATAAACGTAAATTTTTAAACGAAAAAAAAAAAAGAAATGTAGCAGAGATTTGATATCATATATATTTTGTAACATTTAGTTTCCTAGCATTTTATAATCATAATTTTTTCTTATAAATAATGCATAAATATGAATTTGCTTCGAATTTACTAAAAACTTATGTTGAAGTTAGTTATCTCATTAGAGTAAATTTTCTTTATTACTTACAAATTTAATATCTATACTTAAACAATGTTTAAAAGTTACATTTTTAATTTTATGAATTCTTTTACAATATTATTTCAAATCTAATCATAGAATGTATTTATTTTACACCTGACCTAGTATCACAGTTGTTACTTATAATACAAAAATATTTTGTAGTTATTATAGATACAAATCTTTTAAATCTACTAAATTAAAAAATTTAATAACTATTCAAAGAATAAAATTAAGTGTGAGATTATAATTAAGAAGATAAAAATGATCAATTACATGACACATAATTAAATGAATACCTACATCTTTCAGAAATTTTAGAAAACTACTTGTTCGTTTAATGCAAAATTTGTACTTCGAAAAAATATACATCGCAAGTTTTCTTGTGGTCATTTGACATTAAAGTAAAACGCATTACTATGCAATAATATTAGATAATTAAAGGATAGATGGATTATCTTAAGTGTAAATTTTATTAATTTAATAAATTACAGTTAGGGTGAGAAGCTTGGTCCTTCTATCCTTAAATTATTCTAAAACACGATTCCTGTCATGTGTACAAGTTTTTATAACGAAATTTTTGCTTAACTACTTTTTACAATTGCAATGATCGTAATTTCATTTTGTACAAAACAATGTTTTTTTTTTAAATTACTCTCCTAAAATACCCCGAAATAGTCCGTTGAAGTGGTACGCAGTCTACTTACACAACAGACATTGTGATACAACTCAGTTGATCCAAGTCGACTGATTTGGCAAACAAAGGGGGTTAGGAGAGTAAAGTAGATCCTATTGAGGTGGTCCACCCATTATTCCCATTGGTGGCATACCTTGAATTCCATATGGACCTTGCGGGGGACCTTGATTTCCAGCCATAGGGGAATGTAATTGCATTGCAGGACTTTGGATTTGTTGTGTTGGTGTTACTTGTCCACCAGCTGGTGATGGAACCACCTGTAAGAACCAATTTATAATTATATTGAAGGAACATCGTTTTTGCTTTGTTGTGTTGTTTTTCATTTCATAAACCTTCGTATTCCTGAAACTTTTTACGGTTTTAGTTATAGCATATATTTCTAGCACAAATAAATAGAACAATATACTTGCCTGAGACATGACCGGTGGCTCTGATGGAAGAGTTAAATTAGCTAACAAGTCTCTGACAGCAGGAAAAAGAGAACATTCGGACTGATTCGCACCGTATTCAGCAAATCTTTTCAATTGGAGGGATGCTGCAGCCATTGCGGAAGCTGGACTAGGATCTCTTTTTTCTGCCAATTGTGTCAGATTCGTACTAACATCGTAAACTAATGGTAAAACTAGAGAAGGTGTTTCTCCTTGATATGGTAATCCAATCCTTGTTATTTGCAACTGAAAAGTAAAGTAATTACATGGTTAATGTACGATTTGAAGATATAATAAGATCTTAAAATCAATGCAATTATAAATCACCTTTACAAGCGTATATACTTACGAAAAAGAGGATTTTATTCCTACAAACAAGCACGGCCGCCATACCAGTGGGTACTATCGGAGTACCGGAAGGAGGAATCCTTAAGCACCACTGTACGTTCCATTTCAGTTGCTGTTGTTGCACTAACCCAGGTACTAGTTCCAGTTTCATTATTTGTACAAAATCTTTTAACACATTAAACGGAACATTCAACATTCTACCAAACCCAGAAAGAGTATTCGGTTTGTATGGTGGAGCTGCCGCTCTTGTATCAAAGAATTTTTCTATAATCTACAAAAAAGAAAGAAACGAATAAAAATATCAAACAAGAAAAATATTGCAGTATACATTATTAAGTAACGACTTACTTGTAACTCTTCAAGTGTCCACTGATCTTTATGTTCCGGAAGAGGTTGTACTTTTATGTGAAGAGACTGCAAGTGTTGTGGATTTAAACCAACTCGGCACTGCAAACTTTCTACCTTAAACTGTACAACTCCTGGTTCTGTGCTATTAATTGCTGTTAACTGTAAAAAAATTTTATAATAGATCATAATATATTAAACTACACACATACGTGTAAGTACAAGAATTGAAATCGTACGCAATCATCTGTCTGTATGAATCGTTGGAACTGTCTACGCATGTAGATACATCCTAGAAATCTTTCTAGTGGAGACAAATCTGGTCCGGGAAGTCCAGAGGGATGCGGAGAGGGACAACAGAGTAATTCTAAAGCTTCATGAGTGAGCAGCGTGGGTACAGCACCAGCCCAAGAACGTTGAGGAAGTACTCTCGAAATATGTGTTCCTGTTTTATGATCTGAAGCTTGAGGGCTATGTAATGCAGCATGTCCTGGACTTTGTGCAGGACGTGCTGGAGACGGTCTAGGTACATTGGGAGAACCTGGCCAGTTAGATGCTGCTGGGGAAGCCATACTTTGTGAGGATGGAAAAGGACTTCCATCTATGTGTCCTAAATAAGAAGTGTTCGAAATAAAACATCAATGTAGTTACACAGCTACGAAACAATTAATACAAATTTTTTAATCATACGAGGCGTGACAATCAAGTTTCGAGAATAATTTATTTAAAAATTAAACAGACGTGAGGCCACTGCCTTCGAAGTAGCGATTGAAAGTATAAATAAAGACATCGATAAAAAAAATTAAAAACGAAGAAACTTTAACAGACAGCGTGCATAAAGGCTTTTTTTTAATTTCTTACCGGTTTGCATGAAGGATCCTGCAGGGGAGTGCCCAACTTGAACATTACTACAAGGTCCAGGTGAAGACGTAGGCATTAAACCAGCTGGACTAGGAACATGCATTGGGTTCAGAGGACTATTGGCAACCAATCCAGAACCAGGTGAAGGATGTGGTAGCATATTTGGAGTATTGGGTGGAAGAGATGGCGGTGAAGCCAAATTGAAAGAAGTAGCTGGACTACTTCCAAAACTCTGATGCTGGTTTGTCTAAAAAAAAAAATAGAAAAATAACTATATAAATGGAGAACTTCAACTATGTATTTACTCGAAGGGGAAGACTGGAAGAAATTACCTGTGATATATTAGTAGTATGTGGACTAGCCGGAGTATGAGGGTTGCTACCAGAAGGTGGAGTAAGAGGTGGATGAAACCGTAAGCCATCTCTTTGTTGTGCAGGTGATTGCGGTCCACTTCTATGGTGACTTAGGAAACCTACATTTCCACTTCCACTACCACCGTCACTATCCATTGTTACAGGGGAAGGAGGATTGTCGTCTTCTGACTGTGACCTTCTTCGGAATACTGCACTTTCGTCTACGTATTTGGACAGAAAAGCCTACGAGAACGTTATTAATGATCAAATGTTCTCTGTACAATAATAAAATTAATTATCAAACGCGTGTGTAATTATGCCTCTCAATTTATAAATAATGTAAACATTTTAGCATTTTTACCTTGAGGCCTTGCGTCGGTGTAAATTCATCCACAACGTAACTCCTATCAAAACGACTATATGCCCCGTCTCTTAAGCTCACTAAACCACCTCCTCGTAAACGTAGCTCTAAACAGTACATACCCTGATATGCAATTCTTACTAGGGTGACACACTGTGGCATAATAGTAAAAGTTTGTACCGGTACTTGAGGTCGCTGTGAAACAAATATAATTGTGAAATACACGCGATAATTATAAAATTAATAAATTATAAAATCTCAATTTATAAACAAATAATTTGAAAATCTTACCGAATTATAGACGCAAAGCTGTGGAATCATGGGAAGTTTACTAATCGATGTAAGTGGCTGAAGCGTTTCATGAAGAATGTGTATAAGTTGCGCTAAATTTCTATGCCTATTTAAATGAGCTTCAAGCTGTTCCTTCATAATTGAATGAGCATTAGTTGCAGTGCTCGTTGGACCTACGTATTTACGAAGAAAAAAAGTATTTGTAATTTATTGTAAAATTGAGTCATTATTAACGTAAGTAAACTGTAAGTACAAGACAATACTTACTTTTTCCAAAAACTAACTTAAATGCTTTATCATTTGTATTCCACTGTATAGTAACCGTAGCTCCACGATTAGGACCATACGCTAAAACTAGTTTACTGTAGTTGTATGATTTTATACTAACCATATTACGTAGATTGTATTTCTCTGGATATACAAAAGAAAAAACAGAGTTCATTATCCAGATTGCATACACATACTCTTAATACAAATATTTTTTCTAAAAAAGAAATATAAATTATACCCATTTTAAAATACTCCGCTAAGTCATGTACTATCGAATACAGATGTACAATTTGTGCCCAATCATTAAGCAGTGCCTCTACTGTACGTGATACGGTATCTGCAGTTCCCATTTCATACTGAAAATATACTGGTCTCCGTAGACCTAATAAAAATGAGTAAGTTGGTTGAACGTATTTAGATAAATCAAATAAACCGATTGTATCCTTTAATCTTTGGGGTACATATATGAGGTCACTGGAGACCCACCAGTTCCGAAGTGAAGACAATGTATGTAGTGACACGATTATTTACTTTAACCGTACGGTAGCAATCGTTTCACTACGTTTCCGGTAAGCAACGTAATACCTTAAAACATAATTCGAAACAAAAAAAAGCCTACCCGCAATTGCTTAAATCGGTTGCGATCCTGTGACCCAATAACCGTACCTTAGAATGAAAATTGTTTGATATTACCTTGTTCCTTTGGATGATTACTAGATAAAGGACTCCCATAAAACACAAACTCAGCCATCCAAGTTTTGGCCATGCCCTTACCCTGAACTCTGATCGAAACACTGAGTAATCTTTTGAGAAGTGCATGCCACGCGCAACTAGAACTTATTGTAGTAGAAGGAGCAGGTAGTTGAACCAACTTCAAGACTAGTGCAGTAGCATTTGCTTCCACTTGAAGACCTTGGTGAGCTATGTCTCTTTTGGTTAATTCTTGCGCTAGTGTCACAAAAGGTATTCTTTCATCGCAAAGAGCAACTACATGGGCCAGCTCTGGAATAAAGTATGCAGGCTGCTTCGACCTTCTATTTTGTAACGTAGCACTTGCATCAGTCCTTCCACTAGGTCCTGTACTTCTGCGTTTACTGTTGTTCGCTTCAGTGGCTTCTGTAATGTATTAGGCAGTTGTTTCACTTTCACCTTCATTTGAAAAGAAAATTATATCAGTAATGAGAGATTTGAACAGACTAACCGTTATCAACACTGGTGAAAGGGCCATGAGTTATAACAAAAGTGTCGAATTCGATTAAAGTTTGAACCTTTAAATACATTTTTGGTATCTCTGTTTCAATGTTATCATCGTGAGGATCATCCTCTACAGAAGTGTGTTTCACCACGGCAAGGTAAAACGAACATTCGATTTCACATGGTGAACTTTCTTTTTCCTTAAATGCTACTATTAAAATCACTGTGGGATGCCGATGGAGTTGGACAAACATACGATGTCTACTAATTTTCGACATTGGATGTTCAGGATGATGAAGGATCGGCAAACGTTCATGGGAAGTTGCTGGAAGATGTTGCAATGTCTTTTCACATCTTCTTTGAGTTATCCAAAACCTGGAATATACAATAAAGCAAAACAAGGTTGAAAAAAAGAATTGCAGGGGACAATACAATGTGAATTAAGAAGTTAAAAAATTACCTAAGTTCCGATATTAATGTCGGCAGTCGAGAGTGATCTCCATTTAAGATGACAGTCAATTCAGGAACCAAAGGTGCGTCATACTGAGGTACATGACATTGTAACATTCCAGTGTGAGTGTCAACAGTAACTAAAAGATGCTCCGCTCTTAAACAAGGTTGCAAAATTGGAACAGACAATATTGCAGGTGAACCAGCTAAACTGCACTCAACATCTTTTAACATGGTTTGCAATTCTTGTTTCAAATCTAGTAATCTACTTCTAGTGCGCACATAAATTGTATGCACCAACAAACATTCCATTGATAGTTGGTCTGATCTGATTGCTCTGTCTGCTATTTCACTTTCCTTGCTGCCTAAAGATGGAACATGCACTATAGCCAGAGATCTGGCTGGATCGTGTTGATCTACTTGCACTGTAAGCTTGTATCCTAATTCTGATCGAGGATCCTTATTAGTTAATTCCCTCCAATATGATACAGACAAACATTTTCCTGGAGTGTATTCGTCTACATGAATGTGATCATCCAATCTGTCTCGTATTAATCGCAGCGTTTGTGAGTAGAGTACTTCTAATTGTAGTGACTGGCAGAAATAATGTAAAATATGATACACTTCAGACAATGGATTTGAACTCTCTGCCAATCTTGATTGAACTACCTGGTAATTAAAATTAATTCCTTTAATACGAAGTAATTAAAAGAATATATTTAAGAGTATAAGGATTTGTAACAAAAAATAATACTTGATGCACATATCGTGTTTGCAAGGGATGCACTAAAGATTTTCCATCTCCTGTTTCCCTATCCGAAACCAAAATTTCTAATTCTAGTAGTCTCCAAGGTACAGCTGGACCATCTCCCATAACTGTAAGTGACACAGAAAATTCTTGCTCCACAAGGAAGGTTACTCTTCCCGCTTCGATTTTTAAATTACGCATCTGTGGAAGAAGATTGCCTGTCACTAATCTATGTTGAATGACTTGGTTCAATCTTTGAAGTGTAGTTCTTTTTTCAGCAGGTGTAATTGGATCTGGGGGAACAATTCTTTCCTATGAAAAACAGATTTGTGTAAATACCGTTATTCTCAGAGATACTTTCCTCTGTAAATACTATAATAAATATTGACAATTTACTCTTATGCATGCCGGTAACCGACTGTAGGTTCCAGTTGTCAAAACTTCCACTGCAGCAGGTATATGAAAATTGGGTAATCTAGCGTGAACTAATGTTTCCCGAGCCATGCGTGCAAGCATATCAGCTGTATCAACAAAAAGCAATGATTGCTTATCCAAGAAGGCCATTATATGCTGTCAAAAAAATAGTTCTTTAGTAACATTGTATTACATTAATTGTATAAAAATATCGGAATCGTATAGTAGCAAATAAAAAAGAAGTTTCAATGTACCGCTGATTTATCAACTTTGGAAGCACTGTTAGCCCATTTCACCAATGCAAGTAATCGTACATACAGTTGTCTTGTTCTGGCCGAAAAGTTGTAAATTTCTATTTTACGTTCCATGTCAGTTTTTCTAGGTAATCTGTAAATACATTTTAAATTTTCTTCACCCTTCAGCTATATGTATAGATAATATATTTCTACTTAAAATAAATTAATAGTTATTAAAGATATATAAATTCTTTTTATGTATCACCAAAATAATTTAACCTATTATTTACTTATATTACATCCTGGTTTACTTTAACTTTAATAAGAATAAAAGATTTTAATAGTGATGTGCAAAATAATTCTTACAATTCTGCCAGAACTGTGAGTTCATGGTAAGTACGTTGTATGATAAAATCAATGAGTATGCCAAGGGAAATAGAACCACCACGATTTCCTTCTTGTGGGATGTTATTTGTAACGGGGGTTTGATGTCCTTCTAAAGGCACAGGAGCCATTTTGTGCCTTATTTTATTTAAGAAATCTAGAACTTATAAAATAGTCATTGTTAAAATAACATTTAGATACTAATTTATAGATCAACATTATGTACTTTAGTTCACCAAAAATTATGGAGAACTAATTGAGAAATAAATATTACTTTGTGTTTTAAATTAACAGTCTGTACTTCTAATATTTAAATGCAAAGAATGCAATTGTCAAATAGAATTTTTATCTATAATTTCCATCTATTTTCTCATTTTTAATGTTAAGAAATGTTCACTTCATCCAAAAGATTTGTTCCTTCTTTAAATCTGATTGGTTATTTAGTTATGGTCACTAAGACGATGTTCATCCATCGTATGTAGTTTTCAATATCATGTACATTTCTCTAACAGTTTCACCAAGTTTTATGTAAAAGTTAGCTACTATTCATTAGTCTATCCAAAAAGGAAATAATTATGAGTATAATGAACAAAGGTTTTTACTATCAATTCTTATCAGTATGAGATCATAGCACCAATATTAGCATTATTCCATCAGTTTGGGAACTTTATTATCACACTATATATTATGTATCTATATTATATTTATTATAATTATGTCTTGTTTCTCACAATGCTTGTATGTCCAAATCATATCTGTTGTACTCACTTTTTGACTTTCACAATATTACACGATCACATCTTTTAAATTCACTATTTGTCTTTTACAATATTACATGGTTATATTGCGTCCCTCGTATTCACTTTTCATCTTTCACGAGATCACACGATCATTTTGTTAATGTTGTTTAATTATTTGATATTAATCCATATTAATATATTTCTATAAAGTTGTAAACTAATTTCTTAAATGGATATAAACAATAAAAATATTGATTAATCACTAATGTACTAATAAACTTATAGTCGATAATATTATATCCAAAACTAGTATTAACGGTTACAGAAATATTAACCAAAAGTGCAATCTTACCTTTAACATTTATTTTTCAATATTTAATACTAGGACAACACTGGACAACACGATAGTAAAGTGAAAGCAGCTACCTTTTCAAATAGATCATGAACTCTGAAAGGTTAGATGGAGACCTTGTTACAACTGTACGTTTTAATAGTCAATGCTTTCTGTTGTGTATTTGCCACAAACATTTTGTGAATCAGGCGTGAGCTTATGTTCTAATATTTTTAAATGCAGTTTCTACTCATTCCGACAAACGTATGTTCAAACACTTAGGGGATTTATATTATGTTATTATTAAAATATCCTTAAGTTAATATTATGCACACTGATTACATGTATAATAGGATATATGTATTGTATCATTGTATGTACTGTTATATTCTTTAAAATATCTGCCAAATCGCCATTTTTGCTGCTGATCAGGGTGTCGCTACACGTGAACAGTAATATTGAATAATATGTATTTTGACCGCCGGTCTATATTAACTTCCTTTTTTCATTCCCTTCCAAAAACGTCATTTATGATACTAATAATAATTGATACACTTTATACTGGTTGATACTTTGCATTTCCTCCAAAACACTTCAATCACGAGATATTTAATGTTTACAGAACCATAACAGACGTTCCGGGGACATTTTTACCCTTTAAATTTTAAGGTTGGACACGAATGGAAAACATTTTTTAAACTGTTTTGATACATGACAATATATTTAAGAAAAATATCATCCATCTCAAATTGATTGTCAATACAAAGACAATTAGAAAAGAAGAGAAATATCCGAAATTTTCTAATGACTAATCGTATAATATATATTTACAAGTCTGAAAATAACTAGTGATCAATTACAAAAATAGCAACGATTGCAACAACACTCGCTAAACAAGGTTAAACAAAGTTAAATGTTATTTTTATGCGAGAATATTGCTATGTTTTTGTACATTCTTAAAATAACTTTTAAGTCTTTGTCTGAAATCCAATGTGCAGTATGGAGAATTTGAGGTTAGAGTGACATCGTCAAATTTCACAACGGGAGCTGAACATAAAAGTATCTTTAAACATTCTTCTTCATGCACGAGAAAACATTCAGCGAGATGGAAGACGTTAGCGCGAACGAAGATTCAATAGAATTATCACAATCACTCATAACCCGTGTTTATTATGCTGCTAAAGATGGTATGGCTATTGCTCTTTATGATCTTCTTAGTAATAAATCTCCTGAACAAGTCGATCAGATAATTAATCAGAGAGTATTGGAGAAAAATGGACAACACTGTACACCTTTAATAATTGCTGCACGAAATGGTCATGATAAAGTAGTCAAAATACTACTTGAAAAATTTAAACCTGACTTAGAACAGGAAGGAACTGTAAAATTTGATGGAAGTGTCATTGAAAAAGCAAGTGCTCTCTGGTGTGCTGCTGGTGCAGGATATTTGACAGTCGTGAAAACTTTAGTAAAAGCAGGTGCAGATGTCAATCATCCGACTGAAAGTCATTCTACACCTTTGAGAGCTGCTTGTTTTGATGGACGGTTAGATATAGTCAAGTATTTAATGGAACATAATGCAGATATGAACATAGCGAATCATTGTAATAATACATGCTTAATGATTGGAGCATTTAAAGGTCATTCAGATGTTGTAAGTATAATTATAAGTTTAATAATTTTAAATGACAACTCTTCATAGTCCAGGGCATTTTCATCATTTTGTTCCAGTCAGATCTAATAACTTTCATTAGTTCCAGATGTTACTATATGCATTTATTCTATAGTAATATGAAATAGGATTTACTCCTAGGCCTTAAGTTCTGATATATTTGTATATTTATATTAACACATTTGATGTGATATGAGGCATATATGTCTCATATTGTATCTTCATTTCAGAAAAGTCATATTTCATTGAGCTGTCATTGAATGCTAAAAAGATGGTTTAAATACCAAAAGTAACAATTTTACATTTGCTCCTCTGAATCTCTAAATATGAAAATCTAGCATGGAGTCCAATTGACTTATATCACCAAAAAAGAACATATCCAATGACTTATAACACCAAACAGGTTACATATCCAACTTATCTCTTTTCTTTCATATGGTACTTAATTATTAAAACAAGTTAAAAGTTCTTCGTATGAAGAACCTCTGTACTTTACTGTGAAATAATTGTATATAAACTTTTATGTAATTATTCAATAGCTCCTAGATAAAAGATCCATTTTCTGATATTGTAATAAAATTTTGATTCACAAGATGACAGAAGGTTTTGCACAAATTGATTACTATTATATTGTACAATTCTTTTGCAAATTATATTTATTGTCATTTTTGAAATGACACATATTAGGTGGTTTTTTTAATGTTAAACCATGTTTGTAGATTATACATATTGGAGAGGAATGTTTGTTTGATTACAAGTACAAGCAGACATTAACATACGACTGGCTGGAGCGAAATGCATTGTTGTGTTAGACTTTACATGGAATTGTAAAACAATAAAATATTGCAATTAATTTCAGCAATTTTAATTTTATTTTATACCAAAACAGGTGACATTTCTTTTAGAAAAAGGTGCAAATCCAAATGAAAAAGCAATTTGTGGCGCTACAGCATTGCACTTTGCTGCTGAATGTGGACACATGACCATAGTATATGATTTATTAAAATATGGGGCAGAAATGACAAAGGATGTTAGTGGAATGACACCTTTAATAGTAGCAGCAGAACGAGCCAAAGCCGAAGTTGTAGAATGCCTAATAAAATGCACAGATGCTAATACTGAAAAAATAATAGAAGCGTATGAACTCCTTGGCGCATCTTACGCCAACAGAGTATACAAAGGCCATTATCCTCTTGTAAAGGCGTATAGATATTTACGGATGGCAATGGAGCTTAGGTGTGTAAAAGAAGTAAGATTTTATTCAAAATCAGTTGGATAATTTTTGGATGTTATAGGTTTAATGATCCTGAAAACATTATCTATAAAAAACTAGGTGACCCAGTGAAGGCATATGATAACTGGAAAGAATGTGAATCACTGGAAGAATTGAAATCTATTAAGACCAGTCAGAATGCTATTCATATGGAGTCATTAGCTATTCGAGAGAGAATTCTAGGTTTTTATTCCATTTAAGAAATATTATATATATTTTTCAGTTATTTTGTGTATTATCTATTTTAATTAAACTTTAATATTAGGGCAGCATAATCCAGAACTATCACACCATATAGTATTCAGAGGAGCAGTATTTGCAGACACTGCTAAATTTGATAGATGTATTGATCTGTGGCTTCATGCTCTGAATCTAAACCAATTAAATAATGTCTCTGTTGTGAAGGATCTTCTTAGGTTTGCGCAGGTATTAGTTGAAAATATTTACAAGTTACACAGTATTGTTAAAGAATATTATTAACTACTATAGATTCTGAATGTTTTTATTTTCTTGTGGTTTCATTTATAGGTATTCTCACAAATGATACATGTAGGAGTTGATTTTGATTTCTGTCAGGTTTTAAGTGTTCTACAAGCTTGCGTAACAGAACTTGGCCGCAACAAATCGAGAATCAACAATTCTGTTTCTGAAGAAGATATGGAACAGCATGTTGTAAGTTTAAATAACAAAATTTACAGAAAATCTCAATATTATATTTTAATCGAACAAATTAAAATTTACAAAACGATGTTTTGAATAAATTAAAAAATGCAGGAGGACATGGAATCGAACGTCATAAGCACACTGTACATATTATCGATATTAACGAAACTTTTAACATCGAATGGAAGTAGATACACCGAACAAGATAAAGTAAAAGCACACAGTCTAGTTCATAAACTGTGTGTTCTTCAATTGTGTTTGAAGGATGGACAGACATTACTGCACCTTGCCGTAAATGCTGAAACACCTGTTGATAATTTCCATACTAATGACGCCTGCAAGTCAGTTTATAAGCAAGACGTTTCAAGATAATTATATTCAAAATTCATTTTTCTCTCTCTTTATTAATAGAGTTTTTAAATCAAGTTTTTTACAGATTTCCATGTGCCGCGACAACAAAACTACTCATACGTTGCGGAGCTGATGTAAATGCAATGGATAATGAACGAAATACTCCGTTACACGTAATTGTTAGTTGCAAAAAATCAATTAGGTAAAGTAAATTATTATATCTTTCTTATGGAACAATAAAAACGAACGTATCAATTGATTTTACAAGTAGTTGTATAGAGTAATTAAATTTTCATATTTTAAAGAAAAATGTTAATGACAGTTTTGTATGAGCCATCCAAGTATATTTTGAAAACTTTACAGTGATTTTGAGACTCTTTACTCTATTATCATGGAGCTTATAGAAGGTGGAGCACATATGGACACTGTAAATAAATGGGGTAAAACTCCTTATTACGCTGCTATTACAGGTATTTATATATTTAAATCAATTTAAAGAAGGTATACAAAATTAAAAAGAAATTGTTTACATTTGAATGAAAGTAATTCTTTATTTTTTCATATTTAAAGTTTATGTTTCATTAAGTGATGTACTATGTAATCAATTGCTACCACTGAATCAATTACTGATCATTATTACTTCACATATACAGGTGAGGCAGAAGCAATATTGAGGACTCAAACAAAATTGTCATTGAAGTGTATGGCTGCGAAGGTAATAAAAGCTCATAATTTACCATATTATGAAAAAGTTCCACGTTCTTTGGAAAGCTTTATTGAACTGCATGGACCTGGACTTAATTAAGGTTCACATAATTATCGAATGATATAATATTTAATAAATAAATTATAAAACTAATTAAGTTAAAATTTTACAGTTAAGAAATACGATTTTAGTAATATCTCACATATACGAAAAAAATTTATTTTTTGATGATGCAGAAGGCAAGAATCTGAAAATAATTGTTCAGATACTATGAGACTAGACTGTTGTCCTATGATAATTTGTTTATTGATTGATTGTGGAGTTTTTTTTTTAATTAAAAGCACAAAAACTATGTTTATATTATCTTATAAGTACGACTAATTAGTTATTTAAAGAAATAACAAATTGTGTGATAGCTATTTTTATAGGTAAAACCTGCTTTGTACAAAGAGATGTTATGACCTTTTTAACAATCGAAGTCAAAATTCTCAAGATCACATTGAGATGTTACAAAAGAATTTTGATAAAATTTTTTAGACATGTAAAAAACCAAAATGTAATAAGTCAGTAATATTATCGTAGACATTCAATATCTTGCGACACTTGACATGAAATAAATTAAATCAAAGGTAACTTAACATAATAATCGTAATATAAATAAATATATGAAATTTCAGAGTCTGTGTACTGAGTTAAGAATGTTTATCGCTCGATTATATTGAAATGATTTATAAAGTGTAATATTACTCCTTCAAGAAGTGGGGGTCGATTAACCGTCTCTTTATTGTCATGATCCGAAAAGGGCGTTTGAAACTCTTTTTAAATATATTATACAGAGTTTTAGAAAAGTCTTTTCATAATACTATCATTTCTCAAGGTTTTAATCATGTTTAATAGTTTCTTCATTTAAAAAGCAGATGATTGTAAGCTGTATGTAAAAATTATCACAATTGAAAAATTAAATGAAAACGTAGAAGAAATTAAAGCTAGGAAATATAAAATGTATACAAGAAAATGAATCGTGAGAAATATAAACATTTGTAACTCTTGGACTAATATAAAATACACTAAAGTCGCAAGTATTGTTTCGCATTGGATATAATACATTTTAACTTTTAAAAGGTAAATATGCAAATGTTTTAGTGTTTTTCTTTATAAACTTTCAATAAATTACATCGTGATATAGCATTTGTAAGATAATAAGATTTTGTATTACATTTTTTGGTTGTTTACCTATCTAAATACAAAACTTGATAAAAATCTACACGTAATGCTACATAAGGTCTCCTTGTTAAAACTAGTAGTTAAATATTATAATTCTAATAATAGAATCGATTAATTGATTGATACATCAATGTGTAAATTCAAGGACTTTTGAAGTAGTATAAAAACTACAATTAACATAGTTGTACTAACTTAGGTTAAAAAATTTATGTGAGTTGCAAAGAATATCTGGTACATTAAATATTTCACGAAGTAGGTGAGTTATGAACTGACCATAACTGTGATTTTTCTAAGTAAAGAGAATGATTAACGTTTTAGTTGTACTTAACTACTTTATGTATGAAATATCCTGTTTGTTAATATAAAATATAATAAACTATACAAATAAAAATTCATGTACAATTTTATATTCATTAATTTACATACTTCAACTATTATTCTATCATAACAAATTAAGCATACTTTATTACATAAGTTTTGTAACATTTATCAGTACAGAAACATTTTACTACAAAATTTCGAATGTTATTTGCTGATTATTATATGTTTATCATTTTATATAATGCTATTGTTTCATATTATTTACTAATCTATATTATTCTATCCTTTATTTGGAATCTATTATTCTATCTTTTATTGGCTGTGTGTTCAGCCGTGTTGAATGTACTTGGCCGCTGTATTTCTAACGTATCACGATGTTTGGTTTACATTATGTCAGTTTTTTATTAAATGGAGCAATGAAATAATTGAGAAACATGAAGTTAGGAGCAGGTGGCACATGGTTGAAAAGTGATAGTTGTAAGGTTATTGCTGTGTACTTTTCATTGATCAATTAAGTCTGCTTTTATATTTAAGCGAAATATTTATAAAATACTATATTTATAAATACTTAAACATAATGGAAACGTTACAAGATCCTGTTAGACAAGAGATGATGGTGTAAGTATAATTGTAATTATGCATAACATTAAAAATTTGTACCAATATTTGGTAATAATATATATAGTATTCCTTAATTTATTAATTTAATTGATTAATTATCAAGAATTTTTTCATTCTGTACAGAGTTTGAAAATCGATCGTGGTTATCTCAATTATTTGTTTCTATTTTTCTCAAACGTGTCATCAATTGTTATCTAAGACTTCGACAGTTTTATTGTAAATAATTGGTGGAAGTTTCTGTTAATATAAATGATCTAATTATGTATATAGATTATGCTGCATTTGTGGTACTGGTATTCAACCAAATGCAGCAAACATGTGTGTGGCATGTTTGCGGACTCAAGTTGACATTACTGAAGCCATTCCAAAGCAGGCGACAATTCATTTTTGCAGAGGCTGTGAAAGGTAATGAAGGTGAACCAAAATATTTTTGATAATAGTACTTATACAAATCATTTTATAAAAATCCAGAGTTTTTACATTTTTAATTGTTGGACTCCTTGAGTCAATATAGATACAAGAGTGAGCAATAGTGTTATATACTTTATTATTAAATTAAAAAATTTATTTTTCTTATGTAGATATTTGCAACCCCCTGCAGAATGGATTCATGCAGCGCTGGAATCTAGGGAATTGTTAACATTATGCTTGAAAAAGTTAAGAGGTTTAAATCGTGTAAAATTAATTGATGCTGGATTTATATGGACAGAACCTCATTCAATGAGACTAAAGGTATTTTTCAAGTAATCAGTTTATAACAATGAAATTATATTATTGTGCGCTATTGTGTAGGTGAAATTAACAGTACAAGCAGAAGTAATGGGTGGTGCAGTTTTACAACAAGTGTTTATAGTTGAATATGTAGTAAATCATCATATGTGTGATGATTGCCATCGAACAGAGGCAAAAGATTACTGGCGTGCTTTGGTGAGTTTTACAAAATATTAATCTTCTTTATAATCAGAGTAGTTTCCTGTATGTATAATTTATAATGGAAAAGTGTTTTTCTTATTTTAAATGCAATTTATGTTCAATAGGTACAAGTTAGGCAACGGGCTACAAATAAAAAAACATTTTATTACTTGGAACAACTGATTCTGAAATATAAAGCACACGAGCAAACATTGGGCATAAAGCCTATTCACGGTAATGTAGTTTTATTTAAACTCTTAATTGATAAGTTTAATAAGTTACTAAGTCAATTGTGGATTTCATTAGAGGGCCTCGACTTTTTCTTTGCAAACGAAGCATCAGCTCGGAAGATGATTGATTTTCTCTCGAGTGTGGTACCCTGTCGTTATGATCATTCCAAAAAATTGATATCCCATGATATCCATAGCAACATTTACAATTATAAATTCACATACAGGTAAAACATTTTAAAATTGTCAATATATTGGTAAAAAGTAGCATACGATAAATATTGCTAAACTCGGCTATCAAAGTGAGTAATACTATGTCTTTTTCTATTTTACAGTGTAGAGATAGTTCCAATATCAAGGGACAGTATTGTATGTCTTCCAAGGAAATTAAGTCATCAATTGGGAGGAATAAACTCTATTTGCTTAGTATACAAGATTACAAATGCTATTCACTTAATAGATGTATCAACTGGTCAAAGTATGTTATTTTCTAAAATTTTGTGGATTGTTTATTAGTTTTGTATTTCATAATCTACTAAATGTTATTATTAAAACAGTTGCTGAAGTGAACTCGACAATCTACTGGCGGCATGCTTTTAATAGCATTTGTGATCCAAAACAATTAATAGAGTATACAGTGATGGATATTGAACCAATAATGTTCAAGGACAGAAAATTCTTCCCAGGACAAGGAGCAATTTCTAGTAAAGTGAGTTTAAACAATTTTTTTTGTATACTATACATTGTTTGTAAACAAATTTGTTGTATGTGTTTTTGTACTTTAGAATATAAGTTACGAATCGCGTTGAGTAACTGTGAAGTAGTAGTAGAAATAATTGTTCGATATAAAAAATGTATAAAATGTCTGTTTTATAAAAAAATTCAATTAATTTGGATATACCATTGAAGAAAACAACATAACAATATTATCTTTCCGAGAAATTCTTCGTGTAAAATAATAAAATTCTTCTCTCAATTGCTTTTTTAAATAATTTTATTTACTCAGACGATATTTTAAAGAATGCTTATGTGGGGGTATATACAATTCATATATAGGATACCCTATTTAAATTTATAAATATGTTGAACAGCCTGAGAGTCTTATTATTTTTTTTTTTCAGTAGAACAATTTATCTGTACGCTATAAATGTATAAGAATTAATACTTACAGTATTAAAAAAAAACAATTTTATTTTTAGCACGTAATAGCGGATGTATGGTTAGTTAAAAGTTCCGATTTAGGAATGAATGAAAACTTAATTCATACACGTACTCACCTTGGGCATATACTTAAGCCAGGCGATACTGTTTTAGGGTAAGGGAATAAAATATGAAGTCAGTAATCAGGAATCAGTATACAAATTCGTGAAGTAATTCTTGTTTATAGGTATGCTATTAACGATAGTAATATCAATGATGATAATTTCGAAATGTTGAATAAAGATATGGTACCAGATGTAATTTTGACAAAGAAAAATTATGCAAACGATAGAGTAGCACGACGTAAGATGAGAATTTGGAAATTAAAACATATGGTTCAGGACGGAGATGATATGAATTTAGATAGCAAGTAAGTAAAAGATCATTTTTTATGTTGATATTGAATGAAAATGTAAAATAGATTTAACAGAAAAAATCAATTTTCTGTTTATTGATTTATTAAAATAATATAACTTTCGTTCGAATTCTTTCAATTTATACGTCATTGTGTTTGAAAAAGTACTAATACGATTTACTGAAATAGAGAAAAAAATTAACTTTCTTTTAATATTTTCATTGAATAACAAAAATGAAAGCAGTGAATAAATTGAGAATATGTATTTTAGTATTATTAAGTACTAGAAACTTATATAAGTCGTTTAATTTTCAGAGATTATAATGAGTTTTTAGAAGATATCGAGGAGGATCCAGAAATGAGGCAGAATATAAATATTTTCAGAGATCACATGAAGACAATCCCAGTAGATACTAACGAACTAACCGATCCTAGTTGTCCACAAATTACTCTTGAGGAAATGCTTGATGATCTCGCAATTGACGATGTACAAATACCTGAAGTAGACGAAGATGTTTGACTAAAAATGCAATAAAATTTTCCTACAAATTTGGCACTTATATTCTGAAAATGCTTAAGAGCGATACATAATTAAACATACGTTTAATCTATTGATGTACTGCAAATTTACCCTATATATTTAGGAACATGCTATATATACATACATGAAAAGGATTTTTTTTGCTTTTTTACTTCGTAATTTTGAAAATATTTTAAAAATTAACTCTGTAGTGAAATGCTAACAGCGCAGAGAATAAATTTCTGGTTCTATTCGCATATTTATTGCCTTATTTCAGTCATTTGTTAGGAAATGACGAACAAGTCTTTGCATACTTTCATATCTCCTAAGAAATGGTGCTTTATTTGCAGCGTTACAAATCGATTGTGACAGAAATGATTTATTTTTATTTCAACTAACAAAAAAGGCACCTACGACTGATGCATTAATTAATCAGAGACTACATATTTTCAGGGCTCGTTATACTAAGATATATATACTTGGATAAATTATACAGGGATTAATTGTTCTGAAATTGAATCAAAAATTACTCTAAATTTAACCCAAAAAACAACTGCCAACCCGTAATATCAAAAAACCATTGATTTAGATTTGTATAATTGGAGATGTATTTCTTTGGACCAAGGGAGAAACTGATGGCAACTAGATTGTCATTCTGCAAGTTGTTCTGCAAATATTTGTTAACAGAGAGCTCGTGTCCCTATGATTCGAGGCCCTTTGCTCAACGTATATGTATAAGGATTAGATTATCAACACTATTTTAAACAATTTCATATATTATATTTCATATATAATATATTTTATATATTTTTGGTTAAATATTGTTTAAGTGATAAAGCTATAGTAAAGGTGTTCATATTACATATACATGAATATAAAAAATAAAGTTTTTTGCTAAAGTAATAACATTTTTTTTTAAATAGTTATAATTATGAAATTATAATTTAATGACTAGATCCATATAAAAGACGCTATATTATGTAAATAAAACTTAACTATATAGCAGAGAAACACTTTTATGATTTGTGTAATAAAAAGCGATTGATAATATACAATATAAAGACTTCAATTACTCAATTAAAACATGTAAATATCTTTGATTGTAAAGTTCTGTCGTTAATACACCTATCACTGTTACCGCATTATGTATTGAATTACCAGGATCTCTTATCAATCTAATTGAACGTTCTATGTCTCCTTTAAGTTCCATATATTGCTTGTTTAATAAAAGCCTTTCCAAAGTCTGCATAGCTTTAATGGCCTCTGTACTAGGTCGAATGTCCATTGAATCTGAATCGGTTGTTCTTATAGGCGCAACTCCAGGTGAATGAGGATTATACCTCAGTAATTGTTGCTCAAATTTCGAGTCAGGTAATTGTGCCAAACAATACACGCCTACTGCACGACTCAAAAACTTGCACCTAAATAAATGATATATAAACATTGTTATGACCGTAATAAAGCAGATTTATTATTTATAAGAGTATACCACGACTATGGGGCAATCTGAAGTGTGCATGTTCCAATATACAGGGTGTCCGAAAAATATGGGACAATCTACACAATATGCATATTTCTCATGCAAATACAAATCAAAATTTTTTTACCGTTTTGTAATCCGAAGCTCCATTTCCAAGATATTAGCAGTTAAACGAACTCACGCATACGCGCAGCACAGTCACGAAGCCTACGGCCCAAGTGACTGGCTTCTGCTTCTTGACTATGTCTGCGCGTACGTGTGGCCTACCACTGAGCTGATTGGAGTTCGTTTAACTGCTAATATTTCGGAACTGGAGCTTTAGATTAGAAAACGGTAAAGAACATTTTGATTTGTATTTGCATGCATGTTGCGGATTGTCCAAACTTTTTGGGACACCCTGTGTAATAAGTACTGTGGACTCTAACTACATAGTTAACAATTAGAAGAACACACGTAGTAACACATTGATCGTTTAATATAACGCCAACAACACTGTTTCAAATGCATTCTCAATGAACACACTTTGCAATTTGTAATCCTAAAAGCTTTTTTTCGATCGTAATAAGATTAATATTGTTACAAGAAGAGACAATTAATAGACAACGCGAATTACGATCGGCTGTTTTAATGTATTCGCTCTCGACCTGGACTGTTTGAATACATTTACTTTAGTAGTTTCAGATTTCCACAAAACAACCGCGTCTATTTAATCGATACTCTTGACGTCGATAAATATCAACAGTCTTTTCGATTCCGCTGTGATACGAGTAGGTCTTGACGTTTTATTCGGTGGTCGCCTAGTACTTGTAACAATAATGTCATCTTGAAAAAAAGCCTCTGATTGTAAAATGGTAAACGGATTATTCAATTTTTATTTGAATTGGAAATATGCATGTTTCGATTTGTCCCACCTTTTTCCTACAGTACACATAGCTTTTCTTTAAAATGGATTATTAATTTACCTAATAGAGAGCTGCGATCCTTTTTTAAAACCAATAGCTCCTAATATACCCCAACTTTGTCCTCCCTCGTCGGCTATTGTTAATAAAACACGTGCTAAACCTTTGAGAGCTTTAACAGCGATAAAAGTATTTTCATTATATTGACATTGCCTATAGGCTAATTCACAGGTTTTAGCCCATAGCAGAGGAAGCTTTTCTTCGTTGGTATCCCTAAATAAAATATTTTTGAACAGATATAGTCACATCTATGTAGAAACTTGTGAAATTTATTACTTACGTGGGCCTTACAGCAGAGATCCAATCGACTAGATTTATAAGAAGCTCTCCTTCTTCTTTGATATCATGGCATAGTGGTAGTCGCTTAAGTAAGACGGAATATAGAGTCAGAAGCCTTCCTTCAGAAACAAGTACCATCTCCAGTGGTGGTTGTCGAGACATTGTTGGTTGTAAAATAGTTAAAACTGTAGCCCATGTTGGTCGAACTTCATCAGATGCTAAAGTATAAATCAAAACGTTGCAATAAGAAGTTTAATAAAAATAACTGGGAATTAGCAAATATATACGACACAAGCTTTCATGTAAACATTTATTTTTCTCATAATAAGGCAATGTAAATAAATTTTTTTTAAACATTTATCCACATAATACGCTCTAAACTTTTCAACATCTTAAAACAAACTGCAAGGATTTTAAACACATTCTCAAAATGTTTTCTTTCTGTTTATAAAATATTTAGAATTAGATAGCAAAGAAACTTATCCTTTAGAATTTTTGAATTGCTTGGTTTAATGTTTACAGTTCTGCAATATTACTTTAAATTTATTGTTAATTTTTTTATTTAAAGTCCTCTTAATAAGTATATTATGATTATTGGCACATATTATACTACTTTTTAACTTACTTACCATTAAATTTAAAATATGCTTCCAATGCAGCCTCCATTAATTCTCCAAGTATAGATGATGAAGTAATTGCTGTGTTTACAACTCTAAGTACAGCTATGAGAATCGAATTCGTGGCTGTCCTTTTCAAAAGCCACGAAGTCCAACTCGTACGAAGATATTCCATTAAAAGCCCACTTTGATTGGTAGCATGCAACAACTCAGTTATTAGCAAACTTGCTTCCGCGATTTGTTGTGATTCCGGAACAGCTAAAAAATAATGTTACGTTATTCATTCACTTTATCACGGGACTATATTTATTTATTTTCATAAATGATCCCGTTAGGTCACATCATTACTTACTATTCATAATAACAGCTTCCATGTCGTCTAACATTCTCAACAATGCATTAGTAAATAACTTTGGAGTCGTAGATAACAAAGATTTGTGTCGAGTTGTACAACTGATCAATAGTTTTATCGATGATCGAACATACATTTGTTTCTTTTTTAATGTAGTTGGGTGGAAATGAATTAAAAAAGGGCTGTACCCTGCTGATACCTTTAACAGACTGGATACGCATATACATACAGAACAGAAAACACATTTATTTACGCTACAATTAATTCTCAATCACGAAATTATATACTTACTTGTTCACAGCAATATCTATAGGATGACATTGGTCATAATCAATATTCAGAATAACAATTGGATCGCAACTCATAACATGCCAGTTAATTATTTGATCATATGCAGTCGCATCCAGTAAATGCCATGAAAACTTTTCAGCTTCAGTGACTAATTGAACTGCTTTCTCATTCTGAAATATAATATGCTTTAAAATATTGTACAGAAAGTGTTAGTTGCATTACTGTTTCAGCTTAAGAGATATATTGTGAGGTCACAGAAACAGGGTCCTCAATTTTAACAATAAATTCTCTTAGGGAAAAAAAAATGTTTTCCTCTCATTTTCAGATCATGGTCATTTGTAATATTATATTTTATGTTATTGTGGCAAATAATATTTAATATTTCAAAAATTTATGCGCTATCTCACATGGTCAAATCTACTTCTGTGGCAATAAAAAGTATCTATTAAAACTACTTTAGATAAACATTTTCTTAACTTGCCTGTCGGACATTTGGTTCGTTTGATAACTTCACTAATAAATTTAATAGATAAACGTGGATTCTTGCTGTAACTGGCAATGGCTGTGCTGCCAGATACTCGTTCATCCAAACTGACCAATTCACGCATATGAATACACTTCCAAGAAATAAATGACTGTCTGGTAAATATTGGTCAATCACTTTTATCATAAAATCTATGTCATTTACTCCTGGATAAAAATGGTCCCATGGCAATGATAAGAAGTTTCCATGAATAACATTTAGAATGTGATCTTTAACCGAGGCATGTGCAAAATTAGTGACATAGAACTGCCAGACGAAGCTCAAGATCTTGCTGGATGTTGGCAGTGTGTCAATAATAAAACGAACACATTCGACGAACATTGCCACGATTTTGTTAGCATAAGGACCATCTGTAATAATCCATGGCAATAAAACGGATCGATCATCTGTAAGTTGTTGAATCCAGGCAGCTGTCGGTTCCTTTAAATTTCGCGTCCAATATGGAGTAATCCAAGGAGAATACATATCACTTAAGACAGGCCATATTTTTTCACATACTTAAAATAATATTGAAAAATTATTATAACCATGCCAAGGAACACAGTTAATGGTTCGTTGTAAACTCTATACTTTGGATACAGTCCATAAAGACCATACTGCAAACGTTCTTGCATAAAATGTCTACTTAATAATATAGCTGTGTCGAACATCTGTAACGAAATATGTAAATTGATTTCAAGTTTGTCAGTACATTGTAATAAAGATTAAAGAATAAAATGTAGATAATGATCACAGTAAAATAAACAGACCTCTTGTCTAGAAAGAAGCCTTTGTTCAGTAGCATAGTGACGAATATCGTCCCTAATTTTAGACGACTGAATGGAAAATGAATTTTTTGGTTTACCACTGAGAGTCCCCAATAAATCTCGCCACACGTCTAATGACAAATTTTGACTCTCACTACTTTTTAATACCACACTCAAAACTTCACCATAGTGTTCGGGAAATTCGTGTAATAAAACGAGTCGTAAATGATTTCTAAATAGCTGTAAGAAAATATATATCACGAGGGACAGTAAAATAAATACTGTCAGAAACTAACAGGTATATCAAAATTTTTTATGGTTAAACATGAATACCTCATGTAGTATCAATTTGTCTTCATCGGGATTAAGGCCTATATTACAGAGAGCTCTGGATACTAAATCTATGAACGTCGATCGTTCGCTCAACTTAGGACGTCTATAATTCAACCAGCTTCCAATATCAAACTAGAATGAAAATAAACATGTTCGTGATAAATACTACAAACCAATTTAACGAAAATTTGCTGGATCAAATAACACACCTTCGATAACAATACAAAACAAAGATCTATGTTGATTCCAGTTGACAGTTCAACAAGTGTTTCATACATGTGTAAAAATTTCGAAGCGCCACCAGCTACAGGTGTAAAGTATGGTCCAAGTAATCCACCAAGATTTGGTCTTTGTATTATAGTACTTAATAATTGTGGACCTTGACTTTCCTCGCCACTAATAAATAACTTTTCGAATATTTATATTAATAATATGTACCATCACACCTATAGATTAGACACAATTATACATACTTGCCCCAACTTTTCTAAACAAGTTGTAATAAGTTGTTTCGTCGGCGGACACAATGCTGCTTCCTCTGTGTAATATTCTATGAGATAATAAAACAATTTAACTCCGCTTTCTTGAATTTTGCATAACACCACCGTGTTTTCACTAGTTCGACTTAAAGTTACTTCATGTTCTAACATTCTACAAAACAATAAAGAAGAGCAATGTTAAGTCTCGTAGAGCCTTTTGGGTCTAAGGTTGTGCTGCAACGTCTGCATATGTATAGAGAACTCTCGATGAGACGAATAGGGTGACAAGAGTATTTTCTTGTTATAAGCTTGGCATATCTTTCTTTGTATCCAATATCAAGTTTAAGAGATACACGATCGAAATGCAAAATCTTAAAAGAACGTAATAAGAAATCGATTCTTACTGATTTAAACGTGCCATCACTACTCCATCTCGTGATAATAGCTTTCCATGCATATAAAGAAATCACAAGAGAATCTTAGCATCAAAATTCTCTATAAGCCTTAAATCTTATATTTTATGTTTATCTATGTATTATGAGCTAATAGTTATAATACGTACGCAAGTAAATGGTCTATAAAGACGCATCCTTGAGTGACTTTACTAGGCGGTGGCTGACTAGCCTTTATCAATAAATTTTCATATTCTGCCCTATTCTGTGTTACCATGTCGTCAACGCCACTATTAATATGAGCTTCGGCTACCTAAAATGTCAAATGGTAATATAAATTTGTCTAACAACAGCAATACAATAATGCTTCGGTATTTTGTATATTGAGGCACTACTGTATATCAAGAATATTTATAAAATAATGATTAGCCGGAGTTTATCCGAAGTTGAAAACACATTATCATCCTTACCTCGAATCTAATTATTGCTGGACCAGCACAATGGACGGTAGGCGGTGTTCCTGATCTAGATCGTTTTTGATTCGAAGGTGCTGTATCACATAATGCATGCAGTGTTATCTGATTTTCAATTTCTCGATAAAGTGTAGGCACTAATTCCAGGAAACTACAATCTACAGCTGTATGTTCAGAAACCAGTAGATTATACGTTTGAGCATAATCTGATATAATTTTAAGGTAAGGCTTGATTAAGTCAACGATCAAATTAGAATTATACAGATTATCTCTAGGCACGCAATTAAGAACTTTTTTAATTCGATTTATCGATGGTGGCGGAATAGGATGTTCATATGTAGTTAATCTTTTAAAAATTCTTTGCAATGGATCAGCTATTTCTAAAAATATAATTGATGGATTTGTTCTGTTCTGGAGTTGACTTTCTTGGTTTCTATAACACAAACGTTCCCACTCATGGACTGCCTTCATTTGATTTTGCTGAACTGTCCAGTAATCAACATATTCTAACCACGGAGTCTATTTAAAGAAATATCATGAAAAGTGTTACATTTTTTCTCGTTTCGATCAAATAAATTAAAATCATTTAACTTACCCAGTCCTCCTGAACAAGCAACACTAATTTTTGTGACATATATTGTGGAGGTAGAGCTGGAAGGTAAAGGCCTGGTTCTTGTAATCTTGGTTCCTCAAGCCACAAACTTAATGTTTTGTAAAATCTGTAAACATATGTTTATATAATTTTCCTTATAATTTTTTACAGTACATATTGTATTTCATTGTTATATACTTGGCAGCATTAAAATAAAATATTCGTCTTTCATCTGTAATTGGTTTCCCCTCATCTAAATCTCTTTCTCCTTTTAATTGAAAATACGTGGTAGTATCGTGTAGTCTCTTTTTTATTTTTTTCAAGTAACTTAAATTAATCATTCCTTCGAAAAACTTTTCACCGACGCCGCCACGATCGATAAGTCTGCAAAGATAAAATATATATTGTAATTTCGAAATACGAAATGTATAAAAATCTGATTATTTTTTCGTCATGTGAAACGCACCCAGATGTTGTCGGAACTCTGGCAAGAAATAGAGTAAAAAAATTTTGCCATAAAAGGGGAAGAAGAGGATGATCCATAGGAGTATCCAATGCTTGTTGAGACCAACGATATATAAATAATCCATTAGCTCCGAACGGTTGCATTTTCACTGTTGTACAAGCTCTCTGAAAAAAATAATATCAAATCAAAATTAAAAGCACATATTATTGGTATTTTTATATATGTCGCTGACAAAGAAATCTTCGTCGGTAAGAAAAACTCGATACAAAATGTAAAAAATAACAAGTTCAAACAAATCATCGAGTATTAGCTGTTAACACTTTGTGAATATAAATTTGAAAAAGGAAGAGTATTTTTAACAAAATTTTGAAATTAATATTGACTAGTACTAGCGCTATGCATACCTTAATAGCTGTATCTAATGATATTTTATTCTGTGCAGATAACTCTCGCAAAATTTCACGCCACAGTCCACTTTTAATTTCCCTATTATACTGTTCAACCGACAGCACCTGATAAGCAACCCAAATTGATTGTATAGATCCTCCTAAAAGGCTAATTGAATTTGAAGAGCCAGTTGCCCAGTTTAAAAATGATCCAAATGATGCTACTACATTCCGAGTTGACGTCGTATTCTGAAAATAATTCATTAAGTCAGTGAACTTTTATATCCTAATCAAATTTGAAAATATATTCGATGAAAAATTAAAGCGTGTAATATAAAATAAAATTAATAAAATACCGAAATGTTACGGGCCCACAATGCAATCTAGATCACAGTCGAAATATAGTAATATTCAATATTGTAATTAATCTTACAGAAAGAAGACTTTGAAACATGTTCTCCGCTGATGTTTTCGCTTCAGCATAAAAAAATGCAGCACTGATCACAGTGTCCATTAAGTACATTACACTTTGATCTTTGTTCCAATCTGGTACAAGTACAAGTACATTCAACCATAAATGTACAAATTTCTTTGGTGTTTCTAAACAGTATCTGCAATAATAATTATCATTACACGAGCTTAATTACTTTAAAGAACTATAATTACTTACCTTTTATAACGACGTAAATGTGAATGTATCATATTTGAAAATTGTTTTAATATTATTCCAGGAAACTCTGTGGCTATGAAACTTTTAGCCACATTCATGTAAGATCTATCAGCCATAATTAAAGAAATAATTAGACTAATAAATTTGTCATTTTTTAGCAATGAATCGACACAGTCCAAGAATAACGGTATAATATTATGCAAACATACAAGTACTTGTTCATATTTATAATGACACTGTAATATATGCAATTGACTGAAACCCTTCGAACATATCAGAGGCACAGAGTGGCCCCATAATGTCATAACTGTTGCTACATAGCACGCAATCGGTTGATTTTCGCGTGTACCAATCATTAAGATTTCCAAATACGAATCGGAATCCATATCCGGTATATGAGCAAATGCGTCTGTCGGATTCATTACTGTATATTGACAAATTTCGTCATTCTGATCGAACTGGTGTAATCTAAGTTTAGAAACTATTTCCCATGCCCACAGCGCAAAAATCTGCTCAGCACTCTGTGGCCTTATCATCAATGAAACCTACAAATTCCAGTTTAATGTAAAGAAATTAGAAAAATTACGTTAAGAGTACAACGCTGATGTTGTATTTAAACATCTATACCTGTTTAACGCTTTCTACCAATAAAGATGCACTTTCAGTAGGACAATCAGGTACATACTTCATTGTAAGTTCAACAATTAGTAGTGCTATGCGTCTGTGTAATTCAATGGGAAGATATAAACTACCATTCCTGTAATAAAGAGAACGATTACATTTGTATTATGCGAAACAGGTCTGTACAAATTGTATTTCTTAGACTTGATATAAGTGACAAAATTATATCAATTAAATAAATTTTATAGTCATTCAACACAGAAGTCATTTCAAATAACTAAAAATAAAAAGCAAAATGCATAACGCAATAAAATAATACAACAATATATAAACTTCTGAAATTGTTTATTAAATGACAAAATATTTATTCTTTACTTTTGACATGAAACTTTTACACATTTTTGTTTATCCAATCAATTTAAAACGGATCCTGTATGTATCTTTATTTAAGACAGCAAAATATCAAATAAATAAAGAATTGTGTACGTACTCGTCGAAACCCCAATTCAATTGGCAAAGAATGAGTCGAGCTAAATAATTCTCAGTTGACGTCAATGAATGTTGATGTAACCACGTAGAAAGTATCATTATGTCTTGCTCTTGTGGATTCCACTTGTCTATCTTCAATTCGGTAAATAAATATAAACTTAACTGAAATTGATAATGTTGAAGTTAGTTAGGCATTTATATTTACTATTTACCAAAGAATGTTTAACAATATAATTTTACCTTTCCAGCTGATTCAAAATTATCTTTTAATTTGTGCAAAATATCTGATAGAAGTGAAGGATATTTGTATGTTAAATTTGATAATAGAGATCGAGCATCTTTAGAACAAGAATCTTGTGTTTTTTCGCTTAAGAATCCAATCTGTAAATTATGGTTATTGTTAAATATTTGAAACTTAGAAATAAGGCAAATATCGATACGTACTTGAAATAAATCAATCGTTGTTGCTCTTACAAAGTCATAATCTTTGTCAACTCTTGCCATTGCCATATTAGCAAAAGTCGTTAAAAGGAAATACGATTCATCTCCTAGCATATTACTTAATTTTTCCTCGAAGTGTTTACGAAGTTGTGGACAGTTTAACTCATTTTCCCAGTCTGTAGAATTATTATATTATTAAAAATTGTATTCCAGTTTATTATTGTGTGCTTTTTTATCGGAGAACTGTACTTACTTTCTACATGTAGATTAGTCGTATGAATGTCCGTTAGTATAGAATCAGTGTGTAAAATGTAGAAAATTTGCCACAAAGTATTGGAGGATATTAAATGATACGAAATAGTAGCTAAATATTGCCACGCGCCCAAACGACGGGAAGAAAATATGGATAGAACTGCTCTTAAAAAGAAATAATCAAACTCCAATTGCAGTTTCAGCAATGTTGATTTATCAGTAGGCTGTAAAAGTAAAATTTCAGATGATTCAGGAAATACCTTTTGGAACTGTACGAAAATATCATTAAATAAGCACGTGCAGTTACCTGAGTCTTATTGAATTCCTCCCATTGGTCACTAGTATATTGCACGATATCTCTAATTAGTGCACAAAGCCGTTTAGCTAGTTGTCTATATCGTGGGGAATCATATGTTTTTAAACCTTGTCTGAGAAGTTTAACAATAATTGTAAAAAATGCAAAAAGGCGCAACATGTGATGATGAGTAATGAAATTTTTGTTCTGATGGTATCCATCATTCTGGCATTGTATGTATAATATATGTTTGAACACTTTATTAAAAGGAATTTGATTCAGTAAAGAAATCAGATCATTTTCATAGAGATTTGCGCCACTATTTGCTATATCTTCATCTTCTTCGCCTTCTTGGTCTAACATTACCCAAACTGTGTCACCAGGACTATATGTTGTATCTTGTAATGAAATCTGTACCTAATCAAAACAACAGATTTTATAATTCGTACAAAGATTGTCTATGATATTAAAATGATTTAAATACCTGTTCGAGAAATTTATCTCTATCTTTTATTGGTAGTAGAATAACAGCCAGTGTAGCTACTATGTGATCTAAATATGGGTCATTCAACGGTGATGTACTCGATTCAGTGAACTCTTGGGGTGCTGGCATTTGTACATAACTACATGCCCAATTCATTACACCACCAGGGCATCTCAAGATGTGATTTAATAAGAATAAATGATCTTGCCAGTTTGCAACTCTCAACAGAATAGCTACGAGTTTTGTAAGCCACTCTCTAGTGTCTGTTACAAATTTTCCGTCTTTTAATAATTTCCTTTGAAAGTTAAATAATATAGTTATACACATCCTGATTTCCACTAATTGTGGTATTATTTGTAAATGTGTCTGTACAATTGCTAGGCTAATGGGTGCGTTTTGCGAAAGACTTGCAAATTCCTTACAAGAATTGCATACACTTTGAATATAATGTTCAATTTGTAATCTTAATAATTCAGCTTCGTAAGAATACAATGCTTGGGTATTATGCAACATATCTTTTATAGTTGACAGCGTTCGTGACAGAGATATTAATGCTTTTTTATTGAAGTGTGCAATAGAATATTCATGTGTAGCAGTAACTGGATTTCCATCTTGACATTCTCCTGCTTCTGTAATGGATGCTTTATCTAAACACCATAATTGTTTCTGTGTTTCCACTTGTAATCTATGTTGTTGTTTAACTGCACTACTTCTAAGTTGAGTTTCTGTGAATTCTGAAATAAACATATCAATTATTCCCAATTCTTGGTTATCATAGAGCAAAGCTAACTGGCTATCTGTAAATGGTTTAACTTCTTTCAACGTATTGTTTGTGCCATCCACTGTATCTGTTGAAGATTCTGTTTTCTCTTTGATTTTCTTGCTACATTCAAAATTCTTTACATTTGATGTATTTAATGTAGACTTCGATAAATCAGATGCTGCTGTAGACTTGGATAACTCAGATGCTGCTGTCGACTTTGATAAATCAGATGCTGCTGTAGACATTGATAAATCAGGTGCTACTGTATTATTATTAGGAACTTGAGTGTCATGTGCAATATTTTCTAATTGTACTGTAGAAAGTAGTGTCTCAACTTTTTCCACCTTTTCATCTATGTTTTCTTCCAATGGTGCTGAAGCATCAACTTCTTCCTACAATTAATTTTTAAATATTTATTAGAATCATTTACAAAGAATAATACACATTCAAAGAGAAGCAACTACATGTCTTAATAACTATATATTTGAAATTATACTGAATGTTATAAATATAAGCACACTTATAGTTCAAGACAACTACATCATGATATACAATGTAATTTTACATTAATGTATTATTTTTTGAAATTATTAGATAGATAACTTTCTAATTTTAGATAAAATGTGACAATAATATTATAATTAGAAATTATGTCAGAATGAATTCTTAATTAAATTGGTCATCATTTTGAAAATAAATTAAGTGCATTGTTTTGAATTTAATTCTGTGTAATATAAGAAGATCAATGATAACATAATAAATGTATTACATAAATTATTTCTTATGAATAGCTGCATATTTATATAGCTAATATGTAGTAGATAGTTTATATGATGGTTTTGCTTGTAAATTATATGTTTACAGAAGTATGACAAATATCATTAGAAGCACTATTAAGTCGTTTTTTAATATTTTATGCTACATGTAATCTTTTAATAATAGATTATCTATTATTTAAATTACTTTATAGCTGTGAAGTCACTCCTATTTTTTTAAGTACAGTTTAAAACAGAATTAAACTCCTATTACTTGACTAATTATGTTAGTCTATCTGTGTTTAAATGTTTAAAGTACCAAAAGAGGAAATACCTTAGTATTAGTTACTTGTAAATTACATTCTGTTTCTTGTGTATCGTTTTCATTGGTTTCCAGGTCATATATTTCTGCATCAATGGCTGCAAAATGTAATTCACTTTCCATATTTTCGATACCTTCACCTTTAGGATAATTTGTAGGAGATTCTCCGAGCAAACATTCAAATCCTTCCAACGTTGGAACATCTGGTATGTTTTGGTCTATAGACAATCGTTTAATTTCTTTCCCTCTTTTCTGGAAATGTATGCATATGCAATATATGTACAAATAGATATTTGTACAATATATATGTACAAATAGATTATTGTGACATAATTAACATTATATTAAAATATCATGATTCTGAACATCGCATAATGTAAAGCAACCAGATGTATATATACTCAAATGGAGATTTCTGAAGACATGATATTTACAATAATGACTAACTCATGTATTCAGAAACAATTACGTTAACTCAATGAAGGAAAAACAAGGAGGAAAAAGATGTTTACCTCTCGCTTTAGCAATTCCATATTTAACAAGTATGGGTACAAAGATACATGTGAATTTTAAATCCGTTACGTGGCGTGTAAATGGAAACTATGGGAGCATGAAAAAGTAATGTTTATCATGAAACAAGCGATTTTTGTAACGTCATTTTGTATATTGACATCGCAAGTCGTCTGAATCTATTGCGTTCCACTGTATTTATATTTATCACGTGACAGGAATTCTTAACGTTTAATATTTACTGATTCTCATATTATCCGATAGTACGGTATTGTTCCTCTTTTCTGCCAATGGTTAATTAAACAACACGTCGTTGTAAAAAGTCGTATACGTTTATTAAAAGTCCAATGATTCGTCCAAGGTAACAAGTTGTTAGTTACCTATTTACCAACTGAGTCTCAAGGAGGAGAAGACCGTGCTGCCACATGATTTCATGAAGCAACAATTTTCTTATGCTCACTGAAAAATAGTGATATTACATATTGTGTGTATGTAATATGATTTGTCGGTAAGAAATATATGCACTGTATCTGTTTAAAGGACGAATGTAATATGAATGGACAATAGATTTTTATGCAAAATTAGATTTTCTAAAGTAATTTATGACGACAGGAAGAAATCTGAATTTTTTTCAACAATATCCAAGCTCCGATATATCTCGATTTCTATTTGTTATAATTATTAACAATTTGCATCGTAAAATAACTGATAGAATTTACATTTTAAATTATAACAGTTATTGTCAAGGACACAAACAATGAAACGTCGATCGAAGAATTCTTATTTTCGACAAATTTTTACAAATTTCTCGCATAAAACTCTAGAAAGGCATATTTGAATTAAATAATATTTAGTTAACTATCGCCACAAACATTAAGACATAATCGTTGTTTAATAGTTTGCAATAAAGTAAAACTTATTACATGTAAAATTTCATTAAATAATCCATATGTTACAAGTTTCTGTGTATCTTGATTTGTATTTGTTATAAACAATAACAATTTTCATTATAAAATAGCTGGTAGATTGTTTAATAATATCACCCAGAAAGGTATATGAATAAGTTCAGAAACGATAAGACATGCACGTGATGCAGCGATACGAAGATTGCAACTTTGCATTGATGCAAACGGTCACCACTTCGAGCATCTCCTGTAATGTAAGAAAATTTATTTTATTACCATATTTGACCTTGCATGACCTTCAATGATAGCTTGCTGAAGTCGTCTCAGTTTTTTAATTTTTATGATTACTTTCTTGTCGTCATTTGTATTCATGTGTCTTTCGTTCTTTGCGAAAGAAATGGTAAAAATATAATGATAAGAACAGATTAACAAAACACCTGTACCCAACAATTTCATCCCTTGTGGGGATCGAACCCACGACCTTTGGATTAGAAGTCCAACGCGCTATCCTCTGCGCCAAAGGGACTTATACGTGTTTTTCGTTAGGACTACTTAGGACAGGTAGCACATCGAATATATCATAAAATACACACATAATGAATAAAAAAATATTTATAATACAATTCTTTCGTAGCGGACTGCATTCTCGAACGAAATTAAATCAAAACGTTCCATGGGTACCATTTAATTTATGGTTGTGTTCAACTAGTGGTAGAAGTGATGTTTGATGCAACGTAATTGAAAATACACAGTGGATTCTTTTATATGAAACTTCATTATCAAGGAAACCTATTTTAACAGTTGGAGGGGTAACGAGTAACGAGTTGTTGAATGCGAATTGACTAACGTGTCTGTATCTTACTCGTCACTACTACTTGTTTTAAATTATAATGCTGACAGTGATGTGCTATCAATCTGTTCTTAGTAACAATTTATCATAAGGTTGTGACTAGGCATTAAGGTGTAGATTAGGTTAATGTTAGGAAATAGTCACTGAAAAATAGATAATTTCGTTATAATGTTATGTCACAGTTGGCGGTTGCGTCAAGTAGAAATAGCAAGGATTGGTCAGACGCGAGAATGAAATTAGCTGTTCACAGGTTTGAGTGACTAATTCTAGTTTTTGAATATTTTCAGTTCCAAAGCACTTGATTGCTACTTAACATTTTATATTCAAAATAAATTTCCTTGATTATTTTTGTGGAGTTTATCACTTTGATTAATGAACGTCTTGTACAGATGATATGGCACAAATTTGAACGTGCATTTAAAAGCTTATCGATAAAATAAAACATTACTAATCCTTTGTCTCGATCATTTGATGGAGTTCAAATGCAGAAAAACTTGCAAAACCGTAATTTTCTTCAAGTATATCGAAAGGGTTTATTGACCAAAGCTAAGAAAAAAGGTTTTATTATGAATAATAACATTATAATGAAAATTATTATTTATAGCTGTGATAAAAGTAAAAAAGTTATCAAATGGCAACGAATGAAACATAGCATTAGATGGTTTGAAAATGTTAAAATGTTCTTGTGAATCATTTACACATCGTTCATTGTATACAAAAATACAACAAAATATTTTTTAGGTAATTTTTAAATAATTTGAGAATGAAAGGATTAAAGATAATGGAACACAGGTAGTTTCTACGCGACAACCGAATATTCGTCGGATCCTTTACAGTTTCAGAAACTGTTGCAAGCGTGAGAGAGGCGCCATTCATTTTCCAATCCGTAGCCGTAGCTACGATATATTTCGGCCGTGTCTGCGAAGATAATCCTACACTCCTTCATGTTTGCGTGAAAATTGCCCATCATAATTAACTGAGTGGTAGGGCGGCATAATGGTAGACGACGAGTCACGAGCCAATCGGAGACGAGACGGAAATCAATGTAATTAGAGGGAAACCGTCGGGGATTCGTCGAGGGTAGCGCATGCGCGCGTGTCCAAGCTCACTCACGTCGGGCTATCTAATTCGCTTTTGTGCCATCTCTATTGTCCATATTACGATTATTTTACGCACACGACGATTTCCCGGGGAGGGACGCGAGATTGTCTGTCCCCATTCGCGGAAGAGTCGAAGCCTGTAAACACGCTTCGATGTTCCTTAAATACCACCCCCATTCTCACGTCACCCGATAGTCCCCGATTTTTAAGAAGATTAACCCCCTTGTCTTACGATTCTCTTGACATCTACTGTCTCCAGAATTAATTTCTTGTCGATAGTATCCTGGAAACGAAAGGAATTTTGTAGGTACTTATCGCAATGATATATACAATGAGAGTAAAAAATGAGTATACACTTTGACAGTATGGGTTTTATTCATATTTATTTCTCTCGATCTCGAAATATAGGCATATTAAGTTTTTAAGAATCGAACTCAGAAATGTTGTTGTTTTTAGTCGTCAGATGAAAAAATCCAGTCGCCACTGGCGATTGGATTTGTCAAGTCTTGATCATTGCTATCTAATTATTATGTAATAAGTTTTTAGTGTTTACAAGGGAAGTTATTTCTGAATAAATTCAATAGTATTATTCTAATTCTTCGTTTTGTTTTTAACACGTTGAAAAGACATCCGATTCGTAAATCGTACAGACTCCTTTCGATTATCGTCCTGAACTCGGGACCGTGCCAGGACAGTAATCTTATATGGAGAAATGCTTCAGACCCTCATAAATTCGTTTCTTGCCCGAAACCTGAGCCTCGGCAACAAAAGAGGCGGGGCAACAAAATATGCTTATAACAGGTTCTCCTCACTTTCCCTCTATCGATGGGGATAACGCCTGGACAATAATCGTGTAGAACATGCCAGACGATAATCGAGAGGAGTCTGTAATATTTTAAATCTTATAGTAGAATTATTTAGTAATAGAGTCGTGATCCACATAAGGAGTGTGGAAAACAACACGTGAATTTTGTAAATATTAAGTATTTTCAATACTTCAAATGTTTTCAATATCAAAAAACATAAACAAGTATATTTTATAACGATATCAGATCAGATACCTCTATAATAACGCTGAAACAAAAAATTTATTTTGTAAAAGTGGACTAAGTTGAATTTGTATTAGTCGTTAAATTTAAATTGAAAAATTTTTGATTAAAATAATGTTCTGACTACAAAAATATTCTGTAAGTTAATAGCAATAATTCCGCAGCTATGAAATGAAATATCGTTTTCTTGAATTTAAAAGTACACGGCGTGAATGGCAAGGAGGATTTCAATTTCATGAGAAAACACGAAGGGATAATGATAAAAGAAAAATAAGTAGTGCACAATAAGGCTTCGTAAAACCCTCCCTCGAGGGTCGAACAATTGATATTGATGTATGAGAAATGAATTCCAGTGTAGATTGTTGAATGTGCGGTTGACCGTGAACGCTCGAGATATTGGAAGACTAGTTATTTATGCTCTTTATGCGATTGTGTTTGATACGGAAGATACGGTTTCTTCGTGAAAGGACAATTAGGATGCGAACATTCGTGTAAATTAATATTTTTTTGAACTGATTTATACAATCAAAAATGTAAAACTTTAGAAAGTCAAAAGTGAAATAAAGACCCCACTTATTTAGATTGAAATTATTAATGCATAAAATCTATAGTTTAATGATGGTGTACAGCGATTAAAAATACATTGGTCATTAATCGTTATCAATATTATTGATAGTAATTTTTACTATATAAATAAATGTATATACAGTTAATGTCATAATGACTTTATACACACAGCTGTTATTTTAGATGATTTACTTGATTTAATCGATTTTATTAGCCAAAGAAATTATTTCTTGTCTTTAATCGTAAATTTAGTGATACCTATACATGAACTATTTTTATTAAATGTGTTATAAGTACAATTTTGAAGAAAATAAGTTAAAGCTAGTTTCAGCTATAGATGCATGTCGTCTTTGAATTATTTATAATAATAAAGTAGTACAATACAATGTTCTCATGAAATAGACAATTAAACAAACGAATTTTGGCTGTTACATGGAATTACACAAATGCTTTCTTTAAACTGGTATGAGTCTATTTGTTCATCAGGAATGTTTCAGAAACCATTCTACAAATCAAAGTGAATAAAATATGTATAAAAGTTATTAATATTATCTATTTTTACAATTGTACTTTCATTTCTTTTCAGATTGTTCTTTTATTAAACTTAATAGCGAAAACCGTTTATTATTTTATTGAATTATTTTCAATTCAATCAATTTATCACATTTAAGAGCATTATTACATAAAATCATAATTCCATCATAATAAATTGAATATTGTTCATTAATTCGGGAAACTAATAGCTGGTTTTAAACTGATATTAACCGATCGACCTCCGCCATTTTGTGTGATGACACCCGCCAGACTCTGTAACACCAGTCACACTGATTCAAGTACTTACTTTCTATTTAATTTTATTTTACTTTTCTATATTAATTTAATTTTACGCTGAAATGAAGTTAACTTTTACTGTAGGTGATGAACATTACAAAAATTTTAAGACTGTTAGAACAATTGTTTTCGGTAAATGTAAAGTGTTTATGTATGCAAACACAATTGCTATTTCTTATATAAAATAGACTAAAACCACAGTATCAACTAAAATGCGACAGTTACTTTTCCGTATATGTAATGGATTATTATTAGTTTATTTATTTTGTATTTGTTGCTAGACCGTGCCCGAATATGTGAATGAAACGTAATCGTACCGTGTTATCACATCGATTGGAAAGTGATGAATTGCAGTGAGACATTACAATAGAATCATGATTATCGAAAGTAATTATTGCCCTGAAAATCGAATAATCGAACGATTCACGTGTAATCCAGATCTGAAGGCTGATCAAATAATATTGCAAAGCGATTGTGGAAATAACCAATGATTTTATTTCATCGAAAGTGGCTTCCAAACGAAATTACGTTACAAATGCATACAATTTAAGGTTTAATTATCACCATTATGATGCAATATAATTTATCATTTCCGATTAGGTTACATGTCATTAATTTCCATATAAAGGTAGAATAGAAAAACATTATTTCTGATTATTTGAAAATTGTATTTGATAATTAGAAAATTACTTGAGAATTTAACACACTTTTTACTCTTTTCACACATTTACACTAAAAAAAGACACACCACGTTTTGTGTTTCACTTTCAATTCAATGAACATGCTACAAAAAACTAAAATTTCTTTTCAATTACTCTTCCACAAACTACACTAAAAAATCGCGAATTTCTACTTTTCACACCTTACATCAAACAAACTGGCATCAAAGAATTTCCAATTTCATTTTCAATCCAATAAACAACATTCTGCAGACAAAAAAAGAAAAATATCTTCTCAATTATCTATCCCTGAAATCGATTACAAACTCGCGAACAAGCATTCGCGATTGTTTGTCACGATTTCACGGTGCATTTAGGATGGACAAAGCACGATTAAAAAAAAAATCTCATCCGTCGGTCGTAAACGATTGCAGGTGCCCTTTCACAGAGAGGCGTTACAACGGTGACAACGGAATTATCTCAAATCGTAGGGACGGGGGTGTGAGGGTGAAAGGGGCGGGAGGGTGGTATCTGGCGGCTAGTGGGGTAGGGAGTGTGGCCACTGAACATCCCTTCTCTCCATTTTCATACCAACCATAAGGAGAGAGTGGAGGTTGCACCCAAACCGACTGTCAGATACGTGTGTTACTCCCGTATCCAGTCGTTTCGTTCTCCATTCCTGAGCTATCCCTCCGAACCAGTGACGTTCAACAGTGCTCGTAAGCGCCTGTGCACCAGTGTTGAGCAAAATTTCAATCTGATCGACGATTAACGAGTAACAAGTGAAATCCACATATTCGTTATTGGCACAAAATAAATAATTGATCTTGTTTGCTAATTAGTTTTTTTGTAGAAATTAATTTTTCTACCAGTGTTGGGCAAATTCGAGTGAAAAAAAAGTGCAGTTGCATTTTTCTCATTTTCCGTTTAGGAGATACAGCCTGTTCTAGTTGCGTGGGACACCCTGTATACACATACATATGGGTGAACCACGAATCGCGATCAGTAGAGATTACTCTGATATTAGCAGTCCGATCGAAAATGTTTGTATCAGGTATAGCATGGTCTCAAGAGAACTTTAACGTGATTATAGCAAATTTTTTGTCAACTCTTTCTTTTCACGATTTTTCATGGTCACTTTCAATTTTTTGCAAATACACCAATAACTTTTTTACGCCTAACACATGTTATGTTATGATAATTGTCGAATTCGTCTTGAAATCCTTTAACAGATAGGCGTAAAAACATTATAGGTGTATTTGCAAAAAATTGAAGGTGACCTTGAAAAATCATGAAAAAAAAAGAGTCGACAAAGAATTTGCTATAACCACGTTAAAGCTCTCTTGAAACCATGCTGTACCTGATAAAAACATTTTCGATCGGACCGCTAATAACAGAGTAGTCTCTACTGATCACGATTCGTGGTTCACCCTGTATATCTTCTGTACGCAACAGAAAGTCATGTGAGAACGAGTTTCGAGGATCTACATACGTTGTGCAGAGAATGAAAATGTTAAAGTGACACGAGCTACGACACGAACGATCTGAAATCGGCGAAACAATGTCCGAAACAGTTGGAATTCCGGCGGGAGATAGAAATTTTGTGCAATGACGAGTTTAAACACTGTATCCTTGGCGAGACGCACGAACGGAATCGAAACGTTTCCACGAAAGACAGGAAGTTGTTATCCGTTTAATTATTTTGTCGTTACGCGACGAGATTTTCGGATTGTTCGGAGATTTCTGTCGTCGTTCGAGGGACGACAGATCGGTGAGAGCCGTTCGCGATTAAATGTCGACGAAAACGGCGGGACCGTCATCGCCGCGACGATTTTTCGCTCGAATTTACGGGCATCTTGAAGCGAACAAAGTCGAGGGAAACGGTAATGATGATCAGGAAAGATCGAATGCCGATCGATCGCCGGATATCGATCATTGCGGTAGAAATGCTTCGGACGCCGAAGTTTCCAGTTGTTCACCGAGCAACGATATAATACAGGTAAGAAATTAATAATTAGGGGCGAGTGGGTAGGTTTGGGTAAATTTTCAATTAATTTGTAGTAGTGATTAACATGAAAGAGAAACTCGCTTTAAATCTGAAGAATTATAATTAGTAAGGGTTTACCATCGATGTTCTATGATAATTTCATTTTGTTATTATAAAAGAATCTTTAACAATATAATAGTTCTAAAACTACATAGTTATTTGGCCCATACCTCACTTACGGGGGAAGGTTTGGATCCACGTAACAAGAATGGAAATATCAAACGGATATTGTTTCGGTATAGTCTTCTTGTATTGGTTCGCTATCGCTTCAAGAAGTATCGGTATGGAAAATTGATGTCACAAACCTAAATTTTCGATACTTCCTATTGAGTACTTTGGTATTGAATTGTTCGAATATCATCAATATTTATCGGTATCGGTCCGATTACTAACCATAATCTTCAGTGTTTAGTACTAGTGGAAACAGCGAGTAATAGACAGACATATTAGTCAATTTGAAAGTACAGAAAATTTTTAAGGCCGATTTTGTCATAAGCAAATATTCTATATGAACAAATTTTATTCTATATTTTTCACTTATTTTGCACAAAAATCATCTGTTTAGTACTCTGAAAACATTAAAACCGGGTTTTTTAAATGTGACAATATAGCGGCTAATATATGTAATCTATAATGGGTGGGTCAAAAGAAAATTATGCGCTTGACAGATTACACGCCCCCCCCCCCGCAGCGATGGAGATAACGCCTGGACAATAATCGTGTAGAACAAGTCAGACGATAATCGAGAAGAGTCTGTATCTCAGAAACGAAGTGTCAAACGCAATTTCGTTATTCTTGATGTTCGTCTTATTTGAAGCCATACTATCTCTCTTACCTGATTTGTACCACAAATTTTAACACACCCTCTATGCAAGTGTTGACATTTCTTTACAGCATCCTGTACTTTGTTACACAGGTGTCGGATGTAACGGACACGCTTTCGGGGCAAACGGAAGAACAGAATACCAGCGAATCGAACGTGCTAACGAACACTGAAAGGGAAAAGGATGCCACTTTAAGGTTGCCATTTCTCCACGGGCTGTTGCCTAGAGTACCCAGTCTTCCTCTGACGCATTTACACCTGACGCAGGTGACATACCCGCCAACGCATTCGTCGCATTTTCATAACCTGCCGTACCATCAGACACCGGATCACTACCTGCAAGGATTCTCAGCATTCTGTGAGTACCTACGACCTCCCTTTTGTTATCGAGGATATTTTAAATACAGGGTGTTCCACGACAAGTGCCGTTTGATATAACTACTGAACGTCCATTTCATTTCTAGTTTATATCCGAATGTCCTACGTCCATTTTGAACATCACTAAGATTCTTAGTTCTTTCCGTTTCTTAAGTCTTACGAATGTTCGTAGATAGGACCTTCCTAGGACATTTAAAGATCTTAACGAGGACGTAGGGGAGACATCTAGACCTTTTAGGGAAATCCGTTCTCCGGACGTACATATGACGTTTTTGGGCTATTTGAGTTAAAATTCATTCACTGTACGATTCTCGTTATTTCTATACTTATATTTGACAATTATTATTCAGCCTAAGAAACTTTACCATTACTATTCTTTCAGTGATTAATTATTTATTAATTAATGTTCGTCCTAGGGCATTATATGATTTCCTAGAATAATTTATATTTTTTATTCTTTCAGTTATTAATACATATATATATATGTATATATATATAATGGATACTATTAATGTCGCAGAGAACTAAAATTGACTTTTATTAAATGACTTTTGGCAATAAAATAAAGTCGTCAGACAATAATCTAACAAATTTCATTCCCTTTTGACACACATTCAAAAATATTTAATCTTCAAATTTCCAAAGTTTCACAGTAACATCAATTTATTAATATTAATACACGAATAATGTTAATTCGCTTAAACCCGATTCTTCTATCAATATTTCATATTGTACGATAATTTGGTTTGGATACATTAATTCGAACGAATGTTATTTGATAATTTGTCGGTGGTTCATGGTTCAGTATTTTCCCGTTCACCTAAGTGTTTGACGTTGGGAGCGCATTATTACAACAGGCACATACGTGTGGACGTGTTTGAAAGGATGTATTCCGCTTCGCCACCTCGCCAGCGCGATATTGATGAGATTACGGAACGCAGTTGGCCGCGTCTCAATATAATGTACATTGCCATATTTCCTCTAGCCCAACTCTGTTCGGTTGCCTCTTAAGCCGACGCCACAACGGGCCAGACAAAGGAATTGTTGGTTTGTCATCGAGAACTTAAATAAATAAAATATCTTACGACTACACCATGATTATTTAATAAAAAATAATTCACATTAACGAGTTTATTTTTCAGTTAAAATTAATTACCGTCAATTTTAAATATTTATAACTTTATATTGTTGAACTATTTGCTGGGAAATATTATTTCTGATACTTAGTTACCGAAAACTGGAGAATTACTGTTAGAAATATATTGGGGAGCAATTAGTTCAATATTGAAACAACAGATATGTATGTACATAACATATGAACGATCAATTGAATGGTGCATTGAATTGAGTAATTATGGATATTACTGGATGATACAGAAATTATTGATTAAATGGATGTGTAAGTTTTGTGTGTTCCCTGTATTGTGATGTTCATAAAAGTTTGTCGCGTGTTTGCAATGTACCTATGTATTTGTGAAGACTTTGCATATCGCTGTTTTGCTTTGATGTGGCACAACTTGGAAAAATATAAATTTTAAAACGGAAGCATTTAAAAAGTTCCAAATAACTAATATTTGATTACTGATCTCATTATTTATTTAAATTCATTTTACTTTTGCAAATATTTCAATTAGGTAGGAAAATGTTATACCTAAGGAGTATATTTATGCAAAAAAAAAACAAAGAATCATTTTTTTTAGCGGTATGTGATTATTAGTCTGCAGATTTTATACATTTTTAGCATTTCCCAGGATTGTTCGAAAAATCCCCGAATAGAGTGGGTCAGGGATGATTCCTCGATTTTCATGTTTTTTTTTAGAGTGAAAAAGGTTCAATGTCTGAATTGTCTCGAACACGTTTCTGTTGAACAGTGGCTCGTAGGAGAAGAAAAGAAGGCCGACCACGGAGGCAGAGAACCACTTTCAGCGGTGATCAGACATTGAGACTCGAGGTGGAGTACCGAAGAGGTGAATACATTTCGAGGCGAAGAAGATTCGAGCTCGCGACATCGTTGCGTCTCACGGAAACGCAGATCAAGATATGGTTTCAGAATCGACGCGCCAAAGACAAAAGGATCGAGAAGGCACAGCTCGATCAACATTACCGGTAACTACTAAAACAACATACTGTGACAAGAACAGGTCACAGTTGTGGGGTCGTCGATTTTAATCAAACATTTAACAATACGCATTATCTGCAAAGATATTTCCATCACCCCCTGGGTCTTTTAAGTCCAGATTTATTTTTCTGTATCTTATAGGCTTCCGAAAATCTGAAAAAATTCCAGAATACCTCCCAGGGTTTCTATTAAATGATCTAATAAGTTTTAGAAGGCTTTTTCATAACAATCTCTTCGTTTTTGAGGTCCTTGAACGCGAAATTTTGCTGCCATAAAAGACACAGGGTGGTCTTGGAAGGTTAAAATTTAATTCTCGAAATTGAATTTTTTTGGAAAAAATCGAATTTAAAGATTGATCAGATACCATTTGATGATAAAAATCATCATCGTTTTACGGAAAACTTATGTTTCAATTTCATTTCGAAAACTTTTGGGATAGACCGTGCATGTATGAAAAGAAAAATAAATAGACATATTAGTGAAACATTTTTTAAATTCTTGAAACTCGAAACTTGAAGCACTGATTTAATTTTGCAAGAAGAATAGATTGTGTTAAGAACTGAAGTTTCAACAAAATTTTAGAATAAATCTTTATGGACCATAGTTCAAAACACAAAAAAAAACATAATTCACTTATCCCTTTCTTAGCACTAGCACTTGATAGTTTAGCAGTTTCTTCTTTTGTACTATTACTAAATAATGCTACAATAAAAAATTGAAAAATAAAATTTGAGAGAATGAGTCAAGCTCCCACGAATCACTTGCTTATATTTCATATCCCTAAAAAAACAAAAATCTATCAACAAGTATTCACGAAGTATCTCGCATCGACTATTCGGGATTTTTTCACCGATTTTATATTTTTACTTGCCTGGGTTTCAGGAATTTCGAAAAAAGTGCAAGCCTCGAATACTCGAAACTTCTGTGGGTTTCGACGTTTCGAGAAATCCATCCCTACTAATGATTAAGTATACTCTTCTGTATCCAACGGGAACGTTTACATAAGTTTGAAAGCTGTCCCATCTCGGTGCTCCTGTCGTAATCGCGTGAGAAAGCTCACGTGGTCGATTTCGAATTGTCACGAACGATTTCGAGAATCCATCGTTGAACATCCAATACGTTTGTTGGCTTCGTGAATGCTTGTGGGATGCTTCCGTGAATTCGAATGATAAACGACAGTAAGATTTTCAGTAACGGAGCCTCGAGGATCATTCAGAAAAAAAGATGGGGGAGATGATAGGCTAATACGGGGTAATTCGATAGAGGGTGATACTGATGTGACGGACCATTAAACTGTCTTAAATTGGATTAAATAGGGTGAAATTTCAGAATACATTTATAAAACTTCGAAGAGTACATCTGACAACAATTGATTTATTAAAGCAGAAATTTTGTTAAATCTTGTTACTGTAAGTTAGTAAACAAGAAAATTAGGTATCTGATCAATTGTATTCTGTTGCATCTGATATAAATGCATTTATATCGATAATATACTGCGGATTTCATGTATTTATAGAATATACAATTATTTAAAATTCAATGTGGTAAAAAGTTTTAGAAAATTTACTTACGTTTCTTTTATGTCGAACCTTTACCCCAGAATGTTTTTTGTACCATTTGACCTCTTCTACCATATTCACAAATACAATTTCCACTCATACCTGGGACCATATAGTATATTTATGACCTTTCACATTTTTCAGGAATTTCGCGGTTTCCAACGGACTGGTGAACGTGCCGATTTACGGTAGAAATGGATTTTGTGAGTTTTGCTTCTACAAAGAGACATTTCGATCAGCGATCGATCACTCTTGCGTTTCAATGAATCCTGTCGCTGGAACAACCTTGGCGAAACAAGCGCAATGTAACAGTATCGTCAGCGAAACTTCGGATAATATATCGTCGAACACATTGTCTGTAACTTGAGGTTTTTAATAACTATGTCCCAACGAAAACGTATTTGAATGCTTCACGGAACTTCAATCGAGCTTATTACAATATATCGTTCATTTATTATGTTTATAGAAAATAAATTTACAATAAGCGTCTGTGATTTTGTATCGTACAATTAACCCTTGGAGGCTGACGATTCTGATAGTAATACAGACAGCGGAGTCTGGGTCTATTTGGACCACTTTCTGTCATTTCGTTGTAAATGCATTTTGCAACGTATTTTCTTGAGAAATTTCTATTCTTTGACCCGAGCTAATACAAACGACAACCTACTTAAAGTAGTCGTCACGTACTGTCGAGTTAAATGAAGCTTCTGAAAACTCGGGTCATAACTGACTCGAGCACCGTCGTCAGAAGGTTAAAGTGCCGATGATAATGTTACTACAGAAATGTTTCATTTCCTTTAATTAGCGGTGAATCTGGTGTTTTTATTAAGAAGTTATTGTATATCATGTGAAAAGTGTAAGTGAAAATGTGTCCCGTATAAAGGTACGATTCACAATTGAAAAGATACATAATAATGAGGTATCTCGAAATTGTTAAAATTGTTTAATGATAAACAACACAGGAGATATAATAAAAAATGTATAAACGTCTCATTTTCATATTTTCGGTGCGTCCTTTCACAGAGACGGATGGCTACGGTTTTTTACACAACTTTTGTCATTATTTACTGGCAATTTGCTCGAAACTTGTATACAACTGGTTATCAGGGTAACGATACAGAGACTCGCTAAGCCACGCGTCGTCAGAGGCAGGCTTATAGCATAGCGCGTCGCTTGACAAGGATCAAGGTGGATCGAGGTTACTAGGATTCAACGATGACCATGATGGTAATCAATACGCCGATACCGTTGAGTATTACATTTTTTTTTATTGCTTAGAATAAACCACAATAGGTTAGGACATTGTGCACAGGAAGACATATATAGATATGGGAAATAAATGAATCTTATTACCCATTCAAGAAATTTATTATGATCCTTTAAAAAATAACAAGTTAAGAGGTATTACACTGCTGAAAATAAACTGGAATAATTAATTTTCATAGATTTTAACTTATCACAGACATAGGTGGTGACCATAACTTGGTGCGCTATAAATAATAATTTCTTTATCATTTTACGACATTGAATCCCTTTGGGACAAATATGTACCGTATCAAATGTACAAAAATTATATTTTGCAGTCTAGTAAAATAGTTGGATTGTTCAATGTATAAAATGTAACTGGTTTTATTCTTTCGCGGGGAATATTTAAAAAAACAAGTATCCTTTGTATAAAAAGTATGCACAGAAATTTATGAATTGGTCCGATATGTATCATATAATTCTACTGTATAGTGATATATTTTAAGGTGTTTATGTGGTTTAAATATATCGATTAACTACAGATCAAGATATTTAAATTCTTAATATTAGAACTTTTAACGATGTTAATAAAATAAATTGACTTACTTTAACTTACCTCTCGTGATGAATAACTGATAATGGCAGTGCGACACGGAGCGCTCTGGGAGTACCAGCCCAAATGGAAAAACCAGAAATTAATGAAAACGAAAGACAGCAGTTAATACATACGTAGTAAAACAAAAATAATTACTATCTCCTTCTTATACAATTAATATTTTACATTTAAGCCAAAATAGATCTTTACCATCGCCGAGATTATTACTCTATGAAATTTTGCACATTTTTAATATGTGTTTAAGGCTGCTGAAATTCTCAATTATAAAAGCATGGGATAATGTACTTTCGTTCTCAGTCCCAGCATTGCACGAAATATAAACGAAAATAGTCGAATTAATCAGAAACAGTAAATGATAGGTGCAATTTCCACACCCAAAAGAAAATTTGATTTCAAATCTAACAATGTGTTAACAGACATTAATGTGGTAGAGCAATATTGTAGATGGAAAAAAAAAGGAATATGTGAGTCACACATACTCCAGAATAAAGCTCTATTAATAATTTGAAAACCAGTTCATTAAGAATTTCCTTAGGAATAGTACCCATTTATAAATGTTATCTATAGACACCAACTAATATAAATTATTTTGTACATCAAATTTTACAATTCCCATTGCATCTGACTGATCTGGTGAAAAGAAGATGACGTTTAGAATTTATATATCAGGTTAATTCAGTCTACCTATTTTATTGGCATTAAAAACAAAATCATTCAGATCAATTCAGTAAAATTTTGTCTTTTCCTATTGTATATTACGGATGTATTAAAAAGAAAATAATTTATAGAACATATTAATTCACAAGACAGGACAAAGCTTACTGATAGTACACTGAAGGTAATTAGCTTTAACCCTTTCGCTACTAACAGTAACTAGTACTGTTCACATTAAAACAGTATTCATTGCTATAAAGAAACCGTGTAGTGTAATAATGAAGAACAACATCAATTCTCTGACAAAAAAAAAGTGTTATATAAATATTGTGATTTTCTGTTCGGTATTGTATAGTGGCTTTTTGATCAGATTTTACAATAGTGAAAGGGTTAACTATGACATAACAAAATAATTTACTTTTACTTTGACTATTTTTAATGAAAGGAAATAGTTATTAAGTTAACAGCAGAAATATTATAAAACATCATTTCATGCACACTTTGCCATTCATTGCCCTATATCTAAACAAATGAATCTAATATTCCTACCTGTGGTTGTACAACAGAGGCTAGCGAGAAGCCTAGCAAAGCCTAGCTTGCTGCGTAGTTCAGAATCCTTTTGCTCTGCTACCTGCCTGTCTTTAGTTTCTTCCTTCCTGTTTCACTCTTACTACTAATATTCAGTACTATATGTGTCTGCCCAATTAACCTAAGTAGGCTATCTTTAGATGTCGACAGTATCCTGTGCTTGTAAAGAAAACTTTACCTACCTAAGTCATTATTCACTCTGTTAAGTCTACTACCTAACAAATCACACCAAACTTACTATAAAGAAATGAAAATTTATTGAACAAATTTTTAAAACGTGGCGATGTGATAAGCTAAATAAAACTCATACGAAAACGTAAGAAATCAAATTTAAATTAGATGTCTATACAAAAAAAAATAGAATTTGTTTTATCGATCTCAATAAGAGGCAAAGTTTTCATTCTTAATCAGTGCTGTACAATATTTGAATAAATATTGTAGACAGGAGAAATTGATAGTATTTTCTCAAATACCAATCCATTTTGATATTTAAAGAAATATTCAATGTATTACAATGGAAATAGACTTAATAATTTTCTAAAAATACAGTAACTAATTGTGTCGAGTAATAAAACTAAATGTTCTTCGAAGATTTTAAAGGCATTCATTGTTTTTAATAAACACTGAAAACACAAACTAAACCAAATAGATGTATTTTATAGTTTTGGAACAAAATCAATTTACTACATACATTTAAGTATCTATATAAAAATTCTATAAAAGATTTAGTATACAATATATGTAATTTCATATAAATATGTAGATACAATTAAGACTGAATAGTGCCATCTAAATTGTTTGCTCACTGTTGTTTAGCACAACACTGATTAAATGCTTTACTTTCACTATACATTTAATTAAGAGGGATACGAAGAAGAAATTAAATAAATTAAGTTGCATGTATTAAGAAGTATTTACTTATTATTACTTCAGAAAATAATAAGTATACAATTCAATAAAGACTTGACATACTTTCAAGCAGTGCACATTAAACATAATTTAAAATAATAACTTCATAAAAAATTAGTCTTAAATATCATTCTTATTTTATTTCAAGATAATTCTTTTCTTAGTATTTGAAGGAATTAATAATGAAAATTTTGTATGTTACCTCAAATATAGAGTAATTAATGCTTTAACGTATTTAATTTACAACAGATCTTTGTATACAAAGTGTCTGATTCGACGCATCCCTTCATTCATAAATCCAAACATCTTAATCTTACGTGTTACAAGAACTACATAAAATTGGTCACAGGTTTGCATTATGTACAAATTGTTTAATACTGTGAATACATATAAATATGAAACCCTTCTCAGTGGTTTCATTGACTACACAGTTGACAAAGAATACAAATAGATTGTTAATCTATCGTACATAAAGTTTGAGACTTTTTTCATTAATATTTTTGTATATCAATTGATTAGATGTGCCCTTACCTAGCTAAACAGCTATATTTTCCCTATTTCCTTTATCTCATACAAGTTCTTGTACTCTGCCTTATCCTATACTATTGAAATTTTATTTCATAAATTAAAGAGTGGCATGGAAAAGGTTCTGGTCATTTTTATTAGCTAACTCTTAAAACATTACAACTTAAAAAATAATTCGTTATTCTAGGTAACCTACAAAAAAATGCTAACTGATGTTCGTGCTATCTGAGCGTCCTTTTAAATTCACTGATTCATTCCATATTAACATTTTTTCATGTGATTTTCATTTATCCTGAGATTTTGGGTCTGTATAAGAATCACCTTTCTTATTACGAAATAAAAGTCTGCATCAACATAGTAAAACCTAGATTCTTACATGGACCACTGTGTCAATATGCTTTTTTACTAAATTAGAGAAACAATCGTGCTTTCCAATCTCTACTGCATAATCCTATATCTCTAATCACTTTTAAATATGTTACAAAAGAGGATGTAGCAAAGAATTACACATTTTTAATGGTTGGATGGCACGGATGTATCCCTAGATATAGCAACTGAATGATGAATTTAACGCGTCTCTTGTTTTTCGGTCGTGACGCGAATAAAATGTTAATAATTATTTGCGTTTTTTTTCTTCGGATATCATACGTGCTACACAATACGTGCAAGCACAGTCTAGAATTGTATGATGCAGTATTTTCACATAAGTGTAGAATATGTAAAATATATATGGTAGGTAGGTGCTAGATACCAAAAGAAATACAAGCAAAAGCCTCCCTCACTGTGATCTACTAGATGACGCTTCTCTGTCCTGTATCCTGATTGTCCTGCCTGGTCTTGTCTCTAGCCTTATAGCCCTGCCTGCTCCAATACTAAACAGTACAGAAGTACTGGCGACTAGAAGACAAGTAGAAGGTTCACCTGAGGTTCAAAAGTCACAAATCTATTAGTTCGGATGATTGGAAGTATTCAAACTATAAAAAATCTATAAATTTTGAGCTAAATGTGTATCATAGATCATGTTCTATTTTATTTTCTATTAATCTAAAGGTAAACTTTAACGATATCTGTTACTAATATACCTATTAGTACAAGGGCAAACAATGTATTACTATAGAGGACCCTTAAATTTGTTTCGAAACATTTAAGAGACATAAAAACGGAAAGACAATAACCTTGCTTATTATGGAGATAAAACTCGCTCGAGATAATCAATTTAAACGAAATTAGGTAACAAGAGAACAAAGAATAATGTCGTAACACTCTGACCCTGAACAAGGATGTAATGAAATGCCTTAATTTACCCTGTTAAAATATGCATTAAGAAGACTGCTAAATATTGAGTACCAAATAGTTGGTAGTACTGAAATCAAACCTCCTTATTTATACGATTCTTGTTTTTCTATTTATGTACATAAATATATAGTACTATACATATGTATTTATACAAGCAATATTTCAGTTTGATAATTTCTCTGTTTCCAAGTCAATATCGATATTAATTTAAATACACTTATAAAGTTCAATACAGCCAATGTTGAGTGAAATTTGTAGTTTGCCTACTAACAAGTAAATTCTCTAAACCAATACAAATCTATCTTTTAAAGAACCTCCTTATTTAACAAAAATATTATCTATTCTAAGTTTGTTCGATAATAAATATGCACTGCGCTGAATACTTGAGCGTTTTCAATTAGAAATTCATATACTGCAATGTAACAACTATAAACGCATTTATAACGTTTTAAATATGGTATGCTATATGTAAATGTGGATGGAGCGTATGCCTTAATATACTAGAAATATATTCTTTTGCTATAATAACGAAACAAAGAGCTACTAGTTTAACATTTTTCTAATACCGTTCCTCTGTTGTACCACTTTTATATAACACTATTTTACGAAAAAGGCAATTTATTATAATTGTAGCTTTGTTACGGCTAACATACGAAAATATTATTAAAGTTTGATTAAACATTTTAAATTTTCTAACACTTCTATCAAGAAGCAAAATAAATTTTCATACAATTCTTATTTGTGTAACTAAATGAAATGTCACCCGACATACATAGTAATATTACACAGAATGTTATTATGCTTTCATGTACTGATATTCTAATTTATGTATATATGTTAAAAATGTATAACATTTTAAGAATTATTTTTGAAGTATTAGTAAAATTATGCTTACCATGTGAGGGAGCTGAGCATGGATAATGTGCTTAGTATCTCCTTCCGCCACCACCTCCACCACCTCCCATATTTCCACCTCCAAGAGAACTGCCGCCATAGCCTCCTTGATTACCGTAACCACCACCACCACCTCCTCCACCTCCTCCAGAATTTCCGCCACCCATAGGTCCTAAACATCAGAAAAAACAACATATTTAATATAACTTCAAAATAACAAATAAGTTATTGAATTATTATGAATTATATATTCATAATAATGGTATGATATTAATTATAATCTTATCTTCGTAAAATGAACATAATATACAGGGTGTCTCAGCTAACCTGATCACCTCGAATAATGACTTAACGGTAACGCTTTATGAAAATGTTCAGGCGTGGAACTTAAATTGCATCAAGGGGTACATCTTATAAGGTACGTGCTTTTTTTGCGGGTGGAGGCATTTCAGAGATTATAAGGTCACCTTGATTTTTTTTTAACAGAATGACCTATTTTTTGTACCATAGATCGATTTGATATTCTAAAAATAGGTCATTACCTTATAAGATGTTCTCCTTGATGCCATTTAAGTTCTACGCCTCAAAATTTTCATAAACTGTATCGTTATTATTCGAGGTGATCAAGTTAGCTGAAACACCCTGTATATGCTAGAGGACAGTAAATACCAAATCATGTCGATGTTTGTACAACAAAGTGGGTACTATGTACAACCTTTATGCATGTAAGAATAATTTTCGTTACGAGAAAATGCAGTACTTATACTATTTCAATTTTTTCAAAAATGGGCTAGAAGTTTATAAAAGTTCAAAGAAAGGAACATTTGTATTAACTAAACAAAAAACTAAAATAGAAACTCTGCAACATCGCGCTTTATGTCCTTAATGTGATTTGTAACTGATTTAACATAAAGTTTATTTCCAAACATTAGGAAAACATGTCGATAGCAATGGCAGAATATTGCTATAATTAGAATTAATCTTATCGCGCCGTATATGTTTAAAATTTTTAATCACTCAGGAAGCTACTTGTTTTAGGTTTAAGCATCTACACCACTGTAAATGTGCTGATGAAATATGCTGTATAATTAATTTCGACGTCTATCTTCGGAGTAAATTTTTGTCAGTTTAAAACTGACATAAAAATTGCTTAAAACCAGTAAACAAAAATTTTGTTTCGTCAAAATTTATAGCTAGGTAAATGGAAATTTTAAATACCAGATTAAACAAAGAATAATTAGACATCACCCTCTCATGTATCAGATTAACGGAAACTAGAGTTAAGAAATTTATTGTCATAAAACAACTCTATTTCCGTATCTAATTCTCAACGTAACTTGTACCCTTTAAATAATTAACTAAATATTACTAGATTCATTGTGTTTTTAGCAAAAAATCTAGCAATATCTTTTTACTTTTCATTTCCGCCAATCTAAATATGACGTAATTCAGTTGTAAAAGTCGCAATGATTAATTCTTTCGCATTCTGTACGTAATTATAAAATCACTTGGACGTAAAAACTGTAATATTTCAGCTGAACACTCCTTGTGCAACATAAGGAAATTATTATGTTCTATACTGTTATGGCTTGTACATATCACATTTATACTCTAATGAAAATTTAAGAACAGTCGCTCAAGGTGCGTAAAAAACGCATTGGCTTTTGAGAAGGACACAAGCAACCTTGTTCACCATAGGGTGATAGCCATCTCGAATCTCCAGATTGTCGGCCACTAGGACCCAAATTAATACCATAAGGTGCTGGTCTTCCTCCAGAGTTGAAGTTATTCCGCACAGGGCCACCGCCATAACCTTGTTGATAACCTCCTCCAAAGTTGTCGTTACTCCAATTGCCACCGCTGTTATATCCGCCTTGACCTCCTTGTCCTCCCCATCCACCTCCTTTAGAAAATGTTTATTAGAATGTGTTCGGAATTAAGTAGCACATCGTGCAATAAATAGAGAGATAATATAAAATTTTTTTCTGCGAACCTTTACCTTGATTCTGATTCTCCCACGGGCCGTTACCACCCCAACCTCCTTGATTACCTCCCCCATAACCACCTTGATTACCACCGTTATTCCAATCGCCACCGCCACCACCACTTCCTCGTCCTCCCCAGTTACCACCACCCTGATTGCCACCACGAGGTCCTCTTCCTACGTTTTGTCCTCCTCTGCTACCACCACCACCGCTACCGCCGCCACCACCGCCAGATGCAGAAGCCATTTCTGCTCTACTTAAAGCCTGCAGGAAAAGATATTAAAACATTTTAGAGGCTCCATACTATTAAATCTCTCGTTCAACGATATATTATCGTTGCCTTTTTACCTTCTTTACATCAACATGCTTTCCACGTATTTGGTGATTACGTTGCAGACAAATTTTATCGACGGGATCATAATCATCAAACTCTACAAAACCGAAACCACGTTTTTTGCCTGTTTCTTTGTCAGTAACAATACTGATTGAATTTATGCTGCCATAACTCTGAAAATATTGCCTAAGGTCTTCTTCTTCGTGATCGTCTTTTAAACCTCCCACAAATAACTTTTTCACTGTTGCTCCAGCTTCGGGTCTACCAATTTCTTGCCTAGGAACAGCTCTTTTTGGTTCAACTACACGTCCGTCCACTCTATGCGGTCTATAATTTTGTATACAAATAAAACGAAATTATTGGTTTTAAGTTAAATAATATATTATGTTTTAGTTTGTTTAATAAGAGATGGACCTAACCCAGACCTTGCATTTTGTGCATCATCCACCATATGAGCACGAGAGTAAGTAATGAAACCAAATCCTCTGGACCGCTTTGTTTTTGGGTCCTTCATTACAACCACATCTACAATTTCACCCCATTTTTCAAAATGCTTTTTTAGAGAATCATCAGTAGTTCTATAATCTAAGCCACCAATGAATAACTTCCTAACATGTTCAGGTTCATTTTTTCCATCCTGAAATAAAAAATTATTGTGATTTAATCATGAAATGACAATTGTTTTTATGTACACATGTTTATATTTTGTTCACTTTGTTGCTTGTAACGAATATGCACAAACAAGACTGAAATTCGTAATTTGGCACAATTATGGTCTTATTTGGCGTTGAGTACATATATATGACAAAGACAGAGTAAGAACCAACCAAGCAGATAGCATGCTTATTTCATTACTGCAGCAAAAGAATTACACTGTACACGTATAAGTGTACAAGAAAATTACATAAATATTATAATAAAATTTTTGTCATACAAGTAATGCAACAATATTTTTGAGCTTAATAAAATCTTTAATGGAAAAAATAACTTTCTCTTTGATATCTATTCTTAAAACTTTATCTGTAAAACCATGAATTTATATAAACATACAGTTTACTATAATACTAAATATATGAAATACAGAAAACAAATGTATAAAATAATAAAGTATTTCAAAATAAGTAGCTATTGCACTAGCAATATAATAAGTAATTAATTAAATGCTGATAAATGACCATGCATAAAAGAAAATTTAATAAAATCTTATAAACACAAGATTCTATAGATTACATACATTCAAATAAATAAAATCAATCATTGAATTCCTAAAACTTATCATTTACATGCATTAAATTCGTAAATTTAAATATTATCTATTATAATTTTCTAATTGTGTATGTCTACAGAATTAGTTATAAATTTATTAAGTATTCTTACATAACAGATTGAATAAAAAGAAATACTTCAAATTACAATAAATAATTTTGAATTAATATGTGACAATAAGAATAGACACAACGCGATTATAAATACTGCAAATTAGGTATCCCGTTTGTATATGTGTTATATGCATAAAATTTTCGAATGAAAGTATCAATTCCGATTCTCAAAGAGCATAGCGTCAGGGTACGCCATGATATACGCCATCAAACCAAGCGTTACACTAGTAATACTGTATACCGAAAATTATTGAATATACATATTTTAAATGTATTATAACCTTCAAAATAACGACCATTGTTTTTCAATATTTTACCAACTACTCTATGAAATTAATATAGAGATTTAACCATTAATTTAGGTCTTAATATCACAAATTCTCGCATTGCTCCAAAAAATACCGAATCATACGCGTCATAGGTAAATATTCACAAACCGAAACTCAAAAATTTAGGAAAATACTTATAAATAAAACAAATGTAATAAAAATTGAAGAAAATTACACATTACACATGTATGTATATACACGTATATTTAGTTATATATATACATATATACACACACACACAAACAAACATATACACAGTAAAACAAAATGAAGGAGCAACTCAAACTTTGTTCTTACTTTACACTAAGTATTTTGCGTATACGAGAAATTTATTACAAAATGAACGTATTAGTTTGATTATTTACTTACATCATGTTCCATTTTAACCATTTTTAGTAACTTTAAAGAGTTAAACTACCCTTCGTCACACCAAACGGGAGAGGTCCCACTACGCGTATACGAGAAATGGAGACCGCTCACTTCGCCCAATCGATTATTACTCCTTTCAAACACTTATGTAAACCCCAAATGCGCAACCGAATATTTGAGCATGCGCGAAACTTAATACTTTTATTATTATGACATTTCTTTAGAAATAATGTAAATTTTTGGACTGATTATTGTTAAAAAAAAATACTATATATTTAAATGTATATCATTTCTTATATTTTACTTCTTTATAATGAAGGAAATTTTTTCTGTAGTAACATCAGTAGATTCTCATAAATTCCCATACGATACGCACTATACTTAAATAAACTATTTTACAATTCAGTGCTAAATAATCTGTTTACGAATTAGAATTTCATAAATGAACATTAATATGTACGCTCACAATTATTTCTATAATAAAATTCATTTATAACAAATGTTATTAATACAGCGCCGGAAGCGTGAATTGTCGTTATGTTGAACTATACATGAACAGCGGAATGAAACAAATGTTTATATTTTATGCAATGTTTAAATTTATACAATTGAAACGAAATATTTGCAATGAAATTTATAAACTATTATTAATGAAATCTTACATTTTTCGGGTAAAATTTTATTATAGAAGATGCATGATGTAAAATATGTTACGGAATAAAAAAGAATGCGAAAATTTCATGTCAATATTAATTTACTTGGAAAAGTAGGTAATTTACAATAGTAAGAAAATACTCAAAATAATGATATTAAAAAATTGTAATTTATATTATGAATCACACTCAGTTGCAATTAAATTGTAAATCGAAGTTACAGTTGTATATCATTGTTGCACGTTAGTATGTCTATTATATATTTTTATTTGTAATATGTTCGGATATAAAATAATTAAAATTGTAATTTAATTTCTAGGAATTTGAAATATATTATAATTTCTACGATACCAGTTGTAATAATCTTTTACAAACTATTTGATACAAACTTAACCTTCAATGCCATTCCAAATAAATAAGCAACAATATAAATTCAAAATATTCGTTGCAAAAATATTAATATGTATATATGTATACTACATTTTATAATTATTGACGTATTTTAGAAAATTTAATAATAATATATTATACCCGTATAGTTAAATGTTGAATATACATAGATCTTAAATCTTATAGGTAAATATTTTGTAATTATTCGTGATACAGTTTCTATATAATTATTTTAGATATACAGTTTACTAATGTGTACATGTTGATATTAATAGGTGAATAGAGTATACAACCTAATGTTTTAAAAGACATTGATGCAATATACAATTATGAACAAAGCAGATGCTATTGATTGTGACAGTAGAATATATGGATTCAAGAGAGAATTGGAGCCTGACAAAATTATTGGAGCTACAGACTCTAGTGGAGAACTAATGTTTTTAATGAAATGGTTGGCTTTATTTTAATACTTATGGAACTGAATATAATTCCATTATTATTAATATTTTTTTTATACAGGAAAGGAACAGAAGAGACTGATTTGGTTAGTGCAAAAGAAGCAAATTTAATTTGCCCACAAATAGTTATACAATTTTATGAGAATAGGCTTTCCTGGAATGTTAAAAAGTAAAATTATAAGTAATGTAGCCCCTTTATTATATTATGAAGAGGTATCATAATAATAATAAGTTATAGATACATGGACTATTAAACAGGAAAATTGTATCTTACATGTTTTTAAATGTTTATAGTTTTATACAGGGTATCTAAAAGAAACAAAACTAAATTTATGTAATATGTTAAGAGAGTTGAGTAAATTAAAAAGTTCATATGAGCAGAGTATAAATCGTATCATTTTTCTTTATTTTTGTTTCCATAAATTGGATATTGACATTACAATCATGTATATTATTTAAACATGCACACAAATATAATTATATTTCTTTAAAAACAGTTTATATTATCGATTTTACATAAATGGGAATAACTTCGTTAGTGGATTGTTTAAATTATTATATTTTTTTAATATAACACTTTTTATAGACTTAACTGACTAATACATAATATAAATGAGGTTCAACCTTTTTTAGATACTCTGTATATATTCAAAGTAACCAATTGTAATATACAGAGTGGAATATCTCTGTTAGTTTTAGAGACATGAGAAACTGTATTTACAAAAGTTATATGGCACCAAGGGAACCATAACATGCCAGTAATAATTATTTTTGTGGGTGGAGGATTTCGGAAGATTTCAAAGTCACCTCTATTTTTTTTAAATGACGTGCTATACTTTTTTTGTCCCAAGTAAAATATTAACTTTAGTACAGGGGCATTTCATGTTAAATAAAGAAGTAAAGCAACAATTCTCCCGTCATAAGAGGCTTTAGCGATTTGATCATTGCAATGTAGTGTCAACACAAACAGACACTACTTCGAGCACTTCCTATGACACAAGAGTGGTCCTTTTTGTGACTGTTCTACTGAAGATAAAGTAAGTGATTATAACATACCATTTAAAAAAAATAGAGGTGACCTTGACATATTTGACAATCTCTCATCCACAAAAAAGTTATTACTGGCATATTATGGCCCCTTGGTATTGTATAACTTTTTGCAAATAAAATTTTTTAATATTTCTGAAAATAATGAAGTATTCCAGGTGGTCAAAGTTATTGGTCTACCCTGTATAGTTAGTTATACGAAAGTACTAAGGAACTCCTACAGTCCTATAGTATTTATGAATAATGTAAATAGATTTGGTAATTGACACTGATAAGGATATCTCCTTTGAAAAGAAACACTTTAGTACATTTAAAAAGATAGAGTAATCACATTTTCTAATAAAACATAGAATCCACAATACTAAACAGATAGAACATAAAAGAGTAGGTGGATATAATGACAATTTCATATAGTCAAATCAGTAAGTGCAACTGTTAATAATATTTTTAAATTACTTGAGTTTATTATCGTATATATGTTATCTATTACAATGTGTAGTATACTTTAACTTGTCTCGTTATACCTTCCTTGGTAATTATCTGAATGATCCGAAATTCAAAGAAAGAGGACATTATATATGTAATTTTTGTATTTTTTTAAATCTCTGTTTAAGCTAGTTTTGTTATAGCAACGTAATAATATTTTGAGCCTGTAGCAGTTTACTCAATCTTTTAATTCAATGTATTCTGAGATACATATATGTTTGTATTAAAAGAGGTAATACAGTACTCAATATCTAGTTAAAACATCCATGTGTATTGTTTTACAAGAAATAGTAGTTAACTTTTTCTACATATTCATAACTATATAATTTAAGGACAATAAGAAGTGTTAAACAAACTGATTGTTTGTTATAATGTGTAAATAATGCATGCAAATTTTGTAAATTGAATCTTAGGTATAGAATAATATAGACTTCAAGTTTTTCTTTCAACATACACACAATTTTATTTTGTAAGTACTATAACTTTTTAAAAATGTAGAAATTTGTGTCAAAAATACAATTCTTCAAGTTTACAGATCTTTATATATAATATTAATGTATATAAACTGCATCTGTCACTTTTAAAATATATAAGAATTTTGTATCTAAAGCAAGAAATAATAAAAATATATACTGACTGATTTAGTAACATACATTTGGACCACCAGATCAATTATACATTAAACATTCTAATAAAACATTAGAGGAAATTAACTAAATAATAATTTATTACAAATCCATGTCTATTACTAACAGCTCCTGGAAATATTTATACTTCACATACATGTCCTCGCATATTACATTAGTCATTGTCAGTTTATTGAAATTTTGACGAATTTTAGCTTGTTAAAAATGTTATATAGGTACTTTAAGGCTTTAGAAATATCAAATTTTATTTATGTAAGGTTAAAAAGTATACAGTTTTTTGTTTTCTGTGAAAGTATGAAGATACCTTTATTTTTATAATTTTTATGTTAAACATAATTGTGCATGATAACAATACTTTAATTAATTGAGAACTTTTGTCATTTTATTAAATAATTATTCACTAATCGAATGGTTCCTTTTTATCTTTGAATCTTCTAAATTGTTTGGCAGTGGAATGCTATGTTACATGTTATTTTAAAATACAATGTCTGGATCTTATTTTGTCACTATTTTTAGTGTTCACAGGCTGAACTATGTACATATTCCTTATAAAATTATGTTACATTACATATATACTTCCTAACATACTTCTCTTTACTATAAATTTATTTTTCCACATTGTGACACGTAACAGTTGTTTGTATACCTGAGCCTGATTCTACAAATGGATTTTCGTTGAGAGATGTCGTATGCATAGGATTTTTCGTATTAGAATTTATGCGACATGCTTGACTTGCAAGGGGAGGATGTGACTTATCTGTACAATTCAAACAATTTCGGAAAAAATAATCATGATTGGATACGTTTTGTGAATACAATTTTTCTTCAATACGTCTGTTTATTACTACAGCTTCAGCGAGAGGTATTGGTTCTGTATATGTAAATGTTTTCTTTCTAGTATCAGTCTTATCCTCTGGTTTTTTAATACTAATTGGTCCATTAATGACAGGAACTGCATTACTTACTTCACTGGTAGTTCTGATGACAGGTGTAATATTACCCATCGAATCTAATCTAGAACTAATTTGATCATTAGAACTTACATAAACTGATACTCTAGTCAAATTTTTTGGTAATGAGTTACACGTTAATTTTTGTGTCTTTTTTGGTTTCTGCTTCGGTTTTGAATTTATCAGTTTACTTTTTATTGAGTTTGTATTTGTATTGGATACTGTATCTTGTAATTTGTTATTCTTGAAAACTGAATCATCTGGATGGTGATGTCGAATATGACGATGCAAATTGTCTTTCCTTCTAAATACAGTATGACAGTATGTACAAGAAAATGGTTTCTCATCTAAAAGAAATTTTACACGTTACTGTATGTTTCTATAATACACTTTTAATTATTTATACTTTTATAATTTACCTGAATGAACTGTTAGATGACGTCTTAATTCGCTTTTAGATAAAAATACTCGATTACAATGTGCACATGAGAATGGACGATCCTTTCCATGTATTTTTTTATGACGAATTAACAAAGACTTATCTTTGAAACTCTTATTGCATTCGTCGCATACATGCGGTCTTTCATCTATTTACACATAACAGTTGTAAGAGTTATTATACAAATGGTTTTAAAATGTTAAAGTGAACTCTATTTATATCCCGTATTTTTTAACTTTCCGTTTTATCTTGAACTCTCGTAAATCGAATATCCGCAGCATGTGCAAGTTCAGCAGAAAATGTATTGAAGAAATGATACTTTTGCACTTAGATACTCACTTGTGTGTATTTTTAAGTGACGTTTTAAGTTAGTTAATATTCCAAAAGTTTTTTTGCAGGCTTTACAAGAATATGTAGCTGTACCACTGTGTGAATCCAAGTGGTTCTTTAAGTCATCTTGTTTAGTATACCCTTTATTACATTGAGGACATGTAAACTGTTTTTGTTCTAAAAATTGATTTATTTTTTAAAAGGAAACTTCATTGTTTGATCATTAATAGATTTACTTGAAATATCTGTTTAAGTACTAAATGCAAACAAGAAATTAAATTTATGCTGCTGAAAAATAAATTTCATTGTATTATAGAAACTTACTATTATGTGAGTACATATGCCTGTTGAGTTTATTCTGCTGAGGAAATGCTTTCTCGCAAAGATTACACTTATATGGTTTATATCCCCTATGAACCCTTTCATGATATTCAAAATGAGAACGTTTAATAAAAGTTTTATCACAAAAAGAACACTTGTATGGTTTAATACCTGTTACACAGGCATCATGATAACATTGTCCTTTCTTACTTTGAAAAATTTTATTGCATATATTGCATTTATATCTTTCTGGTGTTCCAGGTATTATTAAAATATGATTGCGATCGAAACTTTTAATAGATTTACTTTTCAATAATTTTTCGTTAATTAAAAACTCTGTCTTAATTTCCTAAAAATACAATGATAATATAGATTTTATTAATTACACATTATGTATAAATTTATATACATACTGAACCATAGTTGTCTGTTATCCTGTCATTGTAACTTAAAGGTTCTACAGAGGAAGCATGACTTAAATATGCATGTGTACTTAAAACTACATTCTCACTTTCTGCCTTGAGTGTACATAACTTATCAGAAATGTCATTTTTACACTCATTTGCAGCAGATTTATATGTTTCTTTTTCCTTATTGCTTGTACTTTCATAAGATAAGTCAGAATTATTTACACAATCAATTGAAAAAAATTCCAAATTTTTGGTTTTATATTTAGAATCTTTATTAATGACTAGTTCCAATGGTAGCACTACTTCTTCATTATACTTTATATTTTTATCGAAGGTAGAAAATTCACTTGAATTTACCTTTGTTGAACTTTGACAATCTGTAAAAAAATTATAAAAGAATTATATACACTAATAATACGTTATTAACATAGTTACAATAATTTTATACCATAATTCCCAATATTTTGTACAATGTGTTCATTATTACATGCTTTGCACCCTTGTTCTTCATATATCAAACACATACGACATTTAATATGACCACAACTGTCTTTTACAAGCCTCGAACATGATGTATTTGTTATTTGTTTACAACTTGGGCATTCCTCATTCATCATAGGCTTATAATTTTCAATTTATAATCCTCCATTTATTAATTAATAAATATCTTCTCACCTTACAATCATAGTTATTTTATGAAAGAATATTTTTTTTCTGTCTCACTTCCTACTGCTATGACTTGTACTTTTACATGTATCTGTTTCATTTCGATTATGAATAAAAATATTTTTATATCAACAAACATATACAATGCTTTTCATTAAATTATGTCTAAGACTGATTGACTGATGAAAACAGGGCAAAAACACAATATGACGAAAACATGAATAAAGTTTAACACGAATTGTATTTTGTTGTTTACCAAGCATTTAGTGGGAGCATAAGTTTCTATTTGATTCTTTCTTTTAGAAATTGGTCCATAAAACTTTGATAGTCTATTTATTAGTAGTAGTCTATTTATCAGTACCACTTACAAATTATTATAATTTGATCAGTTGGTTCCATAGTTTCTATGTATTCATCAGTTCCAATAATAGCATGATTTACGGAGTAGCATTATTCCACAAAATTATGTGAATGTAATTTACCTTTTAATGTGCATATATATATATAGAGAGAGAGAGAGATAATTTACAGAACTTATTGCCATGTTTATAACTTAATTTAAATTGTTCTTAAATTAAATCATATTAAATATAATGATTGCATAAATAACAAAGATCTATTCTTCTGTATTTACGAAATGTCAGTACAATGTTATATAAATTAATAATTTCTTCATTATCTTAGACACATAGTTGGACTATTGTAGTTGCCCCTCCTACCGTGGTAATACAAAAAACCATTTAACTGCGTTTCGACTTCTGATTGGTAAGATACTGATTGGTGTCATATTCTAAATATATCAGTTTGAGATTGAATTTAATGCAGGTAAACATAAATAAATAATTGCATAATACTCAATTCTATACCACTAATAATTTATTGTTCATTTAGAATAATGTAGATAAACGAAATCATGTGTCCTTGACACATGTAGATATTATGGTATTAGGATTGTATGTTTAATTTAAAAACTGGGGCCAAATTGTTTATTTATTTCGTGACTTCTTTATGATTTTGTTTGTTTATTAAGTAATTAATTACCAGAACAAAGATGTCTAGTGAAATTTTGCATCAGTAGAAGACGCAGGGATTTAGTGCAATAAAATGAAAAAACCATCGAGTAGGTCCACTGTGCTTGAATTTATTGGTTAATTTGATTTACATTCTCTTGATATTCACGCAAATATGTAGAGGGAGTCCCTAAAAAAGCTAGAGCCATCTATAAGTTTTTAGCCAATTAATATCATAGCCTTGTATAAGATGGCACCACCATGTCTTTTGAGTTTACATATAAAGAGTCTGTGATTTTGACGGCCTCTATACATTCGGATATCGTTGAATTCGGGAGTTACATTCAACTCGACCCGGGAGCTCAATCAGCTAAACTTCTACTGTATTTCCAAGTCTAACTTTCCTAAATTTCATTGGAGAAAAGCTTGCATCTATTATTTAATTGGTAATCCTATATCAGATATTTCTTAAACTTTGGCGCTATTGTCAAATTGACAAAAAGTATTTACCACTGATAGCGTTTAGGAAAACATTTTAAATTTAAAAACATCTACAAAAGGCAGCAAAAATATCAGGAAGTATCGTGTATTAATGTTTTACATCTAAAATGAATTAGAATATCAAATTTACAGGGATAGACCGGGGTATGTATGCAGTTGAATTCCTTTATATATCGTAAAGTAAAGTAGAATGCGAGTTTTCGAAAATTGGTCAACCAGAGGCGCACTACATATACGGTTTTGGAATTGTTTACAACCAAGAAATTTCTGTGAAATCGTCTTTGTGGCTCTGTTTTTTCGTTTTATGAGTGTCAGTTTTCACTGAGCTAATCTCGGGTACACATAATAAAGATGGCATATCGAAATACAATACGATGGTGAATATTCATTAAAATAGAAATTGGAGTGGAAACGGGACCTACCCTCATCCACTAACCAATCGCGACCTGTCGAAGATAGCCGAAGGGTCATTCGTCTCGTGGACACCGGAGTGATTAGACGTGAAGTGAATTCGCTAGTGTCGAAGTAACTGCTCTACTTCCAATAATTTATACTAACTACATCAATACCTTCATTAGCTATCTAGCGTTATTTTCGTTTAATATTTTTTCAATTTAGAGTAATTAATTGTAAATTAAATCGATATTGCGGAACAAGGTGAACCGGTCTTCGCAACTTCCGTTATCTACCCTATAACTATTGATATTTATACATTTCTAGTGTAATTTACTATCTTTGGCAACACTCATCGAATGAATAATAGCTTATTCGCGATTTAACCATCGTTAATTTAATGTAATTACTTAAAATAAACGTTCATTTTGTGTTTCGATTGGTGTTCCGATTGGAAAAGACGCGCTACTGACGCGACGCCATGACAGTTGAGTTCCTTCAGACGCAATTTGGCGGGAAATTGCTGAACTCTGGCAAGTTATTGATACAAGTAGGTGAGTGTTCACTATATATTTCAATTTTATTGCGTTTTGATTATTTTTAACTAAGATGGAACGAGAATTTCGAGAAATGTTAGGGACTTGAAACAACATTACTCTTAGGCATTCAAATTGTAAATACTCGCAATTTATTGTACCCTGGTTAGGGATAGTAAGTTTGGTTATGCAGAAGTTGCGTAGTTGTATTTTATTATTTATACTATTCAATTGAAACACCTAGAATTTTGAGAAGAGATTGTAATGTATTTTGTTCCTGTTTTTCAGATTCTTCAAGTCTTATAGGGAGCCTTTCTATCATCGGGTGAGTCTTTACATGTCTATTTTGTATTCCTCCGGTCCACAATTATGGCATAGAACGATTAGTCTAAAACAATAGTAATATTGATCTGTTGTATTTCTTAGACCGACTGGGTCTCGCACGTCGTGTTTTATATCAGCAGGTATTAGTAATGCAAACAATAAGTATTTTATAATTTGACGAAAGAGTACATATACAGTGGGGGACAAAAGTATTCGTACACCCCATAAAACGGAACAACTTTTTTAAAATTGGTCCAAATGACTTGAGTTCTTTTGTGAAGTTAGGGACATTAGTTTACTAAATGATGTGCAAAAAATCTCGTTATTCCCTCCGGCGAAGTTCATTCTTTTTCTATTTTTCTAGTAGAATTTCTCGAACTTTAAGAATTCTTCACTTTCTTTTCTTCTGAGTGAAGTACCAGAGTTCCTGTTTTTCATCATTTTTTCTTCATAATGACTATATTTCATAGCAGGCATTGTATCACTGCTGAAATTCAGAAATCGAAAAATATCTACTACTGATATCTTCTTTTTCCAAGCACTCAAATCCTAAAATATTCGCGCCTAAAACTTACATTAACGCCACCTAGTGAGGAAAGTGTGGTACTAATTGTATATTAACTTGGGTATCAGCCATAGATGACGTCAATAGTCCTTTTGCCTATTTTAAATAACAGTAATGCTCTTCTAAGCATTCGGGGCTTGGTATCATTTCTGGACGCTTATATGAACGTTAGATTTTTCGAGTATTTGACTGAGCGTGGGAAAAATAACGAGTGTGAGTGAGATATCCATACTCGACACGGTATAATGCGGATTCGAGTCGACAGGTTGTGAACCCAGTTCCAAGAACTAGTGAGGATAACGACGAAAAAACTATGGAAGCTTAAGCGAGCATTACTGTACATTAAAATCATTAAATATTAATAAAAAACACTGCGATTAACAACTATTAACACACAATATTGATTTTGAATAACTCAGCATCAGTCATTATTGAATAAAATATTTAATTGCAATTAACCGGTATTTCTTAATTTTGTTGTATAATTATACATCCATTATTAATACAATATAATATTGATAACAATGCAAATACATCTGCTTACTTTAATTTTTATAATGGTATGGTGAGAAAACGACTTTCATAAGGAAGCTAATAAAAAGCGTGTAAAAGCTAATTGTTAAACAAAAATTATCAATCCATTATTAAAAATCAAGTTTGTTTCCAGATTATACCTTTTATTGTGTATCGTATTCCCATTTCAGAAAATCTGCTCACATAAATGTTACTATTTATGCATTTTCTGGAGTTTGGAAGTAAATGAACAAAATGGCCCTTTTTCCTATTGTCGATTAATTATAAAATTCTTCGGTTTCGTCAGTTAAAAAAAATACAAAACTTCAGATCTGCTCTCAGGAAATAAAATTTACCTTCTATTTACGATGCACACGTTTGTTATCTATATTGTAAATTAATAATTTTGAAATGTTTCAATATATACGTGTACATGTGTATATTTATTGCGATATGTGCATATGCATTCACGATTCGAATTATCTTGGCGTGAAACGAAATTTGGCGGGGCAAAGTGGCGGGAATAGCAAGAAGGCGGTGCAGGGGGTGATATAATCGATGTCGATACATGTATATATAACAGTAGGAGCAGTTTATTGAAGCATTACGTGTGAATTCATCTGTGATGCAACGATCCCAGGTGACTCGCCACGTGGACGTCTATGAATTGACACTTTTTGTTCGGCATTCTGCAGCTTTCCGTTTTACCAATTAATTCGTACACAGTATTACGAGCATCGATACTTCTTATAAAACACAAATATACTTTCGATTAAATCGTGACTCAAGCACTAAATTACAATAACGAACGAGATCAGATTTCAAATTCATTATACAGTATTTTTTAATGTTCGTGTAGGATACAATATTTCTGTCAATATTTGTGGTTTTTGGTATCATAAATATGGTTTGTTTTCAATTGTTTAAATATCCACTTTCACGATAGAACGGCACAATGAAGCTATTAATTACTTGTTTAGTCCAAAAAATTTTCTTCGTTCCGATGTAGCATCGATCCCGTTCTCGATAAAGTGGCGGACCGTTTCATTTCGCGGACCATAAAAAGGGGAACAAGAACGTCGCTACTTTTATGGTGGACTGTACAGTCA